AAAGTAATTATCATTGTTGACACTATTTACTCTCCAAATACAAGTGGTAACTTATACTAAATTGATTATTAAAATATAATTTGCTGTTATTATTTTTTATATAATTTAAGGAATTTTAATGCAATTTATATAAGAAAATTAAAATCTAAGAAGCATATAGGTTGATACTTTGAAAATTACAAAAGGATTAGCCTAATAATATATCAATCCTGTAAGAATAATTTTAATTTAGGTCTAAATAAAATATTGTTAACATGTTAGAGATTGCTTTGAATTAGATGAGGTAGTGAAATAATTCAATAATCATTCTAATTTTATTTGCGAAATTTGTAAATAGTCTGCAAATACTATTGCTGATCTAGTTTGGGATGTTAGATATCATGCGTATTAAGAATTTCATAAATCTGTTGATACCATTCATATCATTAATGGAATATTAATAAACTATTATTGGAGAAAGGATATATACTTAAAACCCTTTTATAATGTCTAGATACGAGACTGGTTTTTGAAATCATATTAGAAAAATGAAATATTCGATTATTCTAGCAAATCATATAATGGGAATATAGAATTTTTAGGTTTCTGTCTTCTAGATAATGTATAAATTAATATACCAGTAAGAATAAGAGGATGTACTCATTTAGAGTGCTATGAATTAACAAGTCTATTACATCTTCAAAATAATAATTCGCTGAATCCAAAAACTTTTAAATGTAATCATAAAAAATGTGGTCAGAAGTTAGACATCTCAAGTTTAGATACATTCTTTAGCTAAATTTATATTGATGTATAACTTCTTAAAATGATCAAAAAGAGTAATAGGATTTCAATAAAAATAAAATATAATAAATAAACTTAATCCCTTGAACCTCAAATTTAGAGTTCGATAAGGGAACTTTTTGATGAATTCTAGAATAAATACAGCTAATAGAGAATAGAATTAGACGAATTGTAATGTTAGAACCTTGAATAGTTCTTTTCTCCGATTTTACAAAATAATCTAATGCAAGAAGATGAAGTGTTAAAGAAAAAGCTAATAAAAAACTGCTAATCTTCATAATCAATATCAATGATTGATTAAATAACATAATTGCCATTCGAAATTCCCACCAGATGCAAATATTGCACAGACTTGAATAAATCGTTAGATTTAAAAACGTATGTCTTTGATTTCTTTTTAAAAAAGAAGCTGAATAAAAATGTATATAAATATTAATGCCCTTTATGCAACCACAGTTAATTGTAGACAATTTAGGTTGCGAATTTAAATAAATACATATATATTGACTCATTTTTAATAAAATAAATGCGAAAATTTTTTAATGTTGGAGTGGTTTAAAGTCAATCAAATATCAAACGATTAGATTCTGTTGTCTTTGATACAGTTTCATTATTGAATCCCTACACCAATGTTAGATATGCAAATCCAGTACGATTATTTTATATAATAGGCTTTAACTAAAGGTTGTATACATCACAATTTTTGCTTCGAAATGGAAGAGGCGTTAGAAGAAATTTGGGACCATAATTTTTATCAATGTCCACAGTGTACTAGTTTAGCATATAGTCCAAATGATTTAGTTTATGATTGGAGAGTTAATGCTTATAAAGAATTTAACGAATATACAAAGGATGTAACAATAATTGCAGGGATTGTGGTTAATCAATACACAAGAAATAAAAGGAGATATTAGGAGTTTTTCACCTAGACTGAATACATAACTCAATTTAAATAAATGTTTGACAGAGTTTCCAAAGACAGTTCAATATCAACATTGATTTAAAAAGACTTATAATAATAGAATTCAAACAAATAACAAAAAATTAATTTTTGGAGTTTTTGTTTGTAAGACAAAGTGAACATAAATATCCCTGTGAGAATATTGGGATGCAAACATTATGAATGTTATGAATTAACCAGTTTACTATTCTATTAGGAATAAAACAGAAAAAAAAAAGAATTCCTGGAATGTAAGCAACCAGGGTGTTCAAATCGATTGAGAATTGCTCACAAGGACTATACTAAGTAATATAATACTCCAGAAATGGAGGAATAAGAGAAAATTCTTGATGTCTAAATATTATTTTCTGGCATTCGTGTAGATTAGGAGTTATTAACTGCAATCAAAATAAGTAACCCCAGTTCATACAAATTTAAATATAATTACTATAATCAAATAATTGAAGAAGATATAAATTTAGTATAGGGCAGGTTAGTTGATCCATTTATTTACAAATTTTATGAACAACATCCTGATTTATAAAATAAAATGTAATTCTAAGATTTCCAAAAATTAATTTCATAACAGGCAATACAAGTAAGTCAAGGAGATCTCTTATAAGAAGATTAGAAATTAAGCAAATAAGTGGCATTATATAGATACAGAAATTATACTGTGAATATGAAAGATAAATTCACTGAACTTACAATAGAATATCCAGTAAGATGTAAAAGTTGTAAAAATCTGGAGGTTTGTATCGATATGAGGAGTTATATAGCAGAATTTAATTATTAAATAAAAATGTTTCCAACAAAAGCTTTTTCCTGTCCATTATGTAAACACTAATTAAGTAAATAAACCCTTAGCATGAAGATTTAAAATTACATATATTTAGATTCAAACATGCTTTCATTCATGTTTAAGGACATGTCTTATGTTAATGGAACAAATATTTTTGAATATTAAGGAGAATAATATATTTTCTAAGAATTTCTGGATAGATAAAAGATCAAAAGAGAAACTTACGTTGCAGGGTTACAAGACAAAAAGGTTTTATTTAGACAACTTTTTTGTTTAGTTAATCCAAATTAGAAAATTAAATAACCTTTAATTCTCTAAAAATGTCCAGATAGAAATATTGTTGATTTTACATCATTTTATGAAGAATTAAAGAAAATAAATTTTGATTACGAAAATTATGGGCTAATATTATGTAAATGTGCCTTTTGTGGTTTTAATCCGATTAAGACCTTTGTAGGAAACATCTATTTTCATGAAGCTTTTTATGAAGCTCTCAATAAATTTTATAAAATTGAGGAATTAAAAAATGATACAGAATTCTCCTATTAGTTTGAGGATACTGAATAAAAGAGTTATGTTATCAATAAGCAATAGCAATATAAAATCAAATTAATAATGGGATGATCAATTAATTTTATTTTGTTAAGCATATATATTGATATTTCAATAGCCAAATCGATTAAAATAATTGATAAATCATAGTTTTTTTTTCTCTAACTTTTTTAAAGCTTTAACTAGCTAATCACTTATTTTACATAGCATGTCTGCATGTTCAATATCTTTAGTCTTTTGTTTTTCAATTTATTTTAGTCTCTCTTTTAAGATTTAGAATTCACAATCTTTTTGTGTTAATTATATTTATAAAAGCTCTCTTTATTCTTATAATCGTTATCGATCTTCTTTCAAAATCTTAACTTCACCTTCATAAGTCAATTTAATTCTGTCAATTTAGGCTTAATTTTATTCTTTGCAATCATACATCGCCTTATTATATATTTTATCTCTTTCTATCTCTACTCTTGCTTCATAAATATCATCTAATTTTTCCTTTAAATCCATGAATTTTTAATTAATATCTTTTAAAGTTAAATTAAAAGTCTGCTATGATTATAATTACTGATTCTTTAATTCCTTTTTCATAAATAAATCAGGATTTTCAAACAATTCCCCTTTCCTAAATTCAATTCCTCCAGAGTTATCCAATTCTAATAGTTTCTTTTCGTACATAATCCTTTCCTCTTATAAAGTTGTTTTAACTTAATCCAATTGTCTATGTAGATTCTCTTTCTCATTTTTTAAAATCTCCTATAAGGTATTTATTTGGCTTTTCAAAACATTAACTTCCTGTTTATAATCTTCTTCCTTTCTCTAAAAATTCATTTGCATAGTATTAGCCACTTTTTCAATAATTTGCATAACCAACTCCAGAAATTGCACATAGCATTCATAATTAGAGGGAGGTTTTGCTTCTTAAAAGTATATCTAAATTCATAATAATATTTCCTTACTTTTTTAATATTGTTAACTTGAGCAATGATATGCTACACATTAACTAATTTTCCCTATTCCGAAAGTTAATTTAAGATGTCATACATTTTACTAAAGTCTAATAAATACAATACTTTGAAATCACTTAGTTTGTTCTCTTGGATTTGATGTAGTTTTCTTAAAATAACACTTGAGACTTCTCAGTTATTTATTTGCTCAATTAGACTATTCCTTCAATCTACCTATCAGGAGCTATGTGATAATGTAAAATTGACTCTTGAGCTTTTGTACTAATCTAATGCAAATTAGAAAATAGCAATTCATAAGTTGTAGGAAGTGATATATCAGATGATAAAATCTCTTTTGCTTTTTCCATCATTTTATTGAACTCCTTTGATAGAATCCTATCCCAAACATTCTCAATATTGGGCACACTCCCATTATTTATTGTAGTTACGTATTGGGTGACTAATTCAATTAGTCTTTTTCCATTAAGAGGAGTATTTTTGTACATTTTTGGTTGAATATCCAACAAAGTATTCTGGATAAGTTGGTTTAATTAGATTTTAAACTCATATCTTAATTCAGAATAAACCACTTTATCTAGCTCTCTTAATTGCCTTTCATCTGCCACCGGTCTAACTAAAGTGTAACAATTTCTTCGTTTGAAATATTTGGTTATAGCCTATCTAATTTAATTCCTTTGCTTAAATTCATCAGCAAAACCCTGTTATTCATCAAGACATTCCTCCAAGTAAGTGTTTGGAGTCGAACCTTACAAATCAAGGCCAAAATCTCTAATTACCCAAGTGAGCGATGGGAGATATTGAGTTATGAATTCATCATCTCCCAATAGATGCTTACTAATATTAGTGGTGAATGAAAGTGTTTCCAGAGATTTCTCATCAATTACTTACATCACATTGTAAAGCAAATTAGAACTAATCAAACACGCGAGAACAAGCAACCTAGCATCATTATTTTAGTCTCTTTCATAGGAATCTGTGATTTACTTTAAAAATATTACTCAATCCTTCTGTATCTAGAAGAAGAATTGTAAGATTGTCTGATTCCACTCTTTTGCCCCAAATCCAGATTCCTTTGGTGCAAGGATTGGTGCTTGATCCTAAAGTGAACCCAGTTTACTATCCAGCAAATCTATTTAGCAAATAAGACTTTCCTGTCCTATATTAGCCCACAATTGAAATTATGGCGATATTAGTTTCAATAGCTTAGATAAATTGAACAGCCTTTTTAGACATCAGAAATTTCCCATCCTCATCAATATCGATAAACAATATTGGTTAAGCCAATTCCTATTACATTTTCAAAATATTTTATATTTATTATATAAAGTATTTAATCAATTCAAAAGTTTTAATTAAGTTTTACTTATTTACTGATTAACCTTCTCAATCTAATTAAATTATAATATACTTCTATAAGACTCTTCTGAGAATTAGAATTTCAATCATCAACCCATTAACAAGAAATTTTGATATTCTTTATTGCACTTCATTTGAATTAAGATATGATATAGTTTAATTATATTCTTTGAGAATTAAATCAATTAGTAAAATAATAAAAAAGGTTTCGAATACTCATAAAAACACAGCCAAAATTTATGAAAATGGCTTTTCCCCCACAATATCTATATTAATATGAATTATAAATTCTTTATTTAGATTTTATTTCGTATTTACCCTTACTCATTTAAAACAACAAATTACCTACTATTTGATCTTTATTGCAACTCATAAGAACGATAATCCATCTTTGATTTGATCAAAGATATATTATTTAGATAAATTGTATTTACTAATGTTTATAAATAAATTAAATGAAAGCATTAAATTTTTTATAGGAAAAAGCTGAGCAAGAAGGCACTGGTTTCATTCCTTTTAAAGATGAAAGAGACGAGCTTGGAAATCTCAAGGGTTTGACAAAAAGAAGTTTTTCAAGAGCAAATAAAAAAAAAAGCGAACATATTTTTGATAGAACTACATCAAATACTTCCAAAACATCTTCTATGTATTAGATCATTATTTATATATGATAGAAACAAAAAAGTGAGATTTCTTAAAGAGATTTACTCAACTCATGGAAATTCTGATTGGTGTAGCTTAACTAATTTACGTAAGCTAGATAAAAAATTTTAATTAAATATTGAAACAGAGATCTAAGTTTAAAAACCACTCACAGGATTAAACTAAAAGTTGTAATTTAATGATGGAATTGTAAGAAAGTTTACAACAAACATTTGCAATTCGCCAAGACTTGGAAAAAAATAGAAAACAGAAAATTATATTCCTCCTTTGGGATATTATCAACCCTAAGAAATCTTAAAAAGATAACCCATGCTCGTTTTTATGGATTAATAAATTTCAAATAGCAATAGATTATCCCAGCACAAATTCAGTAGAACCGAAGCCTCCACAGCCTAACCTGGTATTAGGCAAAAACTTTCACCCAATAAAGGATCGCCAGTTCCATAAGAGATTTTAGAGAAAGCTTTCAAAACAGAGAGAATCATTACTTAATAAAAATATAAATATGTACCTTAAATGATAGATGAAAAAAATCTCGAAAATTTAACAGCTAGAATAAATTGTATCAGATAGAAAATCTTGCATTAAAAAATTAACAGTATATCGAATCAATGATTCTCATGCTTATTTTTTATTAAAATGATTATCTTTTGATTCTAATTTATCTATTAAAAGATATAAGGGCTATATAGTTGTATTTCCTTCAAATTTATGGTCATTTATTTTCAAATGCAGTAGATAGATAATGATATTTTGTTATTATTTTCAATATATAAATAAAAGTAAAAAATAATAAGAAATGTTAAATTTATTATTTGTGCTCTCCTCCTCTTATGTATCTTAAAAGAAATGTAATCAATGATATTACAATAAAAGCAAAAGTAAGATAGAGATATAATATTGGGCCTGTAAACCAGTAATATCAATAAACTAAATGAATATAAATATAAATACTAATGCTAATTACAATTATTATTTTGATTTATTTTTATTCGTTGAATTATTCATTTTTCTTTTGATTTGAATTTTAGTATGTCGTCATCCGAAAATAGTAGCTGTACAGTGGAACTAATTTTTGAAAGAAAGAAATAGAAAATAGTTAAACTTAGAGACTAAGGAAGCTTTAAATAATAAATGAATTAATTTTTACAATAATAATAACAAGGTAGTTAACTGATAACTTTTAATTAGCATTTTTTTATAAAATAGAATAGTCATTAAAAATGAAATCTATGAGAACAAACAAAAATATTGAATTTTAATTTATTATTTTACTAAAGAAATAATTTTACTTTCTAAAATTCCGAATTGTTTTCTAAGACTTGGATATTGACATATCCGAGGCGAATGCCTTATTATTTTCTTAAAATTGCAAATTTTAGATGAAAAAATCTAAAAGTAAACATAGTTTTTCAAATCAAAGTTGTAAGGATTAAATTATAATTCTAATATATAATGATAAAAAAAGAGTTTATTTAATAATCTTCGTAAGACTCATTGCAGTTTTAAAAGCAATTTACCTTCCTCCATGTTGTATCTTGATCAGTTCAAGAATTATTGTTACTTTTTAAAACAAAAATTAAGGAAATATGGCATTAATTAATTTCTGAAATATTTTACTAATAATAATATTAGCTTGATTTAGTTTTTTAATTATATTTACCATTAAAGGAGGTTGTATGTCATCTCAATAGGGATTTTTACATATAGAAGATGATTTAAGAGCTTAATTATAAATCTTACAACAAGAAACAACCTAGAAGCTCATAGAGAATCATGTAAAGATTAGAATATATTTAATTATTATTTTGTTCTGGAACATTTAAATTTCCTTTTTGATATGATAAATTGTTCAGATACACCACAATATTTATCTATAAATTTGAATTCTAAGTGTCCTTAGATTTATTATTATTATTTAGATAATAAATCAGAATGCCTTATATTTCTCAAATAAGAGATTTAATAATTAGGGAAAAAGTATCTGTATTTTTAAATTTCTTAGTCTAAACCAATAAACAAGTTGAATGAATTTTACTTGAGTGATTCATAAGGCATATGCAGAAGAGATATTCTCGTTTAATGGATTGTGGCAGTATCTATATTCACATATAATTAGTAATCTTCTCAATTCAGACATTCTCTAAAAACCATCGAACTTGCAGTCATATACATTGATACTTATCTTAATTGTTTTAATATAACCTAATAATATCTATAGTTATTGGGAATTTCAGCCTATTCTTTAGCATCTAAAGTAAAAATGGAAATAACATTTAGTTTAATGAAACAGAAATGGTGTCGTAGATTAAACTGTACGATTCTGATGGTTAGAATCTGTATTAGAATGGAGAGTATGATGAAATGGAGGAGTAAATAATTAAAGTTATGGGGTTTCAGCTAAATTACATTACTTCATCAGATTATTTAATGGCAATGAATATAGAAATAAATGAAAATATCTAAAGTTTATTACTGTTCATTCTCCTAGGTATACATTTAAAACTATTGCAGATGTTGACATTTACAAACATTCTCACATCGAACTTGCTTTAGCCATAGTTGCTTATAGCCAAGAAAAGAAAATCTAATTTACAAATAAAATTCTTCAGCTATCCTAATTCATACATAATAAAATACTACAAGCTTAAGAAATTGAAATAGATAAAGAATAAAAACAAGATTCTGAAAGTAAAATACGAAATAAACAAATAAACAAAAAGATTACTAAAAACAAAGGCATGAATCACTAGAAAGCTCCAAAACAATCAGTTTGAAGTTCTAGAAGATTAATTTCGTTTCAATTGATCAAAGGATCTAAATAATGAACAAAAATTATGTTTTTGTTATTATTTAAACAACTTTAAATACTTTTCTTTCATAAATCTAAAAATAACTAAACCATTGTTTTTAGTATTGTCTAAATTCTTTATTATAGTTACCTCAAAATAGTCTATTCTCAAAATCACAACACCTCTTTAATAAAAAACTTCTTTTATTTTTAAAAGAAACTTGCTTTTTGTCTTAATAGAGCCCTAAATGTATTGCTGCTAATCGATGAAATATTGTAATATATCAGCCAAGAAAACGGAGTATATTTGAATAGAAATTAGCTTAATGATGCTAATTTGGATTGATTTATTTTTAAAGAATATGATAAAAATTGCAACCAGTTATTTTTGCTAATTAAGAATTTCCTTAAATTAAAGGTTTTTGAATTGGGTCAAGTAGAAAAGAGAATATTTATTTTTTTTATATGGCTGACACAAAATCAAAGAAATTAAATAACAATTATTAAGTATCAGTTCTTTTCACTCGAATTATTAGAGTGAAATGAAGTATTGTTGATTTTTTCATAGAGACTAGCCTCTAATCTGCTGAATTCCTTTTTTGTATCACCTAACATATTCTCTAACGTATGCAATTAACTAATAAGGAACATCATTTTTTGATCTATTTTACCATCCTAAACCATCTAATTTTCAGTTTCATTTTTACCTTCATTTACATTGGCTCTAAAAGTTATTTAACAATAATACCCTAATTGAGTAATTCCAATTTAACCTAGATGATTAAATTTTTACAGAAATGTATTCATAACCATTTATTTTTGCTCATCTTCTTCCTCTTTGACTTTAACACTCTTTGCAATTTGCCTTTTAGTTTTTTTTTTATTTTCTTGCAACTATTGTTATTATTATTATTATTGTTATTATTGCTATTATTATTATTATTATTATTATTGTTATTATTATTGCTATTATTATTATTATTGTTATTAGATTTTATTGTCATCAGAAGCGAGAATCATTTGCCATTTGGCTTATTTAGGATCACCCATTTCAACATAAAATTTTTTCATTACTTCATTTAATTGTTAATTAAAGAATGCCAATAATTTTTCTTAGAATTCATTCATTTTATCGGAATCCCCATTTTGGGATTGAGCATCTATTTTTTATTGAGAAAAATTAGCTAATTATTATTCAAGATTTTATTAGAAATCTAATTCCTTTTCTTCAGATGAATTTTTATAGTCATCCTTTTTTAGTATCATTTTTCTAAGGTTCTCTACTTTATCAGACAATTTTTTATCTTTTTTCTTCTAGTTATACCTTTTTTTATATTTTTTATAAATGGTAGAATAATCCTTCATACATGAAGTGCGTTTAATAGGTCCTCCTTATTGTTTAAGTAACCTATAAAGTAGATTTTATTCTTAATATGTTTCTGCCTGCATTTTCTTTCGTGATTTACTATCATCATCATCTTCGGATTTAATTTCAGATTCTTCCACTTTCTCCTCTTGCATAGATTTATCAGATTCAGGTTCCTCTTATTCCATTTACAATTACATTTGCTGTTCGTATTTTTATAGATGCTCTTTTACAAAGGTCTGTAAAGCTGAAGTGCCATTTTCTCCTTGTGCCTCGAGCATCTAAAATAAATAAAATGGGTATGTACCTTAAGTGATATCCCATTTTTTTCTTAATCAGCCAATAATTTTCTAACTGTAGAATAAAACCTGTTCTTCACCGAATTTTCAGTTCTGCCTGATAAGTTCTTCGCAATTTTTGACCAAGATGACGAATACTGTAGATAACCTTTAAATATCTCATGATCCTCCTCTAGGAATAGTTATTAGATAAAAACCAGATGTCCAGCCTCCTTTTTTAACATTAGGATTGAGATTATTGAACCATCGTTCTCTGCATTGCTTTCCCGACCTCCCTGCAATATTTTCAGCGCACAAAGACCATTTACAAGGCCCATTATTCTTAACCCATTCTAATAGCTTTTCATCCTCATCATCTTACCAAGGCCCTAAATTATAAACACGCCATAAGTACCTTTCTTCAGTCCCGGTTTGAGTATTTTGGTCCATCTGTGCAGACATTGTATTGCACTCCTACCTTCCATCATGTCACTTATGATTCGCCAACTCTTTTCTCCGTATTCTACAAATAAATTTCATTAGAAAACCTTCAATCAATTTTTAAAGCTTCTCATCCTCTTCAGGCGTCCATCTGCCCACCTTTTTTTTATCATTTTCATAATCAGCGATCGGAGACTGTTGATTAAGTTTGCGTTTGTCGCTCTTTCTTTTCGATTTGCCTTCATACATATCTACCTCATATTTTATTATTTAACCTCTCGACATCTATTGTTTTTTTTGTTTAGTTTTCGTTTTTATTTAATTTATCCGTTTTTCACATTATTCTAAAACGATTAGAGGCACTTCCAATTAGACGTCATATCATAGTTCTTATTTTATATATAAATAAGTAGATAATCAATTGATAGAAAAAGTTATTTATCAAACACTTTTTTTGTTTATTTGATATTAACTTACTTTAATTATTAATATTCTCACAAAAGTGCATAATAATTCTTAGATCTAGTATTACTACTTTTATCTATTCTGAAGAACTAATACTATATATTTTAAAATAACATAATATATTTAGTCAAGAAACAATTTTTGTCCGATCTTGATTCTTACAATATATTGATAAATAAAGATATTTCACCAATTAATATGGAGTATCTAACTTGAAAATAACAAACAAGATCGAAAGGGAAACCCACTTATTTCTAGCGAGAAGAATTACCTTACACATTTGGAATTTAAATTCAGGATAATATATATATTGTTTTTTTGATTTATTGTCTTATAAATCTTTAAGATACAAGCATTTTGGAATATAATACTAATATAATAAGAATCTATAATCAATATTAAGATATACTTAGGTTTAAATGCTATTTAATATAAAATTGGTAATTATTTTTATACTTAACATATATATTACTTTAATACTAAAATTTTATGACATTTTTAGTTTAAACTTCACTGCTAATTTTCACAATCACATCACCATTATATTTAGATTAACTTATAAAATAAATATCCAAATTATATGGAAAATATTAACAATATAATTAAAAGTAAATAGGATAAATACACTTTATAAGATTTGATGAATTAGAAACTAGCTTATAAGAAATTGATAATAGCCAAATAATAGAAAGGATATTTAACAACAATAAATTTGATAACTCTCTATTCTTAATTAATGGGCTATAGAATGCTAAGACCAAATTAAATAAATAGATTTTATTTAACTTAAAATGCAAATAACTAATTTTTCAAGCACATACATTTCATGAAGAATAACAACAATAATTGATTGACGCTGTAATGGATTATTATTTTAGTATTGTCATAATGATATATTAAGCATAGATAATAATTATGAGTTAGTCGAACAAGAGTTGAAAATTGTTTAATTGAGTTATTACTTAAAATTAATTAAATAATGGGTAATTGTAACATTACTGACAAAAAAGAGTTTTCAGAATCATAAAGTACTTAGATTGATATATCCTAGATCTTTCTGTCAATAATTTTGAGTTTATAGAGGTTTTAGGAAAAGGAGGATTTGGAAAAGTGTGGAAAGTGAAGAGAAGAAAAAACAAAAGTTATTTTGCATTGAAGATGATGTCAAAGGCAAAGTATATAAAATTGTGACTCATAGAATTATTGGGAAGAAAAGTGTAACTTCAGTTATGAATGAAAGAGCACTTTTGTGTTAACTGAGACATCCATCATTAATAAACCTGGTTGGTGCATTTCAAGACAGAGAGAATTTATACTTAGTTATGGATTTATTAAGTGGAGGAGATCTTCGGTATCATATTGGAAAGAATAAAAAGTTTTCAGAAGCAGAAACTAGTAACATCAGTTTTAATATTAGAATTTTTTTGTGCTTGCATCATAATTGCCTTAGAGTATCTCCACTCTTAAGGAATAATCCATCGGGATTTGAAACCTGAAAATTTAGTATTTGATTCAGAAGGCTATCTACGATTGACTGATTTGGGTATAGCAAGAATTTGGAGACCGGATAATTCTGCTGATACCAGTGGAACTCCTGGATACATGGCTCCAGAAGTATTATGCAGACAGAATCATGGAATTGCAGTGGATTATTTCGCATTGGGAGTAATTGTTTATGAATGCATGATGGGAAGAAGACCTTATGTTGGAAGAAGTAGACAAGAGATAAGAGACAATGTGTTGGCTAAACAAGTTTAAATTAAAAAAAATGAAGTTCCAACCACATGGTCTTTAGAAGCAGCAGATTTCGCGAACTAAGTAAGCTTTAAAACTATCAACTCAGTTAATTCAGAGAAAGCCAGCTCAAAGATTAGGCTCTGACAATCCGGAAGCAGTGAAAAATCATAAGTGGTTTGATGGATTCGAATGGAATAAATTACTTAATAGATAATTATAGCCTCCTTACTTACCACATAATTATAGCAGCTCAGATGGGTCGACTAAGGATACAGAGTAGGATACTAAAGAAAACAATATAATGCTTAGGCGTAATTCGATTCAAGGTATTCATTTAAGATCTATGAAGCATAATTTGAGGGATATAGTCATGATCCAAATGAACTTATTTCTGCTGAACTAACAAAATTATGATTTGATATATTATTAACTAATTTCTTATAAATTTTCACATTTTGTTATTCAACTTTTTTTTGCATTTAGATCTAATTGATGATTTCCTTCAAGTTGAAAGGTTTAAACTTGAACCTAAAAATTGTAATAATTAAGTGTATACAAAATATAAATTAAACTCATATTTAATTAATTTGATATTCCCTAAAACATTTCTTGATAAAATTTACAGCCTATTCATTGTTGTAATTTTTGCTAATCACAAAGCTGTATAAGTCTTAAACCAAAATTTATTAAGCTGGATGGTTTTTAGGCAATTTTACTTTCATTTCAAGGCATTTAGAATAGAAATTCCTTTTGAACTCTAGAGATTATTTAAGATTGTTTTCAGTTTAAAATTTTCTGTAATCATAGATTGAATAGTTATTCTCACTCATGTTTTATTCAGTTTTTAATCGAGCGGTGCTGTTTTAAGGTAAGGAATTGTATGTGACTTGCTTACGTTTATTTTATAATTCTAACTTTTCTTTTAATAGAGATTCTAATCTTGTTAGCATCATTATAACACTCATAGATTGCGGAGGGTAAGAAAGTAAGACTTTTACTTCGCTTTCCATATCTTCAAGTTTTTTTACACTTAACATATTATAGCATTTTATGCCGACAATCTGTTTACAAAGTTCTTAAATTCTAATTAAAAACTTTGATTTTTCAGAACCTTGTTCACATTTTTCCATACCATTCTAGGCTACTTAATTAATATGCTCCAATTAAAAAGAAATATTGTCAGAATAACATTCGATATTTCTTTTATTTTCCATGCAACCAAGACAGTGAGAGTCTATATCATTTATTGGAATGAAACTAAAGCATTGAACACAAAATCCCATCTATTCTGAAGGCTGCTATAATCGTCTATTAAATTTTAAAGTTTTATTCATTTTCAGATTTTATTAATCCCACCATAATGTATTAATTATGTGGATTTCTTCAAAATGTAGATGAACATAACAGTCATATTAAATAAAAAACAAAATTCTAAGTTCATCTTTTTGGGCTTTTATTGGTTTTCAACTAAGTACATCTCATTAAAACTATATTTAGAATTACGCAACTTCAAAAATGTAGAAGAAATCTTGTTTTTACACTTTAAATGGCAAATATAAGAAAGATGAAAAATTTATATCTATTTTATGTGAATTCGTTAATAAATTTAATTAAAATTTTATATTATAATTTAAAGATTACTGGAATTTCTAAATTTAGTATCAAGTATCAATATGGTAATCGAATTTAAGAAGAAAGTTGAAGAATTAAAATTTTTTTATCAAGGACAACATTTAATTAAATGCATATACATTAATTTTTAAAATGAATTATTTTTTCAAAGAGTAAAACTTTTGATCTAGTTGTCCTAACCTTCAAATCCAATAATATAATTTGGTTGTTTCACACTAATCTAAAAGTACTCTTCTGTTTCTATGATGTTACTAACCTCTGATATGAACAGTAATCCAGTATCACTAAAAATTAGATATCAATTACATAATGAATTCTCTTAATGTCTATGGGATTGATGCTAATTAAACTCTATATTATTTGATTGATGTATCTATGCTCGTATTTGATAAGGAGTCATCTGAAATATTTGAAACCTAGATGTTCTTTAATATTAATGGAACATAAATATCATTTTAAGCTGGTATGAATATGCTCTATTTGCCTATTTAAATACTTGACAAATCAAATTAAAATTAAGGATCAGATAATTTGAGTTTTTATTGTACTTCAATAATATTGTCAGATTTCTATTTTTAATTTAAATATTCAATTTAACCCTTTAAAGATTAAATTTAGACTGTCATCTCTAAATTCTCCTAAGTTAAACAGTTAATTCTATCATCGTATTGTAATTATATTTAGTTAAAATCATCCTGTTATTTCAATAATTGTAATTAGTCTTGATTTTTCAATGAGATTATTTCATTATTCTTTTATTAAAGAGCTAAATCTAAATTATCTATTTTATTTTAAAGTGACCTGCAAGCCTCCTCTAATTTTTAGTCCTTTTAAGATTTCTTTACTTATTCTTCATTCAAATTTTCAAATCTGGAATTCTTTTCTATATAATCTTCTAACAATTCATTATAGACTTAAATCTATTTTTCCAATTCAATTTATTTATTATCTCTTTCCAATTCCACAATCTTAATTTTCTATCTCAACTTTTCATTTTCATTTTAGACTGTTTCTACTTAAGAGTAGTAATCCTACACTTATTGTAAATATTATTTATTCAATAAATCCAATTCATTTATTTAATCATTCTGATTCTCATATTATTATTAGAATGATTATTTATGCTTGAGTAGATCTTGCTAAATTTATTTAGATTATGTTAATTAATCATTGAGTTATTTTTACAATTACTGTAATTTAGATATTTCACCATTCTTCTATATTAGATTAATTTCCAAATTCTCACATTTACTGACAAATTTATTTAAATCATCCTTTAATTTAACAGTGTTATTTTATATAGATTCTAATTTTTATTAAAGTTCTGCAATTAAACTATTTTTAGTATCGATTTCCACTAATTTTGATTCAAAATCTTATTCCTGCTTTTAAAATTTAATTTTCAACTTCTCATATTCTTGTTTTTAGGTATTTAATTGTTCGCTATATTCATTTTTCAAGTTTATAAGTTTTGAATCATTTTCTCTTTAAGATTTATCTGAATTGACATCTATTGATGATAGTGGTTTGTTTTCAGCTCTTTAAATAAACATTTTCATAGAATTCTTTGCTGTCAATTAGAGTAATTCTATATAAGTGGAAGACTTTTTAGTAGTTTTCTCTTAATAGAACAGATGAGTTTGCTTGCATTGCTGATTTAAATCCTCTATCTATTATTTTAGTTAATCCTGATCATTATCCTATCGTTTCTTAATAGTATCTGTGTGTAAACCAGTTATATTTGGTAATTCAGCATCTACAAAAGCATTTATGATTTGAATTGATGGAGTTAAATTTTTTAATTGGCCAATAAAATCTTAAGGCAAAATTCTACCATATTATTACAAAAATTTCTTCCTTTTTTCCTTTTCTTGATCTATCAAGGACATTAAAGATTTAATTTTCTTATCAAAAATATCTCTAAATTCTTTCCTTCTACTAGTTTCTATTAATGCCTATTAATAAGCCTATGGTAATAAAACAGGATTTAAAAGATATGAAAAATCTTTCTCCATTTTCTCCACCTCTTCATCATATTGTTTGATTTTTTCATTATGTTACTCAAATTCTTTGTCAAGAGCTCTTAAGTTTTAAAAAACTTTCAAAATCTTAGACATATTTTATTATTTTAATTGGTTGAATTACATAAATACTTATTTTGCTAATATTATGTGGAAATAAGATACTTTTCTCTAAATGATCTCCTAAATGAATAACAGCATCTTCAAATTATTTTAGTTGTTCTTAAGATAATTCAAACTAAGATAAATAGTACATTGCTGGTTCATCATTAATGTCCTAGGAAAAATCAATCATATATTGTCTTAAGGTATTGTATTCTTGTTATATTAAATACTTTTACCATCGATAGTGGATTAGACCACTGATTATAATAGTGATTTATTTTCTTGGATGAATTATTAATATTATTGTTAATTTGCTTTATAACTCGATAAGCATTGAGTCATGTTTTCTGTTTTTTCGTTTTTAATCTTCTATTTAGATTTGGATATTGATTGACTCAATTTGTCAATTTTCTATTTTAAATTTTATTAAGTATTCAAACAACTATTTTTCCATTTCAACATGGATTCTGGTTTATAATAGATGTCACTTAAATATTTTTATGAATTCGTTTGCAAAGCAGTATGTAATTCTATTTTTTTTAACTACTCCAAACTGTCATCAAATTTTTTAACTGTTTATAGATTTCTTTCTAATGATTCTTTTTATTTTTTTGTCAGCTCCTCTTTCTTAGCCTTTGTTATCTTATATGTAGTCCTACTCATTTTTAATACAATATCAAATGACTATATTTGATTTTCCAAGTCTTATCCAATTTTTTCTAATTGTTTAACTTTCTATTAATAAGGTATATATTTATTCTTTAAGTTTTGTAAATGCTAAAAAAATATTTTCTCATGATTGAGAATGTTTGTGTTCAAATTTATTAATGTTTCTTTTGCTTATTCTGATAGTAACAACTATTTTAAGTCCATTTTAGGCTCATATTTAGGGAATGGAAAAGAAACTTGTTCTGGATTTTCACTTAGATCGAATAAATAAATTGTCTATTCCAATATTATAGAGTTTATTACATAAAATTTTTATTCGTCTGGAAATTATTAAACAGTTTATTGCAATTATTAATCTACATCAAATTAATTTAAATCTTCCAGTCTTACTCCTTTCTTTGTAAGAAGTAATTAATTCTTCACTTCTACTTTTGTTTCATTTTAAATTTATTCTTATAGATATTGTAACCTATGATATTTGTAATAAATACCGTTTATTTTCAGGTGTTAGAGTCAATAGGAACTAATGACCATCAATACCAATTTTTACGATGAAGTCCATTTTTCTATTTTTTTTGAATTTGAATTAATTAATTAAAAAAGTTGTTATATTAACTATTATCATAATGGTTGAGGTAATTAATGAAACCACTTCAAGAATTACCCTTAACAAATCATAATTAAAAATTTACAATAATGAATTTGAAAGTGATATTTTTTTATAAGTAACATTACAAATTTTGTAAAAATTCAATTTATTTCACAATAAAAATTAAAAATATGAAATATTATAATTCATATTCATTACCTTCCTTTTCACTTATATGAAATGCATAAAAAATCGAACCTAAATTTGATTAGTATAATTTGAGACAAACAGAAAGTTTGTAATCCAGAACTACCTAAAGATCTCCTAGAATTCAACACCTAAATTCAATATTATAAAACTAATTTGTTTAATCATGTTTATCCTGTAAATTTCTCTCCTAAAGTTGGTGAACTAAGAATATTTAATGAGTCAAAGTGATTTCCATTAACAGGGTCATATTTGTAAGTAATGTAGCTTAAGGATTGAAAATTTCATAAATGTATTTGGCATAACGAAGATAATTGATTTTATTATATGATTTTATAAAAAATCATTGCAAATATGTTTAATTTCACAAAAGAAATGATTGCTTCATAAATTAATTTATTTATTTATAATTTAATAAAATCATTCTTATTTTCTTAAAATTAGATTATATGGAACTAGTGAAAAAACTAAATTAGCCATAGCTTCTTCGGGTTTTAAATTTTTCTTAACTACAAGATGGTAAAATGCTCCAAGCGTAACTTCGCTATATTCTTAAAAGAGGTTATGTCTTGGAAAATCGATGAAAACTTTTTATGTAAATAAGCCATCATCTACCAATAAAAAGTTTAGCATTTATTAATTGAATTCTCCATAGCTTTATAGCGTAAAAATCTAGATAAATTCAACGATTATACCTTTAGAAAATTAAGTTGTGATACTTTTTGTAGATGAACATACATACAACACTTTTATTGTTATTCTTAAATCACAATATCTATTGAGAAAAAAGCTTATTTTATAATCTTATTTTATGTGAAGTTATCATATATCTCTTAAACTTGCTAAAATATAATGTATAATATTTACATTTTATAAATTTTCGAGTCCTTCTTTTGAGTAAAGCTCTTCTATTGTTGCAATTAAAACAGTTTTATCATTTTTTTGTGCCTATTCTAACATTTCAAAAAAGGTAGCTCTAACATCTTCCTCATTATCCTGCAATAGTGTGTATAATTCAGTCGATTGATGTAAAGCCCAAAATGCTCTTGCAATTGTGTCATCATTAATAATTATTTCAGTCTAAAGAGTTTATTGCTCGTAAATCAATGTAAAAACTGTCATCATATACTTTATATATCTGCCATCAGCTCCAAATGAATCAAGTTTGTTTTTTGATTAAATTGGAAGAATCACTTGAGAAATTTCAAACTCTTCACATGAGAAAAGCTATTGGAACATCCCCAAAAATTGACCAAATTCTTCCCCCATTTGATCTTCATTTGGCTATTCATCGTAATATAATATTAATTATTTTGAAAGGGGATCCTTTTCAACTAAATAGAACGAAAATGGATTATCTTCAAATGGGAAAAAGTTTTTTTATTCACCAAAGTTTGGTCTTCCAGTTTTTTCAAGAAACTTGCCCTATAAATACTATTCTAATTTTTCAATATCATCTTAAATATCTTCTTCTTAAGAAATAAATTTTTCAAAAATGAACAATATCTATGCTGTTTCATCAAAATCTAAAAAGTAAGCTTCATCTTAAATGATAAAATCTTCAAACAATTAAATAACATATTCAAAAGAATTAAATTCTTACATTGTAATTGGCATATTTTTTCCATATTTTGTTCCCTTAGTATACTTATTTATTTAGGGCAAAATTTCTGGGGTTATAAGAATCTAATCAATCTCCTCACCTTCATCGCCAAGTTACTAGATTCCAAGCATATCTTCAGGATTCTCCTTTTCGTCTTCAGAGTTGAAATTAATATCGCTACCAGGTTTTTTCAAAGGCTATTCATATTGATTAAGTCCTAAATTATTTTTCATAATATACCTCTCTATAGTGGTTATTAAATAAACTATTAGCCTTTTGTAATAGGTTCATTATCAAAACCATCATAAGGATCATCATCATCTGGAAAATCAATTGCATAAGGATCGATCATTTTCTGATTATTTGGCATTATTTTTTAAGGTTCAGGATGAGGTTCAGGTTTTTTTTGAGGAGGGTCCGTTTTTTTTGGAGGTTCAGATTTTTGGACATCTTTAAGAGGAGGTTCAGGCTTTTTTGGTGGTTCTGGTTTTTGGATTTCCTTAGGAGGAGGTTCAGACTTTTTAGGTGGTTCTGGTTTTTGGATTTCTTTTTGAGGAGGTTCAGGCTTTTTAGGCGGTTCCGGTTTTTGGATTTCTTTTTGAGGAGGTTCAGACTTTTTAGGTGGTTCTGGTTTTTGGATTTCTTTTTGAGGAGGTTCAGGCTTTTTAGGTGGTTCTGGTTTTTGGATTTCTTTTTGAGGAGGTTCAGGCTTTTTAGGCGGTTCCGGTTTTTGGATTTCTTTTTGAGGAGGTTCAGGCTTTTTTGGGGGATCTTATTTAGGTTCAGGCTTTTTTGGTGGTTCTGGTTTTTGGATTTCTTTTTGAGGAGGATCAGGCTTTTTTGGGGGATCTTATTTAGGTTCAGGCTTTTTTGGTGGTTCTGGTTTTTGGATTTCTTTATGAGGAGGATCAGGCTTTTTTGGGGGATCTTATTTAGGTTCAGGCTTTTTTGGTGGTTCTGGTTTTTAGATTTCCTTAGGAGGAGGATCAGGCTTTTTAGGTGGTTCTTGTTTTTGAATTTCCTTAGGAGGAGGCTCAGACTTTTTAGGTGGTTCTGGTTTTTGAATTTCCTTAGGAGGAGGTTCAGACTTTTTAGGTGGTTCTGGTTTTTGGATTTCCTTAGGAGGAGGATCAGGCTTTTTAGGTGGTTCTTGTTTTTAGACTTCTTTAGGAGGAGGATCAGTTTTTTTGGGTGGTTCTTATCTAGGAGGTTCAGGCTTTCTAGGTGGATCCTTGCGTGCTTATTGTCCGGGATCTGGTTTTTTTTGTTGGTTATATCTCCTTTCATTATCTTCTCTCAACTTTATTGGGTCTAATGGTTATCCCATAACTTCATCGACATAATGTTATGGAGTAGAACCAACATATACCCCTCTATCCAAGCTATGAAGCTTTTGAGCCTTATTTTTATTTATGATTGTTTCATATTTACCTCCTTCTAACTCAGGTTTTTGATAGTTTGCAACTACTTTTTCATAATAAAGTTCATTTGTAATAGAACTACCTTCCATGATTTTACCTGTATTTACAGGTTAAGTTGGTCTGGTTGATTAATTTTCTTTAAAGAGCTCTCGCTATTGTTATTATCTTATCATCAAATCAGCCTAAGCATTAACTAATTCAGATCTTCTTTTCATTTCATTTTCCTGCTCTTTTTACATATGATCTCTAACATGCTGTTACCTTTGAAGTTCTTTTTATACTTATTATAAATAAGGATTTTGTTTGTTTCTAGAAAGTTATTGTTCAACAGACTTATCAGTTTATGACATTTATCCTTAAAACTTACTGATATCCGAGTTTAATAAGTTGGTTAATTCACTATAAAGACTATCTACGTGTTATTTAATTTAATTTGAGGATGGCGTTCTACCAGGTGTCATTTTTGTATAAAATTATTTTGCCTTCTCCAAAGCCTCTTGGAGTTTGGTTTCAATTTAGACTTTTGATTCATCTTTATGATCTAAGATATCCTTAAACAAAGTGACTGCATCATATTATAGATTGGAAGCTTTGTTTGCAAAGGCGTTTAATTTTTACAATTATTGTAACTATTGCTCACTTGTCAAGGGAACCTTTCTTAAATCCTCTTCATTGATTCGATCCTCTTAAATTAGATAGTAATTTTCATCTTCCTTTAAAGATTCCCATTCGTTTTAAGTTTTTAATAGTTTTTTATGAAGTTCTTCTCTTTTCTTCTAATATTCGCTTTTTTCTGTTGTTGCAAATTAGAAATATTCAGGAGCAATTTCTTTAAGTTCCTTATTAATTTGATTATAGAATTCGTTGTAAATGATTCTTCTATCTCTCATACACACAGTTTTACTTACGTAATACAAATCATCAGTGGACATTTAGGGATCTGATCTATCATTGATAATTTAATGAAATCTTGATGATAAAAATATAGGATTACTTAGACAACACAACATCCTTATTAAATACAAAGAGTGGACTTGTATTTTCATGTTCGGTAGCATCCTTAATTTATTTCATTGAAATAAGAAACATGGATTCAATCAATTCATCTATTTTTTAAAATTAGGTGAGTTCATTATTGCAAACCCTCTCCAATAGATCTTCTAGATTGAATTTAGTGATATTAATTATAAAATGCCATCCTTAATCATACTTCAATAATTCATAGACTCTTAAAATTTGATCAATTTTTTTTATAACTTCTCTATCATATTCTTGTGGAGTTTTTCTGGAAGCAAACTTAGTTACAAGATCGTTTGACATATCTATTAATTTTTATCTAATGTGCTGTCTAGTGTCACCGATTCGGTAATCACCTGGAATTAATACTTATACTTATTTTCCATCCAATTTGAAAACGTGTTAATCAAGGTGATCAAAGAACTTATGCAATCTTTTATCCAAAACAAAAAAGAACTTTTTCAAGAAATCATCAATATGAAAACCTAACATATTTAAAAATGGATTACCATTTACGATCATATGTCCAAATGTTTGATTTAATTTTTTCATCTAATCGTCGAATTATCGTATGTTTTTCCTAATCAAAGGAAAATGTTTTTGCAAATGTCTAACAAGTTCTTAAGGATCAAATATTTTGATGGCTTTATAATTTGGTTTCATTATAATGTCAGGCTCAAACACTTGCTTATACAAAGATTTTGGATATTCCTTGTGATATCCAACACAATTGGAAGCTAAATAGGGAGCTATGTCTGTTTTTTTAGGATATTCCTATTCTTATTGCATTTTAAATTATTTATATTATAAACTGTTAGAGAAATAATTCCCCTTTAGTATTTATTTTTTAATCCAAAAATAATTCAAACTTATATGTTCCTTAACTTTGAATCTATTCCTCAATTCCGCGCATATCAAAATATCATTAAATAAATGTTATTAAACATAGCTCACATATTCTATTTAATACTAAAATAAAAATCAAAACTAAAATAACACTTGTCTTCTCAGAGGTTTATACTACTTTCATCTTGTGCTGAGAATCAATCTTATGTTAAGTTCCTATATAATTTATATTATTTAATTTATTTATATGTAATATCATTTATTAGTAATTTGTTAAGATCAAAGTAAATATTTTTAGTTTGCTTTTTAATCTTAGTATTTCATTTTATGAATATCTATGAGACGATTACAGTATGTATTTTAACAACTATTTTGCTTTTAAAATTCAAATATATGGATCGTGTAATCTGTGTATATGATTGAAGTTGGAACTGTAATGATTACTCCTTGTTATGAATTACAAAACTCTAGTTGTTAATAAATATTGGATTTCAGCAGTATTTAAAATAATATATATATAATACGAGAAATATTAACTCGAATGTTATAAATATTAAGATAAAATTCGTTTTCTATCTATTAAAAAACCTTAATGTTTTAAATTAAATGAAATTGAGGATGCTGAATTTAGATTATATCTAAGTAATTTTCATAGTACTTTATTTACAAAAATATTTAATTAAATATCAATAGTTGATGAACTCTGAATTACACTCTAATAGAGAACTGTTACAAGGAATGAAAAAATCAGACTCAATGAGAAGCTAGAGACAATTAAAATCCTGTCCAGCTTACTTCAAAACATTGCAATTTTCAAAATATTAAAACATTTAGACATCAGAATAAAATTAGTAATTTTCTAAGGCGAACCCCCTAAACGTTTTCATCAGAATAATAAAGTTTATTACATTAATCACACAATCGATATTTCCATAGGATTTTAAATATTTGGATGCCAACATGTTTAAAATAATTGGTGATAAAGCAGCAGATTTTAGCTTTTATGTGAAACAGGATTACTTCAAATATATAGTAAATATTATTTAATCATAGAAAGCAGCTCCAGAGTCGAGGCTCCAACACATATTATAAATAACTATACTCAAATATTACACTATACAATCATTATTTGAGTACTTTTCGCATAGTAAATTCCTATTTAAGCCAGAATAAACAAGTATACTCATATGGAATGTTTACTTGCTTATAATGATCAACTTTAACTTTTTGTATTGTTCCATTAAATTCTCCTTTGACTTCGATAGCAGAGAGCCAGAAAATTACAAACAAAGCGAAATCTTCTTCCTGATAATTCCCTTTATCAGTTATTTAATAGACATACTCGTGAAATTGAACAGTTGTTATTATGAGGCAGGCTATTTAGTGACAGACAGACACAAAATAATTAAAAACTTTTATCATTCGAATGAATGCATAATTGATTCAATAATCATAGTGATATCATTAGGCTATTTTTTTGATTCGCAAGGTAACAATCTGTTGTCACTATTTATGATAATAAAAATATTGGATGTTCCAAAAAGAGTCGGATTGATATTGGATAAATTGGAACTGACAACCAATTATTGGGCAGTCTATGACTTAGTCAGATTGATCTATTTGATAATAATTGAAGCCCACACATTTTGTTGTTTTCTATATTATGTGGGCAAATAAAATAAGGATGTCTCTTGGATTATCAAAGAGGATTTAGTTGAAGCTAATTTTATAACAAGCTACGTAAATAGTAAAATGATTTTAGTTGACCACATTCTATTGGAGTGTAATAACTATGACTACAATTGGATACGGAGACTTTACTCCATAGAATTTGAATGAGAGAGTATTGATAATATTTGTAGCCATTGTATCTTGTTGTACATTCGGTTTTTTTGTATCATCCATAGGATAAATCATCTATTCGATATAGAAAAAAGAACAATAAATAAGATTAGATTTGAATGATTTGAAAAAATACTTGAGGGTAAGAGGTTTTAACTCAGAATTGCAAATAAAAATTAGAAGATACTTTGAGTACTTATGGAATGATTGCATGGGACAAGATTAATTCGATATGTCTAAATTGTAACAACTATTACCTAGCAATTTGTATACTGTAATTATATACCGATTATCTTAGGAAATGATATTAGATTTAAATCTGAAAAGCATCTCAAAGATTCCATTTTTTCATGATAATTTTAGTTCTGATTTTTTGTAGGCTTTGGCTGGTGATTTCGAAGAGGAAAAGCTTACTCCTTGGTAGAGTATTTTTACAAAAGGAGAATAGAGTCAATATCTTTATATCCTTTGTGAAGGGGAAGTTGAATACTATGTATCTCTTCCAGAAGGTTCTGGGAATTGTGTATCTATTTAGAAAATGGATGGATAAGATGAAATCTTTGGACAATAGGATTTTTTATTGGACCAAAACTACTCAATAAATTGCAGAACTACAAAGCCATCAAGGATATTAAAAATGCATAGAGATAAGTTTCAATAGATAGCAAAGAAGTTTGGCTATGTATAAAAATTGAATAAAACATTAGGAAAAATATTGTTAATTAAAAGATTTGGTAAAATTCTCAGGAAGATTTGATGAGTTTCATATTTAATGTATTGGGTGTAATAAATCAACCCATTTGCTCTATAATTGTCCAATGCTTACCGGATTTCCAAGTAGAACCAAAACCTTGTTGAAATATAAGAAGAAGTGTTGTTAAGAAAGGAATCCTTTTCATAGAACCAATTTAGAAAAGAGAATATCAACTCTAAGTGTGGAAGGCAAAATCGCAGATAGTGTGTTATATTATTTGTTGAAAGATCCTAAGATGTCAGAAGAATTCAATTATCAACTTAAAAGGAATATGGCATCATCTTAAAATGGATATCTTAGAAAATCTTAAAAGAAGATAACCAATATACCCAAAAGAGGAGTGCCATTGTTTTTAAGTTAAGATTAATTTTAGAAAACAGCAGAAACTAATTTCGAAGAAAATCTAGGATTTCAATTCAGTAAAGGAGTATTTTAGTAATAGAAGAAAATGACACCTTTGGATTAAGAACTTAGTTTGGAAGAGAGTTCTAAAATAATTGCTACAGTGAATAAACAGTTTTAAACGAAGGGAACTTTAAACTTAAGCATTGGTAAAAGTAATGAGGTAATTTAAGAAGTGGAGAAGGATTATGATTCGAAAGAGGATAAGACTCTATTGATTGAATCTAAAAGTATGATAATCTATATTAAAAAGGAGATTATTAAGAATCTATGGGGAGGTATAAGGATATTTTTGAGTCTTTTGAGATTCAGCGAGATTATGAATTATACATGCCTCACATGAACTTCAAATTAATTTAAGAACTTTTCTAAAGGAGTCGGGAAATAGCTAGCTTCCATAATTTCATCGATGTGAATATTGTGAAAAGAAAATGGAAAAGATCTAAAATAGTCATTGTCTTGGAATCTTGAAATATAAATAATTTAATGTCTTATTAACCGAAGGGACTCAATGCTATAAGATTATCGTAGATAAATCAGACAATTTTAAAGACACGCAAAAGTTAAGAACATCCTTGTGACCTTTCTTCTGAATACCAATCAAGAAACAATTCTATCAAACACACCAGAGCTATTACTCAACATAATTAAAGATTCATGAATGAAGATGAAATATAAAAAATGCAAAGACCTTAAACATCAGAGGGAAGCAGACGTAATAGAATCTTAGAAAAGCATGGCTAAAATGGAAATCTGAATTCAAACTTAAAATGTGATATACTAGAATGTGATAATGAAGAAGATCATTTGTATAATAATATTCATAAACAATAGAGATTACCAATAGTAGTCAAAATACAATGTTATTTGCAACTCTAATAACACTACTAGGAGCACATAACCCAAAGCTCCGTTTTAGACGACTCTCGATCAAGATTTTTTAAGTTTGTTTGCAAATGATTGATTAATTAATCTTTATATTATTTTATAATAATTTCTATAGTATGTATTTAATAACTATTTGACGTCTAACCTATATGAAATAATGTTTCAGATGGATTTATGAATCTTAAATTCTCAATATTGAGTTATTCTCAATTTATTTTCAGATTCAAGCATTTAAATTTCTGTTATTAGAAATTAATTATTAATTATTAACATCTATTTTTATGAATTCAATTGAAAGAGCTAAGGAATTGTTGCAGAACATTAAGTCAAAGTCCAGATCGAATTTTGAGAAGGTGGCTTAAATAGAATTTAAATAATTAAATTTCTAACAACCAAGTCTTATATAAAATAAAAGTGAAAATTTGAATTCAATTTCCATTAATGACAAACAATATCCATACTAAACCATCATTCAATAATAAAAGAGATTGGCTAGTCAATTTTCAGACTTAATGAAATAGTTATATGATGTGGAATAATTGTTTAGAAATGGTTTAGAGGAAAATTGCTTAGTTTAGGGCTTAATAGGTTTATAAAATCTAGGGACCTATATGATTAAGGAGTTTGAAATCTTGAAAAAACTATAAAAACCAAAGCAGAATGCACAAACCACTCCAGTTAATAAAGAATGCATGGAACTCTAAAAAATCTATGATGAAAAGATGAGGATCGAGTTGATTTAGATCTTACTGTTTATTAAATAGAAAGTTCAAAGCGAGAAGATTAAACATATGAAGGAAGCCATTTACAATAATGATATATTGATATATGATTATGGGAACATCAAGAAAATTAATCAAATTAATCAAAAACTATAAATAGATGGTCCCATCATTTAGAATCAATTATAAGATAGACTTATTAATATTAAGTAAATGCTTAAGTAAAAGTATCAATTGTTGTTGAGAGAAAAGTAGTAATTGATTGATAAGTCTCAACAACAGGAATTAATATAACATGCATTCACATTATAGAATTTATAAAAAATCGAACAACGAGCATCTACTGTCAAATAATTTATAGCTGAAGAATATCAAATATTGAACCAATCATTGCAATAAATCAAACTAATAGGAATTGACTTTATTTATAATACAATAAATGAAAATAAGAACATAATTGAGTATGAAAAACAATAAACAAAACCTTTGACATATCTTGAATCGAATTCAGAATTAGGATAAATTGTAAAATCTCAAAATAATATTATCGATATTGAAAAATTAATCAAACAAATTAAGACTTGGTGCAAGCATTCTAAAATTATTTAATATTACGATGATTGCTCAAGTTATAACTTGGTTTAATAATGTTTTGATTAGTTAAAAGGCAAGAAGACCTTCAAAATAAAAGAACTTGATGAATTGCGATAATTATTTATGTAGATTTAGAAATTATGAAATATATATATTAATCTATTGTTATATAATTAAATGAATTCATTCACAGATGTATTCAACGAATTTTCCCAATAACATAATCAATAATTCAAATTGAGAGATTTATTAGCATTCTTGGATTCAAAATGTTAGAATGGATATTTTGATCGTGATGTATTTCAATAGTTAATTGATTAAATACCAGGAGCTTAATCACAATAGCAGTGTACAATTAACTAACTGATTTATGTGATGAAGAAAGCTTATGAAGTCTTAAACGATAAGATAAATAAAGGCTAACAAATTATAGATCAAAGAAATATGTAAATTTTAGATTTGAATTTTCAAAAGCGAACTTAGAGCATATCAAGACAAATTAAGATAATCTCAAACTAGCAGTCTCACTAATACCAATAAATTAAATATCGAAATTCTTGATGCTGAGATTTTTTATCAAGGGAGTGGATAATTGTAAGTGAGTGTAGAGTGCATGACAACCGTAGTATATACATGTAATTATTAAATAAATTATTAGAATTATCCGGTAGATAAAAACCTTAATGGAATGAATGCTTTGAATTGTATTTAATCTAAAATATTTAGCAACGCAAATGAATCTGCAATCTTAAAATTCATCTTATTAGATACTGAATTACTACAAAAAAGAGGTCTAGGCGGAGTTGCCTACCTTGATATTAATACATTTAATGATTAAATGCTTCATGACATCCATGTCAATCTTACAGATGAAAGTAACTCTGTTATTAGAGCTAAATTGCATATAAAAGTTTAGTGGATTCATTCAAAAGTACTAATTGCTATTAAAAATCTAGAATAAATACTTGATTGATTTAATCAATGAGAATACAGTCCAAATCAATCTATTGGAGTAGGAATTGAATGATCATGTTATAGATTTGGAAATTATTGCCTAACCTTTTAGACAGGAATTAAAAGTTCCTAATGTAGGTATTTCAACCTATTAATCATAACCAAATTAATAATAATAGTTACTATATCAATCTTAAAATGGAGCTTAATCCATTGATGAAAGATAAATAGATAGGCTTGTTTAAATCTCTTTGTTGTTAACGATTCTCTATTTAATTATTGGCCTACTTAATAGTATCTACCGAACTATCTATCTGGATGTAAGTTTAAGATTTATAAAAGTACATTGTAATATTTTACTGCTTTCTATTTTATTAAAAAAACTTTAGATTGCAATCTTTACTGCATATTAAAATAATAATGGCTATGCTAATTGTTGCCTTGATCCAAGACATTGTCTGGTTGGCTATTTATAGCACTGTATTTATTTGATTTAATATTAGCCTTACTTAGGAGAGTTTAATCCACATTATGATCATTTGGAATATGGAATATAAAAATATTAGGTGATACTAAGTGGATTGCTTTTATTATGCAAAGTATTTATTTTAATAAATTTCAGATTATTGTATTAATATTTTATGTTCATATATACTCTACATACCCAGACAAACAAACATAAATTTATGATCAATAATGGTAATCAATTTTTGGATTGAAACAAGGTAGAGAAATAAATGTTTATCGAAATTATTATTGATTATTTATTCAATTTAATTTTTGTAAAAAAAGAATGTATTATGATCAATCTATACAAATTGGATTTTCCATATCTTTTCCATTTTTACCCTCTTGACCACTACTAGGTTAAGGAGATTTTATTTTTTATAAAGGTTTTTCTTTCAATTTTTATTAAAGAATTTATTATTATTGGTAATGTTATAATTGTTATAATTATTGTTATTAATGTACAATAATTGGTGGATTTTGATTACTTAATGCTTTTTATATTAAAATATTTTAATCCTGTTATTTTGAATTTAATAGTTATTGTTGAAATACGCTGCCTTGGAAAGCTTATAATGATTTTAATTATTCTTCACTAAAGGTTTTCAAATCATCATGTTGTTTTTCAGTTTGGCCAGGATTTTGCATTATAATCTGATCAGCCAACATTTTAGTGAATTGAGAACTAGTATTTATTTTAGGCTTCTCTTCAGAAAGTTTGTAAATATATTTCTTGGTGGCACTCTAATGTAGTTATTATTATTATGTTTATTAAGGATTTTTGGGATTATTTTCATTGGTAGCATTCATATTATTAGCAAAGTTTTTTCTAATAAATTCAGAAAATTATTTTTTGATTACTCTAACCATTCTTTCTTTTAATCTATTAGATTTTTGGATTGGTTTATCATTTTCTTAATGTAAAGCTTATTGTTATTATTATTATTATTATTATTATTATTATTATTATTATTATTCATCTTATTATTGCTATGACTACTTTTATTCTAAATTTTATTCTTCATTTAATTAATCGTTGATTTATTTTTCTAAATTCTTTTATGCAATTTCTTACTGGGATACCTCATCTAACCAAGTTTCGAATTTTTTAAATTTAATGAATTTAGGTTTAGTAATAGTTTATTAAGATAGTTGAGATTGTAATGAATTTTATTTTCCTTCTATATTAGATAGATTAGACTCAACAAATTACTTTAATTATGCTTTATTTTAAGAAGAATTGACATTCTCATTTTTCTCTTTTTACTGAATTTATTGTTATGATAGTTGTTGTTGTTGTTATTGTAAGACATTAATTTAATCAATTTATTTTTTGCAAAGTTGAATTTACATAAAAGTGGCTGCAGGATTAAATAGCATAAGTCTGGAGAGAAATGATGGATCAGGTTTTTACAAAAGAGGCTGTTTTTATTATTCTTCTAATTGATTTTATTTATTGGCGCTAATTTATTCTTCTTCTGATTCTTCAAATTCTTCCTTAATCTCTTACACAATTTCACCCTAAAATTAAAGTGAATTTATTACATTTTAATCAAAAACCACCTCCTTGATGTTCTCTTTGTTGTTTCTGTATTAATCCAGCAATTGAAATTAATACGAGTCAATTATTATTTCAAATATTTTTTTCTTGCAAACTGGACACTTCCATTTTCTTGATGTACCTGCGTTAATTGTAATAGTATTTTCAAGAGAGAAACATTATACATGGGTACAAAACCTTCCTCGAGCAGGAGTCTAATGATGTGAAGCATTTTTACTTAAATCATTTAATAGTCAAATTGACACTTCAGGGAGACTTTGATTGTAATTTTATCAATTTGAACATCATTATCTGTTTTTTCTGCTATGCATGCTTTTTGTATGAGTTGAATACACTCTTCTTTAGTTTTGATGCACTCTTTATTTTGTTTAATTTGATTGATCAACTCCTAATGAGGTCTCTTCTTAGTCAAGTAAATGGCTTATGCATAGACACCGCTAAGAATAAGAATATGGTTGTACTCTTCGCATAATTTAAATTATGTTTTTGGCTCCTAACAATTTTGGACTTCTTTGATGATGATCTGGTTGTAGCCTGATTTGATGGAGAAAGCTAAATTGTTTTGCTATAAAGGAATGATTTGAATTTCATCCTTTCTCTTTTTAAGACTGCTGTTGGATTTGAGTGGTTTAAATTCAGAAACACGTTATTGGTTGATAGAGATCTCACAGAAATCGGGCCACGTAATTTCATTAATGTATTTGGCATCTAATCTTATTGATCTCAATTCGACTTAGTATTAAAATGAGCGATCTTATAATTGACTATGTTTATATAGGTTGAAATATTACTGATATTCTTCTGTTGTAAGCATAAAATTGAGTGTACTTTAAGTAGTATTCATCAATGTCGGTTTGGCAAGAACTTTAATAATTTGATTGAGTGGGTCGATTTTACTGAGTATGCAAACAGGACACTCAAACATCTTGACATCATTGGGCTACAATTTGAGACAAGAAATATGTAGTTTATTGTCACAATTAATGCATTTAACTTCCTCATTTGTAATTCTTTTGGCGGGAATGATTCTTTGAATAATAAGAATTTTCTTACTTACATGGACACATGAGGAGTTATTACATTTCTGTCTGAGGAAGGGGATCATTCCATTAATCTAAATAATTTAGAATTCATACTGTTATATTGATAGAAAAATTGCTATGGAGGGTTTTATCTTAAATGCTATTGATAGAGATTGATATTCATTAGTTGAGGGTATTATGGTAACATTTATTATTATGTTTATTGTGCTTATGGGAGTACCATCTTAAATGTAAATGAATTCAATACATAATTCAGGTAAGGGTTTTGGAGTAATTGTGGGATGGCACGCTGCATTTGAGGCTATTGTTGGAATGATTATGTTTTATTTATTATGCTTCCTTAAAATTTCTTTAAGATGGCCATAATGCTTTCATTGTTTTGGAGGTTTGGTTGGTGTTGAAGAAGTTATTCAACTGGTCTAGAAGGATCTACTTATATCAAATATTGTAGGAGTTGTTTTGGAATTTAGGCAATAATTTCTTCTTTTTTTTTTTTTTCAGGTATATTCAGTTCTTTTGCAATTTATTATAGTTGTTTTTTTCCTAATTTTTATAAATGCACACTGTTCACAGCATCTTTAATTGCCTTCTCATATGCTTAAGATATTTAAGTATTTTGGGGATTCAACATGTTAAAATTCGACATGTTTAGAAAACTAAATATTAGAATGCTTCTTTACTTGAAAGGAGGTTGTCCAGACATTCTGCTTATTTGATATTTAAATTTTGATCTTTAACTAAAAAGATTCGTCATTCCCAATACACCTCCCCCATGCTTAATTTAACTTTTTAACTTTATGGTATTTACAATTTAAGTGAGTGTCGTATCTTTTTTAATTTTTTTTAAAAATCCCCTTATTTAGTGTTTCTTTTAGTTATTTAATTAATATATTTTTTATATCCCCTTAAAATGGAAAATCAAAAATCTTCATTGCTCTTTGTCTCTCCAAATTATCATCCTTTGATTTTTTCACTCGAAGAAAATTCTATAATACACATTTATGCTTTACCAAAATAAGCCCTTAATTTGTAACTGTATACAATTAATTTTTATACTATAATTCAAACGAATTGAAACTTAAGCAGTTAAAAGACATCGTAATTTGGAATAAAATATCACGTCTAATGAATATATCTCACTCTAAATGATATCTTATTGAGACATTATAAGCAAATCTTAAAATACCAGAAGTCAGCTAGTTAAAGTTTTATCATCAGAATTTCAATTCAAGTACTTTTATCCACTTGAACCTCCAGAACTATTTCTAAATCGATATAAAGCTTCCCTGAATCACCTAAAGATTGAGTAGCTCATTCAAAAATAAAACATTAAATTTGATATATAATCTCATATGATCAAATATCTAACTGATTCTAATAAGTTTATCATACTTACTTTATCGTTCAGATTATATATAAAATGAATTATTCAAAAGTTTATCCAAAAAGAAACTTATGCTTGACTATGTTGAGAATAATTTCAAATCTAAAAATAATAAATGTAATATTAGCCATTCCTTGAGAGATTCGTCTGGGTAATAATACAGAAATAGATTAAGAACAAATCATTTCTATATATATGATAAAGATAGATTCATAGATTTTATATAAGTGGAATGGCTAAAATGACCATTAAACGAATAAATAATGAAGTATGAAATTAAAATATCATAATCTAGAGAAAGATTGAACATTTATGGTTTAGATTGAGAGTATTCAAATTGATTAGATCTTGAATTTAAACCAATAATTAAATTAAGAATAATTAAATTTGGGAGAGGTAGCATAAATATTAATAATTTTACCCTTTCATTTTTATAATCCATATATAACTGTATTATTATTCAAATTAAAATTTGCTTGATTGTTCATTGAAATAAAGGAGTAATAAGCATGGATCAGTATTTCTACATTTGGCGAAGTCTCCTATTATATTATTATTAGTGTGTATAAATATTAACAATATGTTGTCTTAGAAAAGGACGAATGAAACTTTCTTAAATCTAAATTTTGATATTCAAATGATGTTGTTTATTATTTAATGATTGATATAGATCAAATATTCCTATTCTTAAAGTATTCTGAACCAAGATTGATCAGTTTAAATTTGATATTCCTTACAACAATCTATCAGATGGTTGATCTCAAATACAACTATCGTATAGCAAAAATCAACTCTAAATTCGTGTTATTAGTCTCTCAACTAGTATTTTAACATATCCAAGAAAACAACCCTCATCTTTTTACAATGAATACTTGCCTAAATATACATTCATCTTGCCTATTACACACAATAGACAATATATATCTCTATGACTCAATTTTTGCTTTATATTTGACTGTAGATTCTGTTTATAAACCTAAATATATGATATTTTATACTTTACTTACATCAACTTTATACATTTAGACTAAAGCCTGTGTTTCTATTCCTCTCACTTGTGCATCAATCCTTGATGTAGATCTCTGTACAACTGTTAAAGATTACAATTTTAATAACATTTGTTAATTGAGTTAGACCACTTCTGGTTGTGAAAACATACCTCATACACAAATTCCTTGCGATTAATACTATAATGAATACTCATGCAAACATTAAGCTTATAAATGTATGTGGGATGGATTCGAAGTTGGACATTCATTTTACTCAGAAATAAGTGAGTCAGAGAATACTGATGGAAAATGCATTGATTTTACGTAAACCAACATTTAATTAAGATAGATGTTAATATTTTAATAACCGTATTTCATGTGGACCATATGCTGATGTATCATGTGATTGGTAAAATGATGAGTGCGTTGAAGTTACAAAATGTGAAGATTTCAAAACTATAAGTGGGTGCATAAAGTCTAGATTACAATATAAGTATCCCTTATAATTATTGGTAGATGTGCAGCACTTGTTGATGGGAAGGTTGTTGATTAATCTAAGAGAGTAGTGCCTGATGAGATAAATTTATAGTGTTTAATAGAAGATTGCAAACATAAATTAAAAATGGCTGATTGCAAATTTGTTAATGGGGTTCAATGTATTTGGAGAAATAAGTATATCAAAATATTGAAATATTAGTGCATGTTCCAAATGCTCAGATTATCTTACTTATGACTCTTGTGTAAAAAATTAAGGCTAATGTTATTGGAAAATGAATTAATGTAAAAATATTGAGTAAGATTGTGATAATATTATTTAGATGCTAATTGCTGAGCAATCCTACTATGTGCAATATAAAGAAAGAGTAGTGCAGATGGAACTAATAAAAATTTGAATGTGAATTGAATTTGGAAAAAGCTGATTCGCATTGTTATGAGGAATACAGTTCGACCTAAAGCAAGGCATTTAAGAAGAATATAATTTATTAATGATTCTGATTCTCCTTTATTGAGTTTTAATTGGTTTAATCCTAATTAAAATAATTTAATATAATCAATATTATTAATCGTAAATTTAATCAGAATAAATATAATTAGCGTTTTGGGGGGTATTTCACAAATTATCTCACAACATCAATAAGTGTAAATAAGTTCATGTAAAAGTTCTAAAATTTATTAAGTTTTTTGTAATCTTTTTGTTTATCATAAGAATTATTACTGATTTTTTCATAATTTATAAAAAAATTCGATTAAGATTAAGGAAATGGGAATGAGATAGATTATGATTTTTTAAATAGGAATAAATATTGTAATCTCAATTATACTGATTTTTAGAATATAATAACATTTCTTTGGCAGTTAGTTTAACTTTTTCGATGTTGGAAAGAGTCCAAGGCAGTCTTTTAACTTCGAAAGAAAACTAGATTCAAAATATATTTATACAATTTTATCGTCTGAAATTTTATTCTAGATTTTATTGCATAAAGCAGCAATTTTTTTTCTGGTGTCTTTTTGAATCTGTTCATCTAAGCAACCTATGATGTTAGATCTAATTGATACTTAAATATTGCTCGTAATATCGAACAAATGTTGGGGAAGAAAATATTTCTTTTAGGAAATCTGTATTCATGGTTTTATTCTTGCTATTTTTCCTGAATGGCAAAATTATGGACTTCTTTGTTTCTTATTCGATTACTTCGATGAATATTTTCTAAGCTGATTTCAAATTTGTCTCTAACAAATTAAGTTTAATAAATTACTTGATTTGTCATTTTCCTCCTGTACCTTTCTGAAGATGAACTTAAAGGCCTTTCTCAGGCAAAACTTTATAAGTTCTTCCCTACTTTTATGTTATTGCTTCTGCTTCTGGGAAAGAATCTCGAGGACATTCGACAAAGAAAATTAGCCACTGTTTTTTAACGAAGAAATTATTTGATTCACAGCATCATCTTCATTGACAATCAATAGTATGTATTTCTCCAGTGTTTCACTTGATACAACAGGCACAACATCTTTCATCTCTAAAAGAGATCTTCTTGTACCTTAGCATGTACTAGCGTCTTCTTTCAATTACGCTAAATTATTGTAGCTTTTGTTACCTTGTTCCGGTTAGACAGGAAATTACTCTTATAGTTAATGGTAAATTTAAGGTTGATTAACATAAGGATAGCCATAGACATAAGGATAATAAATTTGCTGCATATTCTAATACATATTCCAATAGTTGTTTTATTAGGTGAGTTAGAGATCAAAGATGAGTTAGTTGGTCAAAAAGCTATACATTTAGTTGTATTTTAATTCGAAATATTATAATTAGAAACAAAAAAAAGATATGCTATTTAAAATGCCGTATTATACATAATATTCATTAATTAAATTTATCCATCCTTAAATCAAGCTGAATGATGTAATTACATGGCTTGGTGGAGCTATTTAATAAAGTTTAAAATGAATTTCGAACGAGAAAATGCGAATTAGTTACTGAATATACTTCATTTATTTAAATTAAATTACTGATATTTTTAGACGATTATTCATTGTTTGATTAATTAATCATCTAATAAATAATTAATTATAAAATTAATCAAACCATTAAAAATCCTTGACTTTTTGAATTATTCAATTAGGTTGGACTGCTTCTTTAAGTAATTTCAAAAATAAATCCCATTTTTATTCACAAATTTTATTCTTATGGTTTTAATCAAATTATATTACTTTAAAACAAAACTAATCACATAACCTACTCATATAATTTATTCTGCCACAAAATCATATTTCAGTTTTCCAATTTTTGAATGACGTTTTAAGCCAAAAAAATTAAAAAGACTTTTTTTTAAATATATTGTTGGAGCAACAAATAAGAGATGTTGATGCCTTTCGCATAATTCACTCCTGATAATCAAATTTTGTATTTAGAGAATGAAGTTTCGTAAAGTATTGCTAAATATATTATTAAATGCAATCTTCCATCTATATTGTAAATTATAAATTAATCAAATTTTATATCTCATAAATAGAAATTTAAACTAAGTTCTGAGAATTTTTAGTGTTTAGTATTATGGGATAAACTAATCAAACATTGCATATGTTCTTGGTTTTCTGTTATTAATCTAAAGCATTATTATTAAGAAAAATTATAATTATTTTAAAAGAAAAATGTAAACCAGAATGGCCAAGAGACTCTAAAAAGACTTAGAGCAGATGCAAAAATCATATACTGATTAATTCAATGTAAGGATGCCCAATAATGATATCAAACATTGGATTGTTGCATTTGAAGGTGCAAAAGGGACTCTTTATCAAGGGGAGAAATTCGAGTAAGCATTGATATTGATATTTTAGATTGCAGTTCAAATTCTCAAATGAATATGTAGAAGTACTTATTCTTATTTAGCTCTTTTTTTTTGAAATTAGCCAATTGAATCACCTGAAGTATTATAATAATTAGAATTAGGTCATCTTTATTGGTAAGCCACCTGAGCATGAACATATCTATTCAAATGGATTCATTTGTTTATCAATATTATTTGATGGTATTTACTTGTTGAATATTCATTTTAGAATGGTCAGCTGCATTGACTGTATCATCTGTGTGTCTCTCAATCCAATCCATGTTGTCAAGTGCTACAAAAAAAGTGAGGATTAATGTTATTATTATCAGATGAAACCTCCCAATGATGCAGAGTTTGTAAAGAGAGCCGCAGGAAGAGGACCAAAGAGTTTTCTTTGGAGTTACCATGATGAAAAGTGCTGAAGCTGTTGTAAAAATATATAAATTCAATACGAAATATTCTTAATCATTATTAAATAATGTCCTAATCACAAACATCCTCCAGAAATTTCTACATGTCTGAATTGCATTCACTGTTTAATAGTGGCAATTGACATTTAAATTATTTCCATTTTGTGAAAATAAGTTCCAAGTACCCAGGACTCACCATGTATAAGAACCAATTGAGATTCTTTATATATCCTTAACCATTGGTATTCAACTTCTTATTCCCTTATTTGAGATGTTTCTTACATGACTGCTTTGAAAACTAGATGAATTGCTTTAATTATTAAAATCCAGTCATTTAAATCTTAATTGACCGCGAGGGTCAAAAATTTCTCATTTTCTAATCTTAGTTCATGATTCAGACATTGGGTCTGTTCTTTATTTTTATGAGTTAAAGAAATCACTTTTAAGAGGCGAGAATTATCTGATTCATACTCCAATTGTTTTTACGATCATTTAATGATCACTAAATATTATCTAATATCATATTTCTTTCTATAATCTTAATTTAATAATTTACTCTCCTTAAAATCATCACTTTAGGTTAGTTATTTAATCTATTTTAAGTATATTATTAATCTGCCAATTACTAATTATCCTTAATGAAATCTTGCGAACTATATCAAATTAATGTAATTTCAAATTTCAATCAAAAATTTGATAAAATGTATTAATTTCAAGAATTCTGTATTTCAATAATCTTCACTTTAAAATTCAATTAGCTTTCTTCTTTTCAACTTTTGGTCAAGCCTTAATGATGAATTTTTCATTTCTTCTTAATTGATGAAGCTGAACATCATATTTTAAGTTTTATGAATAATTTCTACTTACCTTAAATATTAAAATCGAAGATATTTGTTTTCATTTTTTAATTAGATACGATATTATCTTTATCATTTAAAAGATATTTAGTTGATTTTTAAGAATTTCAGTAAGCCTGATATATTAAATTAAATTCTGGATATATTGGGAAGTAATTAATAGTTTATTAACTATTTTGGATAGTTCTATATTAATATATGATTATGTATGCCTTATTATGCTTTGAAAATCTATTGATTATATAAAATCAAACCATTAATTTAATTTTTAAATTATTCTCATTAAGTTTAATTATTGATTGAATAAAATTAAATATGTGTAATTAATGTAATTAGCATTGATAATTCTACACCATAAAACCAAGTTCTTGATTAAATAAGTTAATATAAATATAAAGTTCTTTTTCTTAAAATTTTTTATTCCAAAATTACACTACTTTTTAATCAATTTGATTTTGCATTTTAAATATGAATGTTTTACAGACTGTTTTACTTGGTTGATCTTTCTTCTTTAGCATTTGTCTAACTAAATTGATTACTCTATAATTTCTGTTCTCCAGTTAGTTTTGTCTAATTCTATTAGGAAATAGGTGAAGCTAATCAATTTCGTCTCAGCTCTCTTTTGATCTAGATAGCATAATCATTAAGTGTAATAATTACTTGTTATCTTCTAGATTGCTGTTCCATTAAATTAAATATCAATTAATCTTATGCCTTGTTAATATAATCATAAAACACAAAAATTGAAACCAATATGACCTGTCTTCATTTATACTCTTTACTCTATTCCTACTTGTTGTTATTGTATTTTTCTAAGGCTCTGTATATCTCAGTCTTAAATAATTCTCTACTCTATTCGTTGTTCAGATCAGAAGACTAGGTCTACTTCCTTTAATCAAAACTACAATTGAGCATCTGGACAGTTGATTTTTGTAATAGATTAGACTTCATATCTAAGATCTAATTATGCTACTGCATTACTCTTACTTGTTAGGTGAGATCTTTGACTCTAACTCTTTTTGATTCGATCTTTAGATTTAATTCTTATTTTATTCAAAAACGTTACCTAATATCTTAGAATTAGCCTAATTGAGTTCTAGGAATAGGTCAACAGGAGTTACATGATTTGAGATCACTGATTTCTTCCATATAGAGTTTGAATATTTGTTAATGTTTGTCGTCTGAATATATGGAATTTAGTTTTGGCTTCTCCTCTTTGACTATAATAAATTTAAATCCTTTTTTACAATTAAATAGAGGATCGGTAGTAAGACGAGGACTTACTAGAGGAGAATTCTAATTAGAAAATGCAACTCTATCAGACTTGATCTATGTTCTTAGAGAATTGACCTCGTCCAATAAATCTGGAGTCATGTCATTCTTATGCAATTTATAATATTAAGTAGAAAATTTGATAAAATTCTATTCAGCCTTTTTGTTTACTTATTTTGAAAGAGTATAGATTTTCATCATCTCTCTTAATTTTTATTCATTCATTAATTCAATTGAATTATAAATCATCCCATTTACAAAATAACAAAATATAAGCACAAAAATAACACAATTAATTTTATTCATTAACATCCCGTTCTCCATCTCTTCTCAAGGTTCTCAAAACTACAATCAAATTACTGCTTCCCTAGTAATTAATTCACATCATTGTGTCTCTAACATAACCAAATTGAAAGATCCTTCCTCGATGTCACTTATGGAGGATCTAATACAATTTAACATTCCCTTTACTTTTCAAAATATCCTTTTGGAAATGAGCCTTACAATGTTTGCAAGCGTAGAATTCAGCAATGGCATCAAAGAAATTTCTCATCTTCTATTGTTACTCCTGTGTAGGCTCATCTGGATAGTAGATTGCTGTAGTGTGCAACATATTCCAAGTGTAATTGCCATATATGTTTCTTTTGAGAGGACATTCCTGAGTTGATGAATCCTCCTCGAATTAGAGCTTAGATCTCTTTTTAGATTTGAGATTGAGGATGTCCTCCTTTTCGCAAATGGGTTCAAAACAATTCTTATCACTCATAGATTAAATAATAATTCAATAAATACAATCACAAATATAAAGATGCAGCAAAAACAATACCTTTCTTAAGCTTCTTAGAACTTTCCTTAAACTTATTTTCCAATTCCTTATTTCCAATCACCTTAGCAGCCTCTTCCAATTATTTAATTAATTCATCCAATCGTCTAAGACATCTAATGATGGATCCTTCAAACAGATCAGTCATTTTGCAAACCTACAAGAATGACTATCCCTAACACCAAGCCAGGGTTACCTCCATCATTTAACTCTTGAATGTAGCTAAATACTCTTTCTAAAAAGTTATGATATAAAGTATATTACTTCATCAATGTTCATCTTTGATTCTGTGTATACAGTATAAAGATATTTAGCCTGATCAAGCACTTTTGTGTATAATTATTGCATTTTATCATTCTTAAGTTAGAACTTTTCACTATTATTTTCATCATGCACAAAGACACTCAATACAGCACAAATCTCTTCAGAAGACAAATCGTTGAAGAGTCCACTTACTAATAGTTCAGTTAACTAATAGAAAATATATAGATTATAATAAATACCATAATCTCATCTCCTGCTGATATTTCACAAGCCACTTTACCCTTCATTTACACAATTTCATCCTTGGATATGTATTATAATCTTCTTAGAATTCTTTTCATTCTCTTGAGATCTCCACTCAAAACCATTTACGAACTTTCCTCAATCTATTTATTCAGCAATTTGATTGTTTGTCCTAATTTAATTTTCTCATCATAGATTGATAATTCCTGTTCCAGATTCTAATTATTTAGGTCCTTCTTCACTTATTCTACTTGTTCTAGAAGTGATTATCTCTATTCAAGCAATTGATCCAATTAGTCATCATTAATCTTCATGTCCTTAATCGGATGAATGAGAGGAGGCTATCCCTTGAATTCTTTGAGCAATTTAATCATAGTCTATTTAATTTGTTATTTGCTTTCGTTGGTTCTAAGGTCTTTGGGTAGATTCAATTTGATGGTACTGATCTCATAGAGTTGTTCTATAGATACGTGGCACTATTTCCAACTCTCCTTCTTGATCGTATGATAATTGAGGTTAGAGTGGTTCATTCTTAATATTATCTAAATATGTATACCTTCTTTCTTTTTTGGACATACAACATCACATCTAAAATGATGGATTGCTCTTGATCTTTATTCTTTTTATTTCCAAACTTCTTTTGCATAAAATTGATTTATATGCCCCATCCCCAATCTCCATCTGATCCCTTGATTCTAATGATTCTGCCTATGTGCATAAATGGTAAGACAATCTGTGGTTGATAGATGATCTTCCTTATTTTATTGTAGATGTGTGTAGATTAAGAGATTAGATCATGATAATTACCCAATTTGTCTTCATTTTCTATTTATATTTAGTCTCGTTTTTGTTTGAAGTCTGATAACTTCTCCTTCATTTCAGGTAATTACCTATCATTCTAGAATTAATGGAAAGACTTCTTGATAATGAATTCAGGATCTGTGTCTTCCATTCTCATCGAATTGATAAGCATATTGTATGATAATCTGAATGAGGAATTCAAACAATCTGATTTTCCCTTGAGCATAGATTTAGCCACTTCTTAGTCCATCTTCTCATCACACATTAAAATGCACACTCCCTTGTCATCTATACCTCTTCTACCAGCTCTACCACTCATTTGAATATACTCTCCTCCTTGAATCCATCTGAATTATTCACCATCGAATTTTCTGACTGAAGTGAACACCACAGTTCTGGAGGGCATATTCAATCCCATAGAAAATGTTTCAGTTGAAAATAAAGCCTTAAGATATCCCTCTTAAAAGAGAATTTCTATGATTTCCTTGACTATTGGTAATAATCCACCATGATGGATTCCAATTCCCTTCTTTAAAATTGGAAGCATTAATTGAATTTGTGGTAGTTGTCTATCCTCTTCAGATAAGCAATTCATGGCATTTTTATAGATGGTTTCAATGTTCTCTTTTTCTTTAGGAGTAGTCAAATCCAATTTCTACATTCCAATAGCATATCCTTCTACTTCTCTTTTAGAAAAGGAGAATACTATGGCTGGTGCTAATTCTCTCTCTTAGATCATCTTCATCAATTTAAATAGATCTGAACCCTCAGTAGCCTTTCTCTTCCTTGTATTTTCAACATTTTCCTCCAACTTTGCTACTGCCTCTTGAAATTTATCTTCTTTAAATTTTCCTGTTTCATCAACAACTAAATAGATTCCCTCAGCACCACTTGGAAATAAATAATGCTGTAAAGGTGTAGGTCTATAATCAGTATAGACAACATGACAAGGTTGGCGTTTGATTCTGCAGACCCATTCAGCAAATTCACTAGCATTAGGAATTGTAGCAGATAAAAAGACAAATCGAACCTAATGATTTATATATATATGTGTACATTTTAATTCAATAAGATGATGGTCTCTTCCCAAACCACTCCTCTTTCTCTATCTCTCATATAATGTACTTCATCCATAATTACCCATGCTACTTCCCTCACAATTTCAGAGCCTCTATACAGCATACTCCTTAAAATTTCTGTTGTCATTACCAAACAAAAGGCATTCTCATTCAATGTCACATCTCCTGTCACCAATCCCACATCTCCAAATTCCTATTACAATTCTCTGTATTTCTAATTTGATAAAGCCTTGATTGGAGAGGTATACACAACTCTTTGCTTGTCTCTCTTAGCCATGGCTATTGCATATTCTGCTACTGCTGTTTTGCCTGCACTTGTATGGGCAGCCACCAATACCGATTCATTTGATTCCAGAGTCTTCACTGCTACTTTTTGGAATGGATCCAAAGTAAACTTATATTATTTTGCATTCTGTTTCTTTTCTTGAATTGGTTAGTAATCTTCAGGTGTGTACCACTCATGAATGCACCCTTCATTCTCTTGGTTTTTTATTATCTTAAATGCCTCAACCTTCTCCTATGCTTCTACATTCATTGACACTTCTTCCTCCACTTGGTTCTCCACTTGAATTCCATCTGCATTTGCATTTGTTTCAAAAACACCAAATAAATCCATTAATTAATTAAAGTAATATATTGAGTTAAATATTTCCCATAAAATTAATTTAATTTGTTATTCAACATTCTCTGATGATACTCAAACATTATTCAGTCAAGATCAACAATCTCATCCAGAATGACAAAGTCCATTACTAAATCATAGTGACCAATGTGAACAATCCTGCAGATACTAGAACAACAATGAACAGATATTCAGAACTCAAGGACCTTCATGAACAATTGATAAAAAACATCAATCTCCTCAAACTCTAGTTATAATTGCCTGAATTCCCAAAAAGATCGCTCTTCTCCAAAACCAACAAGAATCAAGAAAAGATCATTCAGAGACAACAAGAATTAGAACTTTATTTCAATCAGCTATTCAGCATTGACAAAGTTTTAAGTCTGCCTCCTGTCCAATCCTATTTGCCTATTGAAACCCCTTTCAATTAGTAGTAACAATACAGAATCTAATCATAGAATGAAAATCACTGTCTCCATTGAAAGCTATACGGTTTATGATGATGTCGTAATCTACTCTATGAGATTTAAGAACAAAATCACAAAAGAGGAATGGATCTACAAGCAGAGATACTCAGAAATCAAGAATATTCATGATGCATTGGTTGAGCAAGGATACAAAGGTAAATTACCTCCATTCCCTACTCGTAAGCTTTTTGGCTAAACCAATGAAAATCCAGGTACCTATTTTTAACTTCTCCTAGAGACAATCGAAAAAAGAAGAGAAGATCTTGAAGTCTACCTCAACGCTATTTTTAGCACTCAAGAAATATACGACAATGAGATCATCCAATTTCTGATATCAGATTCTAAGAAATATTTTGAAACCAATAAAAAATAGGAAGAGTAGAAGAAAGCACAAGCCTGAAGGTTTAATGATTCAAATTTACTAAAACAACTTATTTGGTTATCTATTCTATATACTTTAATTATTCTTATGTTTTATATATTAAATTTAATTTAATTTAACTATTATGAAAACCAACAGTGTTCATTCAATCATTGTTGATAAATAACCTAAATACTCTCATATCTTAAATGCCCAACTCTTCAGTGGTTATCTAGTCCGCGGAAAGGATCACTCCAAAAAACTCTCGAATTAACTAAGCCCATCAGATGATTAAAAATTATCAAGCAATTTATCAACATCTTAGAGTTATGTGAATGCTATGAAAGCATTGCAAGACAAAATCAAATCCTTAGAAACTGAAAACTAAAATCTACAAACCTAGATTGTATGAATATACAACATATATCCTCATAGAATTCTCATGAATTTATTAAATCAAGCGAGATATAGGAAAGATAAGTAAGTTCTCATGGCAAATTAAGTGAGAACCAATAAATTAGAGATGTTGAGTAAAAGTTAGCTGAGATAGAAATTGAAAAAGACTCAATGAAAGAAGAGTATGAATAAAAAATTTAATAATTACAACAAAATTTAATTAACATCGCTTTATAATCAGACTAAAGATATAGAGAATAATAAGAAACTATACAGTAGTTGTAATTCATTTATCTATTCACTCATAGATCAGACTAGTTGGAATTGCAATTGGAAAGCAATTAAAACTATAGAAATAAAATTAACTCTCAAAACCAAGCAATTTAGTAGGAGAAATAAGTAAGTATTCGAATTATGTAAATAGAATAATAGCAATCTTGAATACATTTTAGATTAGGAGAGGAGAGATGGCAAATGTTTAATTGAAAAGAATGAGCGGTTGTTGGACGAAGTCAGTAAATTAAAAGAGCAACTATTTGAAATACGAACTTATATGAATTGCTATACAACATAATACGATGAAGCGAAAATCTAGAGTATAAATCACTTTTATGGTAGGATTGCAAGAAGAAACAACTAAATATCAAATCTAGATCTAAGAATTGACTGGATAGGTGGAATAATATAAGGAGCTCAATTTAAAGTTGAAATTAGAGTTAGAACATTTAAAGTATGAATTGGAAAAATCAGAATTCAAAAGAGTTAAGAAATTATCAGAGTCTCACATCTAAATTGATTTACTCAAGCAATAATTGATTAATTTGTCTTCCAATTCCATAATTCATACGTAAAGTCCTAGGGACACATCGAAAAGGAGTAAATTGAGTACGAATATCTTTAACAACAAGACTCAAAGTGTAAGGAATTATAGGAGGATCAATAATGATAGCAACAAAAAGATATTAGATTAACCTCGCAATTCGATGTTTAATATTTAATAAGAATTGTTTAAATAGCCATAAAATGATTTATAGAGTAGTGCATTTAGTAGATAAAAGACTTAAGAATATAATTTTCTTACTCAGTAGAAGAGTGACGATAGGTATAATAAAGGGAATTCGGCAGATGAACGCGTTTAAACAGATTAATTAAGTGCAAATAAGCAATAGAAATACTTCCAAGCCTAATAAAGAATCCATCATTTAAATGAATAATTGAAAATACTTAATATGAAATACGAGGACATTGAAAATGAGATTTCATAATAGATTGATCTAAAGATAAAATAGGAAAAAAGATAAACACTGCTTCAGATAATAAATTAAATACAAGAAATTAATAAAGAATTGAATGATCTTGTAACTATTTCCAAACTTGCTTAGCAATTGTGAATCTTTCTTTAAAGTTGATTATTATGCTCATTAATGTATTTCTCTAATGCATTTTCATTAAATTTATATCATAATTCACGAAATCTCTTCGACTAATAATGCTCTTACATATCTTTCAAATTAATCATCTAACATGGTTATGGAAGATGGTATTAATTGCACGAATCTTTTGATGGTGTTAAATTCTGTTTCTAAGTATTTTTTCAATCCTAGAAATGTCACTGAGATTGATAACACAGCAAATATTAAATATATTGCTGATAGTACCTAAAATACATAAATATAATAAATACAATTGAGACAGTTTGTAACTCAGTTGTAACTCCCAACATACTTGATTTCAATTTCGAAGTCATCATCTAAAATACTCTAACCATTATGATTCCAGCCTCATTGTCATAAATAGGATATTCTACTCGTGTACTAAATTTATTAACGACAATCTAAGTTTATATCTAATTTTTTATAAAATTCAACGCTGCCACCACTCCTTTCAAATAATTTCCTTATATTGAAATGGGACAAAAATCTACCAAAAATCCCAGTTGCTCTTCACTTAAAATATCACAAACCGACTACTTCTAAACTTAATTAAAGAAAGACACAAAATCGTTATTTACCTAATATTTGGATGAATCAAATTCCTATGTCAATAAGTTAAACTTCACAATATTTTCAATTCCCTAATCAATCAGTGAAAATATCTATTTACTATCAAATTCAGTCAAATAGGTAAAGTTGGGAAATATGAAATGGTAATCTCTATTTTAATACAGAGTAGCAGAAGAATAGGTCATATCTTGGATTAATTTGTAAATGTTAACTGTGTCAGGGTATTTTTTCAAGAAACTCAACTCTCCCTAGAATATTATCACACTCAATCCCAAAAATATAATCCAAACTCCCAAGATTAGAGAGACACTCATTATTATTGATAAAGGTTCATATTGCAATTAACTATTCCTCTATTAATCTTTATTCTTTCTATTTAATTGATCCAGTATTTTCTATTGTATCAGAAGCTATTGCTCCTTTTGTGATAAGTCAAACTTATACAAGAAAATTTGATCAGGATTCTTTGATAATTGTTTCTGAATCAATTTGTATCTATCTATCTCATATTGCAATCTACTTAAATTACAAAACTTGAACACTCCCAAATACATATCCTATCTCTGATTGAACAACCTAAAATAATGAACTATACATAGTGTAACTAGCAAGGTAATCACAACGAAAATAGCCCAAATCATAGTCCAATCAGATTCTATCTTATTACTTCTATTGGTTGAGTAATCCATAATTTCCAAAGTTAATTGCTCTAACCAATAATGAAGAAAGAATTAATTTGCAACTCCAAACACTTAAATAGCACTACCCGCTGCGCTCATTCTATTCTCATATCGATATTTAAATTGATGTAAATTCTAAAGGATTTATTGCAAGGCTTCTCTAATATTCATTGTCTGATTATAAACATCACTTGTGTTTGCACCCATAAAAATCATCCCAATAGTTTTGTTTTCAAAAAAAGGCTATAGATTTTGGTTGTTTAACTATTTAATAATTACTTCCTTGATTTCATTAAATCCAATTTAAATGTTATCATAAAATGGTTTCGTCAACGCATTCGCTTAAGGCTATGTAAGTGCACCAGTAGAAACATAAGCGTTGTATGAAAGTATTGCTACTCTCATTGCTACAAATATATCATGAGGTGCCATGAAACTACTATGTAATTCTATCATGTCAATCTCAGATATAAACTAATTTAGATCACTCTAATTCTTTGTGATTATGATGATATAATGAATACAACTAATCATAAAATACACTACTAATAAAATGGTAAATATCCTGAGTTGCTTAGGAATATGAGGTCTCAAAATTTATTAAATCATTTCATATTTCTTATAAAATTGTGACTATTTGGCCCATCCCACCTGGGAAGAATTCGTATCATCGCCCTTGTTTTCAAATTAAGGTTTCTTAACTTATTCTAAATCATCCATATCCACTGCCCTGCCAAATTGATTTTTAGATGAGTACGAGATGCCTTCAGGATTTTATCCTATTTGACTATAGAACTCTTGCTATTTCAATAGGGGATTTGCAGAATTCAATGGAGTTGGATTAGCGCTTAAATCTACAGGACTCATCAAATTAACCTCATACTTCTATTAATCCGGGTGATAAAACTGCTAGCTCTTATCTTTAATTTATTTAGTCTCAATTTAATGATCATTCCTTCTAAAAGGTTCAAACTTCTCTCTCTCTATCTATAGAATCCCTGGAGGGTTAGCCAATCCTTCCTGCTCAGAAACAGGAGTAAATGCTTAATCTAATGAATTATTCTCAATTTCGTTGTCAAAGTAGGAATCATTAACCTTTAACTCTTTTATCTCTACTATATAATATTGGTATCCGTAAAGATCTCGAATATGAATTGACATTAGACAATCACAATACATCAAATTCTCTTCTAGTTGCCATTCAGAGAAATCCTATTTATTATTTCTTGACTTATCATCTATCAATGGATTTATCAAAAGCGGTTGCTTTATAAATTTAAAATCTGCGAGATTTAATATATCTTTTTATGTGATAAGTTATTAGAAACATGGAATCAAATATTCTATGGGTGTATTCAATAACAATTTATATCTGATGTTTTCAATGTAATAATTGGAATATCCTAATTTATCCAATAGGTTTTAAGTAATTCCACCTACTTGTTAATTTACATCAACAAATATATAGGCTGATGTTTGGAAACTTTCACTTAAAAAAACCAAGAATTAGATTTGTGTAATATCACTAAAATTAACCTCAAAAAAGAATTCAAAAGGTTGGATGATTATTTTGTGAAGTTTAAAAAAACTCAGATTCTTGTTCAAATAATACCGAGACTACGAAGTTTGAAGGAATCTTTACACCAATAATTAGTGTTCATTGATAATTCCATCTGGTAATAAATAGTCAATGTTACTGTTATTCTTTAAATCATCATAGTCTTTTAAGAAGAATTTGCAGATCTACGGAGTAATATTCTATATCTGAAGTTCTTGAGTGTCTTCAAATAATTTAACATTCATATATATTAGATCTTTGTTAAATAATGCATGTTTCTCCTATGCGTTGCTGTGTACATTTATCAATTTCTCATCAGAAATAGAGGAATTACATGTTATTTTATGAGCATATAGATAATTTTCTAAGAGTTCTCCTTAAAAGTATGTATGCAATGACTGAATCCTTTGACTTGGAAAATATTTGTATAATTTGATGAGTTTGTTTTCTAGAGTTTCTATTTTCTTACTTAATGATTTAGACACTTAAAAAAGTTAGGTTGATCTGATATGCTTTACTTATTGTAATTAAAGAAAGAACCCCAATTTGGCATTAACCAGCATTTGCACTTACTCTTTTAAGTTTTAATTCCTCTTTTCACTTTTTAAGAAAATATCTATGGCCATTTGTAAGCTATAGGTATCGCCAATCATCTCCTTGTATTGAAAAGATAGTTTTAATTTGTCCCTGACTTTTTCTCTCAGTATCATCAGTCTCACCTTTTGATAGAAATTTAATAGATGAGTTCCAGTAAAGGCGAGCATTTTGTTGAGTTTATTAATTTGCAATTAACCTGCTTCCTGTACATCTTAAGATTTGGATGATTTACTCATGGACTGTCTTCCTAAATTGATAGTATTATAAGATTTAACTTATTCGCTAATCTTTTCTTTAACCTAACTTCTACTATTGGTGCGCATAGTGATATTGAATAATAGGATGTTGATCTACTTGAGAGCTAAGTTATTTAATCCAATTCTATAGAGAAGAGAAACGTAGTGCACATAATGATTGGCATTTCTATTTTTGGAATCTACTCTCTAGAGTTCTCTTATATACTTTTTCATTAGACTTTTATAGTAGAAATTCGATAAATATTTAGGCAGGTATTCTTTATTGATGTAAGTTAATGGTAGTGACAATTGTGGTTCAATATATTATTTCTTATGTTGATATTCGCTGATGATTTTGCTATAAGTTAATATAGATTAAGAGAACGATATGAATTCATCATTAAAGAACTTGCCAAGTATGTATTTGCAATTTGAAATTGAAAATTTTTGAGTTTTCTGCATCATCCTCTAATCCTTGTATACAAATAAATCGTAGAGGATTTAGGTTAGCAAAGGAACTAAGATGTAAATTATGATGTTGATGTTGGTGTTTATGTCTGATTAAAAATTGAGTAAAATCAATAATGATTGGATTGATTAATATGAAATTACCATCAAAGTTGTTAAAATAACTTTTTTCAAACATGTCAAAAAACTAAAAATATTATATAACATTATTAAGGCAATAGCAAAGAGGATTATCCCCTACAAAACCTCATTGAATTTTGTCAAATTATAGTAGATGATTATTTGGAATATGTTGAGTATCCAAATGATGAAATCACCAAAGCTTAATTTAAGGGTAGAAAAGCAATTTAAATTAAAATCGATTGTTTCCTTGCATAGGAGAATGATCAAGAAATTGATAGTGTATAAAAACAGCAGAGTCATAGTTATTAAAGTTATGTGTAAGTAACTAAGTTCAATAATGCCATTGGTGCTTAGGTTGTAACTTAAAGATTGAAAGCAGAGACATTATAATGGTATTTATAAGAAAATTGGTTGCAGCTGAAAAAGGTTTGAACTTAAATGCATATAAAGGGATAGCCTATTAATCATTCGTTTATTATTTGAGCTCTATTTGTTGGAGATATTCAATAATAAAGGGATAAAAATAAACAGTATGCTAAAGATCATGGAGATCAAATAGCAATATTTGGTGATGTAGCCCTAAATGATAAAGTCAGGGCGAGCCACAACTTCGATGTACCAAAACTAATTAATGGGTGTAATTATTTAACCGTCCATTTGAGTAAATGAATTCAGAGGGAAGTTTTGGAATAGCAAAGGCTAAAGCAGTCCTAAAATATAGAAGGCAAATAAGACTGATTTGTTCATAGGAGCATAATAATAGAGTTGAAGGATGGAATTGATGAATTGCTCTTTTAGGGGAATCGAAACCTTTAGCTTATCTTATTTGATTTTCATAAATTCAAAAATTATATTATTTGGTACAACACAGAGATCGAATTTTAATAAAAAGCTTTAATATAATTAAAACTAAGAGTTTTTAAAAAATACATTCAATAATCTATTAATTTTTATTATAAAATAATTACTATGTCTAAAAAACCTTAATATGATCTTATGTGTAAATTCCTAATTATTGGGTCAGCTTAAGTTGGAAAGACTAATCTTCTTACTCGTTTTATCGACGACGTTTATAGCGAAAGTCATATCGCTACGGTTGGAGTGGATTTCAAATTCAAGGAAATGAAAGTCAATGGCAAAATCATGAAGATGCAAATTTGGGATACTGCAGGATAAGAGAAGTTCAGGACTCTGACATAAAATTATTATAAATATGCACATGGAGTCTTGTTGGTTTATGCAGTTGATGATATTCAATCTTTTAAGGAAATCACTTTTTGGATGAATTCTTTGAAATAAAATGGAAAAACTGATCTTGCAATTGTTTTAATTGCTAATAAGTGCGATCTGGAAGAATAGAGGGTGATTTCTAAACAATAAGGAGAGGACTTAGCTAATCAACTTGGAATTGAATATTTTGAGACTTCTGCCAAAATTGGTAAAAATGTATATGAAGCATTTCAGAGATTGGCTGATTTGGCAGAATCATAAAACAATTAAAAGATCACTCTACCCAATCTTACTGAAGATAATAGTTATAAGATCAATTTGACTTCAAATACAAGAAATAAAAAGAAAGGATAAGAATGCTGTTGATTATTATGATTGTTAATCTATTGAAATCTCACCTTATAGTTATAATTGATCGCGTGGTGTAGGGGTTATCACGCGTCCCTAACAAGGACGAGGCCGCCAGTTCGAGACTGGCCGTGATCATTTTTTTTAATTAATTTCTTAAAGTAATTAAATATTTTGGTTTTGAAAATGTTACTATCAATAAACTATTCTCTAATTGATTAATATAATGAAATGAAAATGAAAATGAAAAACTATAAATTTAAAAATATATTATAGTTTCTGCTGATGAATTCCTTCTCATCCTTTATGATATTTTATTACTAGAATATTTTCCTTATTTAAGATCTTAAAAAAAATATATATAACTTAGAATTGTGAGATACTTGTATACATAATTAATAAGAAAATATTTCAATTATTTTTATAGAACGGCGCAATTATGAGACAGACTATTTGACTAAACGATTTAAATATAATTTAGATCACATAAATATATAAATATCTTTGATGGTAATTATAAATGTTCATTATTTTATATTATATGAGAACTCTCCTTTGTTTTATCTGAGTATGTCACCTTTTAATTCAACTGACATACCTACAACATTAAATTAAAATCTTTTTAAATCTTGATTAGCATTCTGATTAATTTTTTCAACTGCCTCTTTAACATTTGCCTTAATACCTTGCTATTAGTAGTCGATCTCTATTCCACCTATATTCTATTTCAAGCCTTACGTCCGAAATTCGAAACCTTAAATCTCAGTTTTACGAAAAATCGACTAATATTCCTCATCATCCATTAAATCTAAAAATCCTTCTTCTCCGGTCACATTTTGTAAATTGGAAGCATCTCTTACTCCAGTTGGGGGTAATACAACTTTAATTTTAGAATTGGTTGTAGCAGCTCGATTATTGAGAACTTTACTCTCTAATTCAGTATCCTCAAACTAATAGGAGAATTCTGTACAATTTTTTAAATCCTCAATTTTAGAAAGTTTGTTGAGAGCTTCATAAAAGGCTTCATGAAAATAGATGTTTCCTACAAAGGTCTTAATCGGAATAAAACTGCAAACGCTACATTTACATAATATTAAATCTTCCTTTTCATAATCAAAATCTATTTTCTTTAATTCTTCATAAAATGATGTAAAATCAACAATATTTTTAACAGGGCAGTTCTATAGGATTAGAGGCTTTTGAATTCTCTTATCTTTATTAACTATGCAAAAGAGTTGCTTAAATAAAACCTTTCTGTCTGTTAATTTTGCAATATAATTTTCTCTTTTGATCTTTTATCTATCCAGAAATTCTTAAAGCATATATTATTCTCCTTTATATTCAAAATTCTATGTTCCATTAGTGTAAGACATGTCCTTAAACATGTATGAAAGCATGTTTGAATCTAAATATATTTACTTTGATATATTCATGCTAGTTATATTTTAATTTAATTATGAATTACATAATGGACAAGTATAACCTTATTTTGGAAACATTTTTTTTTTATAATTAACTTATGCTATAAAACTTCTCATATCCATACAAACCTTAAGGTCTTTACAGAGCCTACATCTTATTGGATATTCAATTGTAAGTTATGTCAATTTGTCTTTCATATTTACTGTATAATTTCTGTATTTATACAAAGCTACTTATTTGTTTAATTCCTTAGTCTCTTACAAAAGATCTCCTTGAGTTATTGCTATTGCCTGTTATTATATTTATTTTTGGAAATCTTCGAATGACACTTTACTTTGTAAATCAGGATGTTGTTGATAGATTTTTTCAATGAATGGATCAGCTTGCTTGCCATTTACTATCCTTATATCTTCTTAAATTATTTTGTCTATATAATTATAATAAAATTTATAAGAGCTGGGATTACTCTTTTTGATTGCAGTTAATAAATCCTTATCTACGCAAATGCCAGAAAATAATGTTTAGACGTCAAATATTTTCTCTTATTCATCCAATTCGGGAGATTTTGGAGTATTAGATTATTTAGTATAGTCTCTGTGAGCAATTTTCAACCGATTAGAGCATCCTGGTTGATTGCATTCTAAAAATTCTTTTTTTAATTTATTCTAATCCTAATAGGAGAGTAAACTAGTTATTTCATAACATTCATAATGTTTGCATCCAATTATTCTCACAGGGATATTTATTTTCACCCTGTCTTACAAACAAAAGCTCCAAAAATTAATTTTTTATTAATTGTTTAAATTCTATTATTTTGATTCTAATTCTTTTTATATTAATGATGATATTGAAGAATCCTTCGAAGCTCTTTCAAACATTTATTTAAATTGATTCATGTATTCAGTCTAGGTGAAAAACTCCAAATATCTCTTTTTATTTCTTGTGTATTTATTAACCACAACCCCTGAAATTACTGTTACATCCTCAGCATATTCATTAAATTCTTTATAAGCATTAACTCTCCAATCTGCAACTAAATCATTCAAACTCGTTGCCGGTTTACTACAATGTGGACAATAATATATGTTATTTTCAATTCCCTTTACAGCCTCATCCCTTTCGAAGCAAGCATTTTTATGTAAACAATCTTTAGTTAAAGTCTATTATATAAAATAATTATACAGGATTTATATATTTTAGCTTGGTTATTGGATTCAATAATGATAACGTATCATATATTACCTCATGTGACTTTGGGTTCATTCTTTATTTTAAAATTTAATGATATTTAGAGAATGATTAAAGTGTATATAAAAGCGGCGAATTCTATTAATTATTTAAGGTAATTAAATTTCAAAGCCAGTTTTAATTGATCGGATAGAGTTAGAGGTTTTAAAAATACGATGAATTTTAGTGCTCAAAAATATTAAAATTTTAGATTAGAAATGCATTTTAAATATTATATATTATTAATATATAAAATAGTAATTGAAATGAGTTAAAAGAAATAGGAAATATCAACTTGGATATTGGCTCATACTTAATTGGCACAGGCTTTGGAGGAGGCGTGGTAGGAGTTTTGCAAGTAAAAGAGCTAAGAGGATGATTGCAATGATGAGTAGGAAATCAAGAGACAATAATATGAGAAAGAGAAAAATATTGGATAAATTGTGTAGGAGGTTTGGGAAGCCAATTTGGATAAGTTAAAGCAAAACCAAAAGTAGAACAAATCTTCAAGGAATAATCTTTTCGATGCTGAATGTACAAGCTACAACATTCATCAAGAGAAGAATTTGGGACTCAAGGATATAACTAGATGGAGGTTGTCATTAAGAGATTGTAAATTGGAACAAACTAAAATTGGGAATGGAGTGGTTGAAATTTAAGCATTAGAATTCAATGAAAAGGATCAAAAAAAAAAAAAGAATAAAAAATGAATTGTAAAATTTAATATTGCTTTTAATAAATATATATATTTATTTCTATCTTATGAATTGTGGAATTTAAAATTATATATTATTAGATTAAAGGTTGAATCAATGAATTAGCCATTCACTATTACGAATCATTTCTTTATAGACAAAACTAACAAATCCACTTCATTTTGGGATAAAGATTTTAGAAAATTGTTACAAAATGAAAGGGATTTTAATCTCAATAACGAACATTGTATCTGTTTGTACAAAAAAGGAAAATTTCTGAATCAGTTCATCCAAAGATATTATACAATATAGGGAGCATATCTTTTTTATGGATATAATGTAAAGATGAGAGAATCTATTATTTTTTCAGGACTTGAAAGGTTTCCGAAAATTGGAAAATGTCTACATGCGAACAGCCGTTGATTCGAGTACTTACCCATACCAAATACAATTAATTCATAACTAGTCGCAAGTCATTTTATATTCTAATTCGGAACAAAATTTCAACTAAATTAAGAATCAATTAGAGTAGTATTGCATATTAATTGGCTTCCACTCATAATACACTATTATCAATTAAATTGGGTTTGGCTCTACTGCTTAGGTTTAAATTTTCACTGAAAATTTTAGGTTTATATATCAAAATCTTAAGCAAATGGTCAATGCTATGCAATTAAGAGAATTAGGAAAAATTCAAAGCTCAATCCACAATTTTTAATGGAAGAAATTTAAATCATGAATGAGCTGTCTCATCCAAATATAATAAAATTGTATAAAGTGTTCGAAACAAACAGTAATTATATTCTCTTTATTAGAGCATATTAATATGGTATTAGAATTAGTGGAAGGAGGGGAATTGTTAAAGAGTCATCGTTACAATCTTAGAGATGCTAGGATGATTTTTAAATAATTGGCGACATGTGTGGATTATATGCATCAAAAAGGAATAATGCATAGAGATTTGAAGCCTTAGAATATTCTGTGCAAAACTAATAGCATTGAGATAGTGCTGGCTGATTTTGGCCTTGCCACATGGATCAAAGACAAATAACATATCTACTATCGTTGTGGAACAACTGGATATGTTGCCCCTGAAATTCTCAGATACAAAGAAGGAACTAAAATGTACACAGAGAAATGTGATATTTTCAGTTTAGGAGTGATTTTGTATTAATTGTAAAGACATAGCATTAATATATTTAATGTAGGATTTATAATATTCATCCATTTAAAGATATTGATAAAACTATAGTCTTACAAAAGAATCTAAATGTTGAGTTCAAATTTGATGATTCGATTAAAGTCCCATAAAGCTGCAAAGATCTAATCACTTTAATGCTGAAATAAAGTCCAAAACAAAGGCCAAGTGCTGGTGAAATATTGCGACATGACTTCTTCAATGAATAACTGTATGAACAATCTAATTCAAATTTAACCATGATCATTTAAGACACCTAGTAATCTAAAAAGTTATTTATTGTAGTTCAGATATAAAAAGATCAGGACCATCCTTAAGTTTTTAAAATGTCGATATGAAATTTTCTACAATAAATAATGGTTTTAAGTTGTTTGAAGATGAGGTTGATGATAAAATTGAATAACAACAAGGTACTGATTTTTTAGAATTATCTCCAATCTGGACCAAAAGGATCGATCTACATCGTTGCACCTAAAACTAGTAATAACCCATTTCGATGGTTTTTTAAAGATAGTATTCATAAGATATGAAAGGCAAGAAATCCTCAATATTTCGTTCGGAATTGAAATAAAAATCAATCCAAATGCTTTAACCTTCATTAGAAAAATCACAATTAGATTTTCAAGATTATCATCAAATTCCTTATGTTAATCACAATAATATGTTATTGGTCCACATGAAATGAATTTATACATATATTTTTCTCTAATTTAATCATATATTTTAAGTTTTTGTTAGCTTTTGACCTGTTATTTTATTAAAACTATTTTAAATGAATAATTCAAATTATGATTTATTGGTGATTTTAATATTTGCAGAAAAAATAACAAATTAATTAAAATAATGATTTCTCTCAAAAGAAAATAAATGCGAAGCTCTTTTACTAGTGCCCATTCAAAAGGCTTGATTTCAAAAAAGGTTTCAGCTCCAACTTCAGAAATTACCGCGGAATTCCTGAAAAGATAGAAAGAATATGAATCTATAAATAAATATTCTCAATAGGAGGAAAGCAATGACAATATGAAAGCTTCTCTACACAAATCTAATTATCATGTCCTCAAAGATGCTGTCAATGACGCTAAATAAAAATTCTTTGAATCCACTCCTCAGCGTAAAAACTTTATGAATTCCACCATTCCAAGTTATCAACAACAGTATAATTCAATCCAATATATTGCAAACTAATTCAGAACTTAAAAAAAATCGAATTGTTTCACACAAAATGAAAAGAAATAACAATAAAAGCAGTGGAACCTTAGATTAATTTTACTTATAGTTATACCATTAATTTGCCTCATCCGAGTATTTTTTGCATTATTTGTTTTTGAATGAAAAATCCATCTGATCAAGTGTAGAAATATAATAGACTATCATAAATTTAAAATTATAAATAACATCTAGTAATATCGATTCTAAATTTATTTCAATATTAAAATATTAATATTTCACAATAAATCTGCTTATAATAAACTTTTTATATTCAGAACATATTAAAATCAATTAAAATTAACCTAAGAAAATCCAAAGACTAAGTAAATTTGATCGTTTTTAATTCTTTTAGTCAATCAAAATTGACTGAAAAGAAGAAGGTTATAATCTTGAATATATCTCTAAATTAGTATATGATGTGTTCTAACTCAAAATTATGAAAGTTTTCCAGGTTAAAATTCAAATTAAATTTCATAGGAAATTTATTAAGATCATATTATATATTAATATAAAAATCGAATGCAAATCATAATTAATGTAATGGTTTTCATGCAATAAATTATATACTTGATTTTAATAATAAAATAATTATTTTATGAGATTGTTTTTGCTCGTTGGATGCATTCTATCATTTGGATTCAGTAACTTAATAAAGAGTGGATTGGGAATAATATGGGAGCCTAATAGAGAGGCAGTTATTATATAGATGAAGGAGATGTAAATTTATTATCGATAATTTCCTAATTATGATGTGGCTATGGAAAAGTAAAGACTTATTAATGCGTACATTTAATTGCTTTAAGAAAAACAGGAGGAGATAGTTAATGCGCATCAAATAAAATCGTTTATAAATTATTTTGAGATCTAATTTTTAGAGATTCACAATAAATACACCGAAAATCAAATTCCTGATGATATGTATAGACCACCTGAATGGGAATTTGATTACTAATACTATTTACAATTTATTTATTGGCCAATAGGTTTTGTTTTAGGGTTGTTTTTGATAAATTTGATTTATTACTATGTTGCAGATAATTGTTTAAAGAAAAAAACAGAGTGATTATTATTTTTATATGGTAACTAAAATTATTTGAGTTTTATTAAAATGTGTATATTCATCAATGAATCAACTAGAATTACAGTAATTCCGAATTAAATAGATAGATGCTGAAATTATGATTTTCTTCAAAACGCACTTAAATTCTCATTTAATTAAATTAATAAAAAATAGATTGTTTTTTCATTAGTTTATGCTTTAATTGTCAATGCAGATAAGAAATAGCAAAGTGGAAACAAGAAAATCTTATCAATAGAAGAGGTTTCAATTAAAAAGTAGCACGATTAAGAAAATTTTATTTTTGGTTTATTTTGTTGGAGTATTTTAATTTGAGAATAAACAACTTATTGTGGACTTAATGAACATTAGTTTATTGATGATATAAATATGGAGACACAACACCAAGATACAAATATCAAACATAGATCGTTTTGATTTGACCATATGTTTTTGTGCTTTGATTTCTAGATAAACCATTCCTCAGTTATAGAGTATTATATTATCTCTATGCTTTTTTTCATTCAAAAACAGTCTTTCCACCATTCTGAAAAGTGTGAAATTGCTTAAAAAAATAAAGAATTTATCAATCACCATTATTTTCATAATTTTACTCACATCCTATTTATTCACTTATTTATATCATTCATATGAGTAAACATTTACATTATTTGGGACTTTTAGCAACACTTGCATAACAATGTTGGAAATATTGACTTTAGATGTATTTTTGTTATGAAATAATCTAGTCCTGGGGATCAAGGGGAAGAATTCTAGAATAGCAGGTAGGATATACAGGGATCCCGTCTATAATCATATGTGCTTATGTGTTTTTGATGAATTACTTTTATATGAATATTCTGATTGGATTGATATTGGAGACTCTTTAATTGGAATAGAATCAATAATTGGTTCAGGTGAATTTTCTGGATGAACACGAAATCAAAGAGCAGAAGATAAATAAAAAACTATCTGATAATACTCATATTTGCAATTTAATGTTAGGCTAATTTTATTAATAAATTGTCATGGTATTTAGCATAGTAAGTGTGATATTTAACATTTATAATAATTTTGTGATTGTAGATACTATGGGTAAATTGTTTGATGCTCTAGATGATATTTTATATTCTATTCATTTTATATTTTTATTGTTTCTAGATGTATCTTTAAATCATTATCATAAAAGAAACCACGCATATCGTATGAGAGATCAAAGTGGGAACGAATGTTTCTCCATTTTATAGCAGGGCCATTAGCATTATTTTTGTCTCATGATTTAGCTTGTCTTTGCAATCTATGTAAACTAGCAACTACTCCTATTGTAAGAGGAATATTTTCAGGCACAATATCAATATTTCCGATATTGTTTCCGATTATAACAGTATTGTTGGCTATAATTCTGTTGATGGCAGTGTATACAAGCAGATTCTATAGTTCATTTATTGGTTTCAAAGGAGAAACTTATTACTCATCTCTGCAATAAGCCTTTTACACTTTTGTTCAATTGCTCACTTTGGATGGTAATCACATTAGATATTTTTAGATTGGGATGCAAATGTCCTTCCAGTGTTTGAATCCCAACAAATAATAATGCCTTACATCTTATTTCCATGTTTTATCATAATATCCAATGTGATATTACTCAACATATTGATAGCATGTAGTTGCAAATACTTTAAAGAAATTGACTACTCCATTAATTGCTAAAGTCTAAATGAAGCCCATCCTGATAATTTATTAGTTAAATTAAACAAAGTTGCTGAATTATAAATTCCAACCATCATTTGCAATGCACCAATCACAATATAGGAAAGTCACATATCTTAAAGAGAAGGACTGGTTTAAATTTGTTATAATAATAAAATAATCAATGCATTGTTGGTTAAATAATGACTAATGCATTCTATATCTTTATTATATATATATTTAATGTATAAATCCAATACTAATCATTATTTTTTGGCATAGATGGTTGCACTTATAATTTTGATTCCACTATTCTAAAATTCCTTTAACTCTTCCTAAGAAACATATTTCAACATCAACTCATCAGGGAAATCAATCACCTTCTCTTTCTTAATCTAAATGTCTATGAATCCTAATTCTTCAAGAATCTTTAACTATATATCTTTTCTTAGAGCTCCTGAAACACATCCAACATGCAATTCTGAAGCCTTTCTTATCGACAAAGGTAAATCTCCAGTTGTAAGTACGTCACTTATAGAGAAATGACCATTCGACTTCAAGACTCTCTTGATTTCTTAGAATACTTTTCTTTTGTCTGGTACCAAATTGATAACACAATTGCTGATGGCAACATCAACAAAATTATCTAAAATGGGTAAGTCTGAAATATCCCCATATCTGAACTCAACATTTCTGAAATTGTATTTGTCTGAATTCAACTAAGCCTTTCTGATCATATTGGGTGTCATATCCACTCCAATAACTTTTCCACTTTCTCCAACCAAAGCTCTGGCTATAAAGCAATCATTTCCTGCTCCTGATCCTAGATCTAGTACTATATCTCCTTTCTTCAATTGTGCAAATTCAGTTGGAATTCCACATCCTAATCCTAAGTCAGCTTCTGGAACATATCCTGAAAGTTTTTCATAATTTTCTGCAAACACAGCATAATCTATGGTTCCACAACCTGAGGAACTGCCACATCCTCCAACCCCACAAAATGAGGCTGCATTTATTTGTTTGGTTTATTCACAGATTTCTCCATATCTTTGTTTTACATTATTTTTGACTTATTCTTCTGATTCACAAGAGTTGCTTGTGCAACATTATTGTTTTTATTAAACTTATTCCTCCTAACAACAACTTTATTTGTCGCAACATTGATTATCTTAACAATTTTTATTATCTTAATTGTCCATGTAATTTATTTAAAATTATTATTAATTTTGATTTTTATTTAATTTTTAAATACCCAATTGATTTTTTATTAATTAAATTCATGAATCACCATAATGAATTAATGAATCACTAAAATACTACATTCTTATTTACTCCAAAAACTTCGAATTTCAATAGATTCTTAAACTTAACCAAGCGTAGAGATTACATAAATATTTGTTCGATGTTAATTGATGCATTTTTGTTCATTAATGAGAATTGATCTTATTCTTATTTAATTGATGTCCCTTAACTTATTGTATTCTAACTGTATGGCTCTCTCATTTCATCTAATCAAAGTGTGTTATATTTTGGAAATACTCACAAATTGTGTTGTTTTCTTCAATGGATAGAATGAGAATTCATTTATTAATAAATCAAATGAATGAATTTAACGATTTCAAATAATTGCGTTAAAATTACTCAAATGCTTTGGAGAAAAACATCCAAAAACTTTAGGGTAGATTAAAGGCTCTAAATAATAACATAATAAACTCTACATCAGCCTAAAAAATAACAATGACGAAGAATCCCTCAGAAGTGAAATCATTAAGATCATCCTGCTTATTTCCAGACAACAATTTGGCATCACCAACTGACAGATTCGAGAACAGTCAAGTCTTTGCTAATTATAACAGATACAGCAGTCTCGATGTCCCTTAAGCAAGTCAAGGGGCTTAAAAAAGCAAATAATCGCCAGATGTTTTTGAAAATATTTTTTTGAAATAATCTTACATTCCTTATGAATAGAAATAGATAAAGTAGGCGAGTAAAACTAAGCAGAAAAACACTCAAAGCAACACTTTGAAGATAACAAAAAAAGTAGACAAAAATCCTTTAAGCAATCAAATGAATAGTCAATCTCTGTAAAATATCAAGAAGAAAGATGATATTTCATAAGATAAAACACTAAAAAGGAATCCTGAGAAAAAGAAAGCACTAATCCCATCGGCTGCTTAATCAAAGACTAAGAATACATCGCGTTCACCCCAGAAGCAAAGAGTCAAATAAAATAAACAACAAACACCCTAATAAAATCAACAGAAACCATTGCTAAACGACATTTTGAAAAAATTTGTTTCCTCCAAAACTAGTTTAAGCAGAACCATATCCAAATCCAAATCGAAATCCAAGTCAAAATCAAAGTCCAAATCTCCTGAAAAAGAATCTACTTCTTTTAAAAAAAAACTCAAATCCAGATCAAGAGAGCAAGCCATACACCATTATAATGAACAAATTACATCCTAGTTTAGTCCAATACAAGAGAAGTTCCAGATGAGGAATATTGACTACTCGCCCAGTCTATTACGCTAAGTGAGGACTTTAAGTAAAAAGAAGGGAATCAGCAAATCAAAGCAATCCTTACAATAATAGCAATAATAAGTTACCAATCCCAGTCCAAATAAGGTGTCTGAGATACACACTCTGAGATTGAAGCATTTATTGAGGGAGAAATCAAGTAAATAGGACAAAAAGGCGAGGAATCAAATACGGACTACTGAGTCTCCGATTTAAATTAGAGATTATAAAATTGATGTATTTAAATGACATATAAGAGTAGGTTCCCCAAATTAAGAGTCTTGAAGATCAGCCAAAGGATGATTCCAAACCAAGTTCTGTAAGACTCAATACTTTATCGATTTAAAGATCTGATGAAAAGGATCGAAGTGTTTTGATGAATATTTTCAATGAATTGAAAAATTTATCTGAGGATCAAATTCAATAGTTTTAGCAAATATTAAAGTAAATTAGAGTGGAAAGAAAGGATGAGGAATTGCAAACCTCCATTTCCTATATAAATTAGGTGGTAGAAAATCAGAAAGCCAACAACCAAGCAAATCAAAAGAATAATATTTTGGAAAGTCATTTGAAGATGGCATTGGAAGAATTCCCTAAAAAGTCTCATGCATCGTCGCCGATGTCAAACAGTAGTTTCATTTTTAAGAAGGAGTTCCTGACAAATTCTTAAATAGAAGACATATGCTAATAGAGGGAGAAAGTAAATAGAATTTATATCAGTTAGAGTATAAAATTGAGGGTGAACAGTCAGATGTAGGCATTTTAGAATTTGTTGCAGTAGTAAAAAATATCTCCGAGATCGTTCCATCACAATAAATAATTGGTTTAATCGTGGTTTTCAAAGCAGGCAGATTAATTGTCGAAATTCAAGAGTGAATTGCAGAAGGTGTAGAAGCAATCAAACACGTTGTTGAAGAAGACTGAATAGGATGTTATTATTGTGAAGGACTTGAGAAAGGATTAGATGCTGGTGCTGTCTTAGTTATGTATGTATTGGCACTTTAATAGTTAGAATAAATTTCATTTGATTAATCTGAAATTAAGGATGAGAGTTTCTTGGATTAGTCTGATCTTTAGTTTAGCATTCCGAATTCTCCGAAAATCGTAACTCCAAATACGAAATTCTTGAATTAGATTAATGATAGGAATGAAATGAAGATTGCTCAATAACAATCAATATCATCATAGTCGAAGTAGAATTAATTTTCAAAACCATTTTAGTAAGATCCAAAAAGAAAGGATTTTGAAATCTCAACATTTAATGAAGAACTCTTTTTTGGAAATTAAATTGCAAGACCTTTATAGGTATCACCTAATAACGAATCCAAATAAGTAATAACAGATTATCGAGAACCGTAGGTGTAAATTTATGGTTTGAATTACGCATTGAAAGTGGAAGAAGAGGCAGAGAAGATCATTGAGCACTTAATCGACGAAGCCTCGAATAGTTTGAATAAGATAGAATTGGTTCAACAATACGCCTATTAAACTAATGCGGGGATCCTCACAAACTTGGGAGTGATTAACAACTTCATAAATTTGATGTGCTTTGCAGTTTTAGGTACGATCCTTAATGTTATGCAATAGAAAGTGATTAGCCGGAATTTCTGAAGAGAATGAACACTCCCTATGGCAGAAAACCCTTAAACAGATTGAGATAGTTGCACGCACAGGATGATTGCGAAGGTCATCAAGAAGTGTCACCCCTTTCCTAAATAAGTTATAAAAGAAATCTATCATAGAACAAATATTGGAAACTCAAAATCAGTATGAAAAAATTCACAACTAGGCCATATTCGATGCTTTCAACGAGGCTCTCAACATCTAAAGGCCTTTCTACCAAGATGAAGGGGTTCCCTATCCATGGTGCGTAGAAACCAACATCTCATAGAGATTATGTTATGGAATAGAGGACATTCCCAACATCTTGGAGAGAGCAAGGCAAAAGGTGTTTGATTGGTCAAAGACTCTGTGTGGTATGCAATGAATGCTTAACCATGATTAGGATTGTTATCTGATGAGATTCCAGTGATATCGGTTCGACAACTAAATTATGAGCAACTGATAATAATGCAGGAATGCCAAGGGAATGATTCTTTGGCTTACATCAATGAGGAGAGGATACAAAATTGTCTCTCAATTGAAGTATGATATGCAAGAGATCTTAAATTAGTTGTAAGAAGGAGAAAGGAAATGGTTCCAGATGGCTCAGGAATACTCCGAAGTGTTGATGGAGATAGCAGACTACGTGTTTGAAGAATTGACTGAGGAGATGGTTGTTGAGGTTCTTATGTGATCACAATTAATTACTTTTTGTATTCTAGTTAACAAAAGATATCGAATTTATAATTTAAATAATATATAACAATTTAACAAATCATCATTTAGCAATTCCTTATTCAAGTCTATAGAATGCACCTTTAAGACCCACCAATGTTTAGTAGCTACCTTCTTCAACGATTTTGCCGTCTTCGAAGACATAAATAACATCAGAGTCCTAATGGATATTATGAATTAATTACTTTGATAGTTGAAATTCTGTGAGCAATTGCAACAGTGGTTTTTCCCTCCATCAGTTTGTTCAGACTGTCCTGCACTAATTATTCACTTGCAGCATCCAGAGCACTTGTGGCCTCATCAAGTAATAAGAGATTTGAATCTCTAAGGATGGCTCTAGCAATGGCAATACGTTGTTTCTGGCCTCCTGAAATCTAAGCTCCCTTTGGTCCTACTTATCTATCGAATCCTTGTCCTCTTTGCTTCTCATTTCCCTTCTATTCCACCTGGGTTTCTTCGAATTGGTTCTTGATGATAAAATCATAAGCATTGGCTTTCTTGGCTGCATTTTCTATTTGCTCACCAGTAATAGCCGGTAGATTGTATTGAATATTTTCCTTAATAGTACCATTGAACAACACTGGCTCTTATGAAACAATACCAAATTGTCTTCTGATGTACCTGATGTCATAATCGGTGATGTCAATGCCATTAATGGTAATGACACCTTGATCTGGTTCGTAAAATCTCATAAGCATTTACATCAAAGTAGATTTACCACATCCAGAAGGACCCACAAAGGCAACTTTCTATCCTTATTTAACAGTCAAACTCAAGTTTTCAAACACATTCTTATCCCTTCCTACATATTTGAAAGTAAGGTTGTTGAAATGGATGTCTCCTTACATTGGTTTAGTAATCTTCTGCTTTTTTAGTCTCTCTTCTCTCTAGAATTCATCTTCACTATCTAAAATTTCAAAAATGTTTCTGCTGGCATTTTTAGCTGCTCCAATATCACCTGCGAATGCTGCATTATTTCCTGCACTCATGGTTGCAAATGTAATGGCAAGAATGGACTTAAACATACCTTCTATCGTGATGACTCCATCTCTACAGAGGATAGCTCCAACGTAGAAGACAATGGCATTAATGATGAACATTTACATTTATGAAAATCCGAAAGCCAAACCTGCATATATTCCTCTCTCTTTTGCTTTCATCAATGGAAGTTGGACCTTCTTTGAATATATTCCAAGAATAATCTCCTCATTACCGAATGAAACTACAGTTCTTATATTGGTGACAGCTTCCATAATCAAGTTACCAGAATCTTTATATGCTTCGTCAGTAAGATCTGAGAACCCTTACAAAAATTTGGCTTACAAGATTCCTCCTACGTATGACAAGGGAGCCAATCCAAGCATGATAAGGGTCATTTACCAACTGGCAACAAAGGAAATAACCAATCCACAAATCAAAGCACCAACATTTGATATGTTAATACCCAAAATTGATGAGGTGAGTCCATTAATCAATTTACAATCAACAGACAATCTGCTTGTTAAGGTACCTGCATTGTTTTTGGGGATATCAAAGTATGGAATAGGCATTCTCAACAATTTTCTGTATGTATCCAATCTCAATTTACAGGTGAGTTTCTCTCCCACATATGCCAAGAAATACATTTGGAATGTCCAAAGAATTTGAGCTGCAACTCCAATCAAGAAAAACCAGAGGGCCAGTCTATCTGCTTTGGTTTTTACTTCATCCTTTAAATCGTCTTTCAAGAGTTAGCACATTTCTGTGGTGGGGTTATCGTATGTGATTGAACATTGATAATCAGCAAAGGAAGGATTGGATTCCACTAAAACAGTAATCATTTCAGCCAAGAACAAGGAGAACACTGGGAATGTACATCCATTGGCTAAGGCTGCAATAATACCAATGATAAATTGAGGTTTCTCATCTTAATTGTAAGTGAACAATCTTCCCATTTATGCATCAACTTCTTGTTTCTCCTATTTGGATTCATCTTTCTTAGGTAATGGTTGTGTTTCCAAGTCTGTTTCATTTTTCTTATGATGATGATGATGGTGATGATGATGATGTACTTATCCAGAAACCTTCTTGACCAATTCAGGTACTCCCAAATCTTGGAATCTGTCGATTTCTTATTTAACAGCAACAACAATGTTTTGTTGATCGGTCATATTCATCTTAAGTTTAACTGATCTTTGAGATCCTACTTGTTGATCGTCAAGATTCTTCTATGAAGGATTAGAACTAAAAGATCCAGAGTCTTTTTCTTGATTTTAGGCTTGAATCTAATTCTTAGCCAAGATTTCATATTTTCCATGCATATTCATCAATTCTTGATGAGTTCCCATTTCAACCACGAGACCTTTATCAATGACATAGATTAAGTCAGCATTTTAGATTGTGCTTAATCTGTGAGCAATGACGATGGTAGTGATTCCCTTTGACACTTCATCCAAAGTCTCTTGGATCAATCTCTCATTGGTTCTATCCAAGGCACTGGTGGCTTCATCGAGTAACAATATTTATGGTCTTTTTAAGATGGCTCTGGCAATAGCTATTCTCTACTTCTATCCACCACTCAATTGGCCACCTCCTATACCAACGTAGGTTTCCAATCCCTTGTCCATTTTGGATACAAAGTCCCAAGCGTTGGCTTTCTTTAAAGCATCAATCATTTCAGTTTCTGTTGCATCTGTCTTACCATACAATAGATTCTCTCTGATACTGGTGGCAAACAACACTGGTTCTTATCCGACAAGACCAATTCTACTTCTCAAATCAAGAAGATCCAAGTCTTTGACATTGATTCCATCAGCTCCACCAAATAATACTTCTCCTTCTTCACAATCATAGAATCTTTCGATCAATTACATAACAGTGGATTTACCACAACCACTCTCTCCTACCAAGGCTACTTTCTTGCCAGCAGGTATATTTAAGTTTAATCCTTTCAATATTTTTTGGTCTGGTCTGTTTGGATAACTAAATTGGATATTCCTCAATAGAATAGTTCCATTAAAAGATGTTAATTTTATTGGGTTAAGAGGGTTGACGATCTTTGGATTTCTGTCTAAGATGGCAAACATTTTAACAGCTGCTTGTCTTCCCTTGGCAAAATTCTGGACACAAGGACCTGCTTAGCCTAATGAGAATCCACCAGTCAAAATGGCAAAAAAGATAATCATCACATCTCCCACTGTGTACACTGCACCCATGTTATCATTAATAGTCTATTAAATGTATATATTATTATGGATACCTAATCGGAAATCAACTTAGCTCCATACCAGAAACCAAGAGCGTAGGCCCAAAGCATGGCTGCCCATAAAAATCCGAATGCCAATCCAACACCGAATTGATAACTGATTGTTGTGGCTGTTGCATCAAGAAGGTGCTTTTTGTACTTCTCGACTTCGAAGTCCTCACCATCCAACATCTTCACTGTCTTGATGGCATTGATTGCTTGTTCTGCCAAGGCTCCAGCATCTGAATAGGCTTTTTGGGTGGCATTTTCAGATGTTTGGATAATGACGGCGAATATGGCTGTGGCTATGGAGATTGCTGGCAATGTGGCTGTGACTACCAAGGCTAATTACCAACCACTAAAATATTTATGATAAAATGAGTACTAAATGTAACCAATCAAGAAGCCAAAGAAGGACATCGAGAAGGTCATGATAAAGGTAGGAACTTTCTCTCCGATGGCACCCTGTACTGCAAAGGTCTCGTTTGCCACTTTGCTATTCAATTCGTTTGGATTAATGGTATCGAACCATCCGATTTCCTATCTCAAAATTGCAGAGAAGTATCTCTTTCTGAATTCTATGCTCTGATTCTCTCCAGTGATCATCCAAGTGGCGAACATTATGAAGGACATGAGCATTGTTCCCACTGCAACAATAACGAAATATCTATATTGAGTTTTTCTATATATTTACATTGCATTCAATCCAGCTTAACGAACCATTTCATCTCCTGCTTCTGAGAATGAGTCTGTCATATCTCCGAAGATGATTGAAAAACTTGGAAAGGCAGCTCCGTTGCAAAAGGCTGCGAACCCACCAATGAACATTAAAACTTTGTCTTTTGGACTGGCGTACCTTAGAAGCTCAAAATATGGAACCATCGGTTCTTGTTGTGGCTGTGCATTGGCTCCATTCCCATTTGTAAGAGCCTAATTTTCTGCTGCACCATCAGTTTTCATTTAATTATATTTTTGATGAAAATATGAAATTCCTAAAAGGCTTTTATACTATCAATTAAAGAAATTCTGATAATTAATTTTAATTATGATAAAAATGACACTATCTATAGTGATTCAAAACCTTATTAAAGAAATTAATTAAAAATAAATAGATCTTATTTAAGCCTAACAATTCACCTTAGTATCCTGAGAAAGCCCGCCAATAACCCACACTTCAAAGTGACTTCAATCACTTAAGATCTTGAGGCTCCATCAATCGAAAAGTGAAGAGCAACCTAAATTAATATTACAGGACGCTCTCATGTATTTTCGTCCATCAAAAGGAGGACATTATCACCCAATCGGGTATTCATTATTGAATATTCGAATATTCCTAATTATAACGTCAACAAATTTTAAATTTAAATTCGGATATAGACAAATACCAGACTCGCAAATGAGTGAGATAATAGAACATCATTTAAATAAAATAAGAAAGGAAGGTAATTTCTCAGAATGTTTGGACTTCTACTTCCAAATAAATCGACACTCCTCTTCTGAGACTCGAACTCGGAGAACTCCCCCAGATTGCACGACTGATAATGATAGACATGTTGTTGGTTGCGAATTCATGGGGTTGAACATATTGTACATATAATTTGAATATTTTATAAATTAATTAGTTTCATAAATAAATGAATATGAGCCTTTCCTTTGTAGCGATATAGTCCTGCAAGAAGGGAACGGAGCACATAAAAAATGCATTCCTTAAGATTGGTTTTAGAACACTGAAACAGAATACTCTCCATTAGGGTGAAATAAATAGATCACCCACATTGATTTAAGCTACTAGTCAATACTTGGGGAATAAAAATGGACAAGAAGCCTAAACTTAATAGAGGGAGGACTTCGAGTAGGAGACCAAGAAACAAAAGTAACTGACATTCCTATAAACAAAAGTCAGGCAATCAACTTAGCCTCAATAAGTAAATCAGTTGAATGAACTTAGGACATAATGAGATAGCAAGAGAAGGACGAGATCCTAGACAACGAGATATCTGATAATTAGTCTGTGTAGAAAGAAATAATAAAGTCAAAGAAAAAGTCATTAGTCCAAAACAAAGGTCCCGAGAAGGAGATCCAAGGTCATCGACAATCGGAACACCCGTATTTGAAGTTTGGCGATGTCTTCGTGATTAAAACCAATGTGGCTGGCACAGCAATTGGAGGGAAACAGAGTGAAACTCAAATCCATGAATTGATAATCATAGGGAATCTGTAGTACTCTGGGTCAATAAATTGTGTGAACATGACCAATCAAGTCATTAACAACCCCTATTCGCATCAATAGAAGTGTTTTTTTACAATTCGGAATCCGAGAACTATCATGAGTGATCAGAGTTACGTTTGTTACGGTCAGCGCATAGTGTTGGTTCACTCTAAGTCAGAGTAGAGTGTGATGATCAATTTGGATGTGCCATCACAAGAACGAGGATCTTTTTAAGTCAATTTGCAATCCCAAATTGGTCATCAGAACATATTGAGAATCATGCCATATTCGAGTGCAAACAAAATCGGAGACAAGATCCAATACAATGATCAGTTGCTGTTTCAATAGGACTCCAATAGATAGTATTATCTGAAATTGGAGAAGGATGAATCACGATACTCAAGCAACAAGTTCATTGACATCAATGCAAGTGATAGGCCTGACTGTTTCCATTTGCACAAGGTCAAGAGTCATTAGAATAATATTATCCAAATCATCAATCAACAGTATATGATAGCCATTGGAACCAGCGAGAAATAACTGCAGTAATTCATAATCAACAAAAATGCCATCATCAACAATTTCAATAATGATCAGTAACAACAACAACAGGAGACCTTCTCTCTGAGAACCCTAGATCTCAACAAGTATTTGATGCAGGATTACGAAGTACAATCGAGCAATCTCCTAAATTCATATACATACTTTGAAATACAACCTCTATTCCCATTTACAGAACAACAAGCTGGTCCTAATGCTTGTAAATTAAAATCCTTATTTACGTAGTAATATTTGTCAGTAGATCCCAATGATGAAAAGAGACTCAAATTGACAGCAGGCTATATGCAGGATGATTATAGCATCTTCTACTTCAATCCTGAATCTACAGAGCAACAAGAATCCAATGAACAAATCGTCAGCATTCAAAGTTCTCTAGGAACATACTTGATGCTGACTTAGAATGGAAAATTCCAATTTCAACCTCTCCCCAATGATCAGACACCCCAGCTATTCTCAATCAAATAGATCGACCCTGCATCTTCTGTCATTTTGGAGGATCTCAATGAAATTCATATGAGAATCCTGAACTTCCATGTGTATTTGCAATAATGGTCCATCTTGTCAGATAAGAAGAAATAGAATGAAGACATTTTTGTATTCGATTACTTGAAATCCTTGTCTCTAAAAGGACAGTTGGAACAGGAGGTTTATCATTTGTAATTGCAATTGGAAGCCTTGAACAATCACTTGTCTAACAAAGCAAATCAATATGAAATGAACAACAATGTCCAAACTAGCTATCAATAGAAGCAAAAGTTATTGAGAGAATAGAAGATCTTGGAGTTGCTATTCTCCTTATTGAAATTGATTGACAACATTGTCTTCACCTAATAGAAAGTGTTTAGAGAGAAGGAGTAGAGCCGATTGTATAAGACAGAAAGACGTCTGCCATCGCAATAGACAGCTGTAATAATTTAAGTGTATTTTCTTAGTCTTATGTGGCATTCAAAGCTTTGGCATCCATTCCTGTTCACATTTACAAGATCATCCTCTTGTCCATCAAAAACAATCAGAGCAATCGCAAAATAGCCTTGGATAATGACGAATTCTTGTGTAAATAAATTCGAAGTTATGGACCCCATGTTTCAGCCATTCTGAGGGAAGCAGTAAAAGACCAACCAAACATCGATTTGACGGATTGGGTTCGCCTATTAGAACCATTGGAGGAAGTAGGGAATAACATCTATGACATGACTATTTATCTTAAGGTAATATCAATAGCAATGGTGGATTCCAGCAATCAAGGGATCTTTCGATATCAAAACAAAGTTTGTAAGGAACTATTCTCTTAAGGAAAGAATGGCAAGACCAAATTCTTATGTCAATTTAATGTTCTCCTCGATAAGCCTACATTTAATTTATATCGAGAGGAACCCTTGGCCGATTTCCTATTAAAGAATCCTTCCTTAAATCAATTGCATTTGATAAGGCCTTCTGAAAATAATGAGATGGAGTTGTTTTCACTTGAAGAGTTGGGAGAGAAAATCTTGGTCAAGAAATCGTTGTTGCAGTTCTTAAGTTATTTGACTGCTTCAGTGAACTTATTGGCTTAGTTATGCAAGGGCAGAAATAAGAAATGTATGAAGAAGGTGTAATTTTTGGGGATAACTTCGAATCATATTTAGAATGTAATTAAATCAACCTAGATTCCTTTGTCAATGAAAAACAGTTATCTCAAATTATATGAAGTCCTGTACATAGATATTGATCCCTTTTTGCCAATCTACTCTCAAACCTGTTTCATTTGGGGTTAGCTGTAGATGGAAAAGGATAAAAAGATAGCTCAAATTTTCAATCATTATGTTGAGGCAGTGGAAGTGGGCAAATTGACTAAGGAATTCGAAGAGAAGATGTTGCCTCTCCTTTTAGAGTTACTGACTTAGGGCAATAGTTTCTAGGAAGGTCTGATCAAAGTGAAGAAAAAGAAGATGCATATAAGATTGCCTTCTCTAAGTGGAAATTAGGTATAAACAGAGAAGGTTGAGTAGAAGAGCAAGATTTCGTAAAAGATTAAGTTTTTGACTACTCTTTATCATCTGGTTTACAAGATAATATAATTGGGATACCTTACGGAGGAGTAGATTTGTTCGATTGTAAAGCCAATGTTGTAAATCTTTGTGCCATTTTTATCACAAAGAGAGAAACAAGCCTTGGAAGTGAAGGAGAATTGGTTGAATGAATTGATAGCTTCTGCGAAGTCATTATAACAATAGAGTTTGGTTGATTTGATAGATGAACTATTTTCAAATGCTGGTTTGCTGATGAAGTAGTATTTCACAATCCAGTTGAATGTGCAAATTCAAGAATTCTTAAGACATTTCTAGAGGTCCTATCAAACCTATTGTTTATAATCGCTGGAGAAGTTGATAGCTGAAGTTAGAGAGATCATTATGCGAATGCAATTAGGATAGAATAAGAACTTGGTGTTAGGGTATTTGTTGGGATTCTATTGTTCCAATTATTTATTCTAGAGTAAGGGTTTTAGGTTGTGTCAGGAAGCCTTGAATTAGGGAGTCAATTAACAGTGGATCTCATAATTGAGACAAGCTGAGATCATTTTAGATGGAGATGAATTAGAGTTGTATTAGTAATTGACTGGTAATTCTTTGGTTGGATAAATCTTCTCTCCTATTCGATTGGAAGTTCAGATATAACAATTAGAGGATTCTCAGAAGAAGAATTCAGAAGGAGGAGGGAAACAAAAAGATGAAAAGAATTGGGAAATTGACAATCAATTAAACAAATTGATCAATCGAATTAAGGAAATAAAAATGGATTCATTTAAATTAACAAAAACATAGAATATTCTAAGAAATCTAGGAGTTCATAAATAAATTTTGAGATTGATTAAGGCATAACGTGAATAGAGTGATACTCAACAAATCTCAATTAAATTCTTATGTTTATTTCTATTGAATAATAAACTCAATTGTTCAGAAATCCAGGAGGACCTATTTACAATCATTTAATTAGCATCTAGCAATCTAAAGGTATCCAAATTGATTGGAGTCTTCTGTTAAAGTCTCAATGATTAGTGGAGTGTTCTTCAGTAATTAATCAAATCCATTTTTGCCACTATGCATGAACACAAAGGAACTTGTTAACAATTCTATAAGGCTTTGTTATCCATTCTACAGAATAGATAACTCTCTTTTGATCGTATGAATGCTTTAAAAAGAGAAATTCTGAGCAACCTATTCAAAATCCCTAGTTATATCAATGACCTATAATATTATAAGCAATTAAATGATGTAAAGAACAAGAAGGAAGAGTAACTGTTTTATGGGATGGAATTTCAGATTTTCTCAGCTTCAAATGCGTTGACAGCTCAAGTCATTAAGGATTATACTTTGGGAATTCAATAGATCCAAGGCATTTTATTTACTGAACAAATTAATTAGATGATTCACAATCCAGCCATATCTTATTTAATTAAATCTGAGTTAATCAAATTGGTTTACATAACTCAGATTCAATAGATACCAACATTTACCATGTCAGATATGAGAGAACTGTTAATTATGCTATTGAATGATCTCTTGGCATACCCAAAATATCTAGATGGATTATTAAAATAGTGTGAGACCAACACTGAAGAAGACAAGGAGAAAATAACAAAGGATAAGTTGTAAGTAGACATGATCAAACAGAAGATGTTTTAGGATACTGAAGAAAAGAAAAAGAATTTATTAGCCACAACTCCAGGTATGCCCAATCAAACAAATGCGGCTCAATAACAAGTCCAATAAATGAATGAATAAAAGAGGATTGTTTTTGATAATACTGAATATTGGAAATACTTCCTCAAGATTTCTAATTGGTAGAATATTCAATTTGGAGTTCTCATGTTGTTGCAATAACTATTTTTAGAGGTATAATATCGCAAATGGAATATATCAGAAACCTAATCGAATTAATAGATACTCTAAATTGAACAAATGAATCAAATTACTGAAGATTCCCTCTATGAACCATTGGCTTTAATCAAATTGATACTAGAAAATATTAGACAAACCTTGAATCTAATTGAAAATACTTTGCAATATCCAAAATATAGAGTGTACTTGGCATAACTATAACATTATATATCCAAATGTCTTATGCAATGTCCCTTAGAATCCAATTTAAAGAATTTCAAAACCATCAAGTATGCCTAAGAATATAAGACTCAGAGGGCTATCAAGACCTAAATCAAAGAATACAAATAGAAGGCATTGCCTAAACCATCTCAGGAAGAGTTAAAGTAAAACTTAAACTAATTTTACGAAAAGCTAAGATGTTATATGATGGAAAAGCATCTCACAATAAATGAAATGATGGATAAAATCAGAGGGGAATTTCAATTTCACACAGAATTACTAATCTCTGAGGGTCAATATAGTGTCAACACTCCAGATAAATTAATAGGTAAGGATAAATTTTGCAACTTGTTCAATCAGATCTTGGAAGAACACTTCTAGCAATTGATCTAAATTAAATTATCGAAAACATTACCAGACATTAGTCAGTATCTAACCTATGAGGACGCTTCAAAATATTATGAATCCTATATGTAATTAAGAGATTCCACCAAAAACCTGCTAGATATAAGTATATTTCATAACTATTCGTTTCATAGATAAGTTCTTCTAGAAACTTATGAACTATTTCGATAGTCAAAAAATCAAATACAATAAAGTTGAACTTAAGGAATTGTAAAAAAAGAAGATATAATAGAAGAATTATCAACAAGAAGTATTAATTATGATTAATTTAGTCGCTGTTCATACAACAAACCTATGGCTAGTTCATTTATCAGTATGAGTTGCTGATAAATCCAGACAATCCATACAATTTTTATAGACTCGATAAAGCCTTATTTAATGATATTTAGGAGCAATTCCTTTTGAAGTTGTCTAATGATGATGAAGTTATTTACATATTTTCTAGATTACTAAAGGAAGAGGCTATCTAATAAAAATAATTAGCTTTGAACATTATTTATGAATGCTTACAAAGAGAGTAGAGTATTATTGAAAAAGATCGACTCTTGCATTTTTGTATCAAACAAATACCTTTTCTGATGATGTACTTAGAGGAGAGCGATAATGAATACACGATTAAGAGCATTAAGAAAGTTAAAAAAACTCTGTTTATTTTTGAACAAATCTAAAGGATGAACAAACAACAATTAGCCACTGTCATCTAGAATGACTGCTGGTTGTAGTTTAATAAATTTATATCTCGCACATTCAATTAAGTTGATAGATTATTTAGTTTGGAGTAGCATATCAAATAGAGTGCATCAAGCAATGACAATCGTCTATTCATAAGCAAGACTGATCTAAGCAATGAGAAGAATTAATTACTTGGACAGTTCTTTAAAATTATTGCTTCTATTTTGAGACTCATAGGTAAACTCATCCAATGCACAGATGTCACTTCTCAATTCGGAGATTCTGCAAATCAGTCCTCTCTAACTGAGGAAGTATTATATTTTACTACCAATTACTTTAATTATATCAATAGGTCATAATTAACTCATATATGCACAGAAACTGATATATTAACACTATATACGGAATCATTCAGATGCTTAAATAATTTTTGTGAAGGAAATCCTCAAAACTAAAATTTAATATTTAATCACAAACCCTTAATCTAAATAATATAATTCGTTATCACCACTCCAAAGTATGATATTTTGGCTGATAATTTATAAGACAATAATTATCGAACCTTATTTAAAGCAACTATAAAACTACTTTTATTAGTTTAATTGGATTTACACCAAAGTTACACTGAATTGAATTTTTAGATTCTTTTTGAAAAGCTATTGACCATTTATGACACCTTTGCTCCTAGGCTTTAGATTATAATTCAAGGGTAGAAATGTACTCATGTAGATAACATTAATTGCACTTATCTAAAATGCCAATATGATTTAATTGCCCCAGGAGAATTTGAAGTATTTACCATCTGCTTTGATTTGATTATACTGTTTAACATCCTGTGTGAGAAGATTGACAAGGTGGGGAAGGGTGAAATAAAAAGGGATTATTGGCAAGCACTCAAAGATAGAGTGATTTAAGATCAGATACATGATTTAACATTGAATTAGAAATAAAATATCAATTTCTTAAGAATCTATTTGAGCATGAAATAATTTGTCAAGTAACAACCATTTGATGACAAAAGGAGAGAACTGTTGAGAGAGTACTTATAATCAAATGATTCTGTTATAACTTCATTAGAAATCAAGGAGCACAAGCAAAAACAAAAAATAAATGTAAAAAAGAAATCTACAAGTGTTAAATCCCCTATCATCCTCAACAAATAATAATCTCTGTTAGGTGATATGGCTAGTCCAAAAAGTAAGTTGAAAGAAAGCATTTACAAGATTACAAATAAAAAATTATAGGTGAAACAAACCTTAGAAGAGGCTATTCCGTTTAAGAAATTCGAAGAACAGGATATGGTAATTGAAACCCATGGAAAAAGAGGAAGTAAGATGGAATAAAAATTAGAAGAAATAGCAATTAATTGGTTGGAAGGAGCTTAACAAAACAATTAGAGGGATATTATTAAGTAAAACATGTGTATGAAAATGGCAGAGGCTATTAATTTTTTTAGTAAGTATGTTGGATAAATATAAATTAAAAGAAATGATGAAACAAAGTTACAGTACTTTGTTTTACCATTTTAATCATCATTTCTATTAAAATAAACTACAAAAAAGGCTAAAATGCTCAGAATGAGAAGAGGTAGATATGAGTAATTAAAAACAATGTCAGACTATTTTTAAAAGGAAGTCATTTTTAGACAACATATATCGATGTATCCAAAATTAAATTGGTTTTCAATTAATATTCATCTCATTAAGTCATTTAATTATTTACTTGTTTTAACTTTAAATATATGTTATTTAGCTGATTTAGAAAGACAATCTGAATCATATTCATTTAAAAATCAAATAGTTCAAATCATTGTGATAATTTTAACTATTATTTTAGTACTCTTATCATTATTTGTATTGATAATAGAGATCATTAATTAATAGCCATACATAGCATTTAGAGTTAACTTTTATAGAGAACAGAACTATGAAGACGATTCTCTTGGATTCAAAGGCAGCGATAATTTAAATTACATTTACCAGAATTTATAAAGACTTAAGAAGACCAATCAAAAAAAGAAGATAAAAATGCATTAGTACTTCACCCAAAATAGAATTTTGGCTTAAATAACTAATGTTACATTTTTGTATCATTTATGTTATTTGGTTTTGGCAGCACTATCATTTTTGGCATCACCATTTATTTCCTTATTACTTTTCGACGTAGTTCCAAGAGTGAAAGTAAATAATTAAATAAATTATAGGGCTTAAAAAAAGTATTGGAATCTGTTTTTGTAAATATTGGCAAGATCATACTCATTTTGTATTTAGCATTAGTAGTAATCCATTGTTATGCCTTCTTGGCATTTTTAGTAGAGGATATTTCAGTGTTTCAGGAAGATTAAAGTATGGAACTTCCATTCATTACTATTTTCTTGAGATTCTTTGGAAATGGATTTAGATTGTAGAATGCTTTTAGTTAAGTTGATGTTTATCCTGATCAATAATGGGGTAATTATATATTTTTGGTATCCTTCTTTTTGGTTGTATTTATCATTTGTTTCGCATTAATCATAAGCATAATAACAGGACAATATTCCCATAAAAACCTATTGTCAAAAAATCAGAAGAACAAATCTTGTAAAATTTGTAACATATCCTATTACTAATGTCGAGAGAAGTATAAAAAACATTATATTTTAGAAACATAAGTTGGCAAGAACATATCGAGAAGGTTCACAAGTTGTCAGCATATTTATTCTTTATTATATGTTTGTAGTAGAAATAGGAATTAAATTATGTAGAAAGAGAAATCGCAAAAAAGTTACTCGAAAAAGATATGTCATGGTTGCCCACAAATTGATAAGAAATTTATATCATAAATACTATTTGAGAATCTAATATAAAAATATATATAAAAGATTATAGACCTGTTCCATAATTAAATACCTCTTAATCTTCACTAAGTCAAAAAAGTGTAACAGAAATTTATGAAGACTGAAAACATAATATTAATAATCCGATCTATCAGCTATAATTATATGTATTAAAGAATCCATATTTATATGTTTAATTTCAATATGATAAAGTCCTACGACTTTTTCTTATATGATCTATCTTCTCTTTCTTCAATTGATACCTTCTAATAATTAAGAATATAGCCACAAAGAGCGCCACCACTATCGCAAACGCTACAACACAAAAATAAATGTAGAGATTTTCTTAATAAGGCGACATCAGAACTCCATGAACGTCGAACACATAGTCAAGTCTACATTGACAATAATTAAAAATGTCTGACTAATTTTTATTAAGGCAATTAGTACTATTCAGACGAATCTATCATATAAAATATATATTTTACAGTGACTCTATTTTATTAACTCAGTCTAGCTTAACAAGAAATTTAGGCTGATTTTTCCTATACGTAATATATAGCTACACCATATTTGTAGATTCCAACCACAAAGTCTGTATCCATTTCAATCAATCCCAAAAACTCCATTTAGTAAAAGTTATCACTACATAATTTCATTAACTAATTACCCATTATAAAGATAAGGATCACTGAAATTCTCAATCAGATTCTTCTGATACATATTGTTTGTTGGATTGCTAATTAATAAAGTATAATTATCAAATTATTTGATATTCCTGTAGATTTACTTAGTAGCAGTTTTCTTTCTTATCAAAACCCAACTGTCATTGAAAATTCTACCTTCATAAATTTCTGAAAATAATTGATTCTATTATATTAGGATGATTTAATTATTTTAAACGGATATGACCTTACATCCCTTTTGACTAATAAAGAAGTTCTTATCTATGTGCATAGATGTAAGGTTAAAACGTTTGACTCCATTTTCATGGTCTAATAGATATAAGAATTCCTTGTCTATAGAGTAATCAATCAAATTCAGATTAGTAAAGCCAGGGCTTTAGTAAATGTCCTAAACTAGAGATATCTATTACTTGGATCATGAATTTATTGACTAACAACAGGATGTTATTTTGCATTTTATAAATACTCATTCCAGAAATACCATTGATCAAGTAAACATACTCTTGTCTCACAAATATTTTAAAATGATCATTGACTTTATTCCAACTGTGAATTTTAATTTCTTCCAAACTACCATTATTGATATTGAACTTCACAAATTAGTCACTGTCAACATAGTAAAAGGATTGGGTATCCGACAAAATTTATGCATATTCATTCACTCCTTAATTAATTGATAATTAATAGACTGTGTAATTTGTCAATGCGGGACCATCGTTATAGTATAAGTGATGGATTGTTCCGTTTTTTTCCAAAAGAATGAGATTCCTATCTATTGTTGCAAATGAAATTAATTCATCTGAAAATCCTTACTGAATTTCTTCTGTTTTCAAACTATCTATATCAATTTACTGCAGATCTGTTACCAAAGCTATCAAAGTGTCTGGTTATCTTTAAAAAAGCATGTATTGATAATCGAAATTGCAAATAGGCTCATCAAATTCTCCGTTGTATTCTATTGAGATGTTTCTACATAGTGTTAAGATTTTGAATACAAGATCTATCCAAATTCTTCAAATGTTCTTGAAAACACGGTTTTTTCAGCGATTAACGGAATGAATTACGGGAAAGCAAAGGAGTAATTAGTCCAGGTAATTTCCTGAGAAAAAACGTGCAGAAATTAGAGAAAGATCAACATAATAATTATTAATAATTTTGGGGAATTTGCTGTATTTTGAGTTAGAGGATCAGGTATCATTCTATTACAATAAATTCACGATTTCTTCGATTGGTTTTTCATTCAAAATCAAATACAAGGCCACAGAAGAAAGATGATCTTCATTATTTTTTTGTAACCATTCAATTTAATTAATGGGTTAATTAGTATTCTTTAAGCTGGAAGTAGGATTTTTGATCTGTAAGGTTTGGGCCAAACAAAATCCTAAGTCTTAAAAATTAAGCCTATTGTTTCCGATTGTAGCTTCAGTGTAATCAATCAATTTGAAAGATTTGGTATCTTCGTAGTATAAAATAGAATCTAAGGTGATTTGCTTCAAGACTAATTAGTTTTCTTGGGCAGAGATCAAACCTTAAATTAGATCTAAGAATATTGTTTTAATTTGCTTGTTTGTCAATTCATCTAAGAAATGGAAGATTGTTTTACGACAATACTAATAGACTAGCAATTAGAAGGAGATGTGGAGGATTTCTAATATGAATGGGAGATGAAATACTTATTTCTTTAGCCAAATCGTCAATTTTTTGAGTCTAAGCCGAATAGGTGAAAATGTTTTCAGGGGTGAGTATAAATTTATTATTTAATGAAAATAATTTCTAAATAATTTGCACCAAATTGTATACTTCTATAATGTCAGATTTGATTGAAATTGGTTTAATTTAGTATTTTTTTTTTGACTTTAAATCTTCGATCTAAGCATATGGAGACATATTTACAATGATGGGATAATTTTTGGATAGCAGATGCTAATCTAATTTTAGATAATCAAATTGGTAAGTATTCTAATCTCTTAAATCCAGATCGTTCTATTCAGAAATATCTAATTTGCAACTTGATATTTTCTAAATCGAGAACCATTTCTGTTATACATCCTGTGGTGGTCTCTTTTTGTGTATTTTCTTAGACCTGTATTTAATAACCTGAATTGATTTACTTTTCCAAAACCTATTCGCTGCTCTAATGAACTTTATTCCAACTCATTTAACTGAGATTGTCAGGAGAGGCGATTTAATCTTGTTGGCTGGAAGAATAAATATTCATACAATTATTTAATTTTTAAATTGTTTATTACTTTCTCTTCGATGACTTTGTAAGAAATGCCATTCTTTTCGTGATTTAAACCAAATTTACATAATAATACTTAATCAAAAATAACAACAACATCTTTTTATATTAATATTTTAATTATCTTTATAATCTAATATTTTAATTAGATCCTTTAATTTCCTTTTTTATTTATGTGGTGGATTTAATAAAAAAGATTGTTTCAATATATTAAATATTTCTCTTTATATTATACATTAGAATTAATGATTTCAAATTCACCAGAAGCTGAAAAACTCAAGGAATTAGGAAATGAGCAATTCAAATTGAGTAACTTCCCAAAAGCCATTGAACTCTACACTGCCGCTGTTGAAAAGGCAGCTGGTAATAATCATTCTTAATACATTCCTAGGCAATCAAAGACTTGTTTGTCTATCAAATAGAGCATTTGCACACATCAAAATGGAAAACTATGGGCTGGCTATCATCGATGCAGACGAGATTTTGAAGGAGGATTCTGGATTCATTAAGGCTTATTACAGAAAGGGTTCAGCTTATTTATTATTGGGCAAGTTCGACGACGCTAGGAAGGAATTCAAAAGAGTAATACATTGATTAATTTGCATAGGCTGACACTCTCACCCAAGGAAAGGATGCCGATATTTAGGCTAAATTGAAATAAATCAAATAGGCAATCTATGAACGAGAATTTGCAAAATCCATAGAAAGACCAGATGAAGCTAGTGAGCCAATCGATATCCAGGACATCCATGTTGAACAAGGGTACGATGGACCAAGAATTGACAACGATATCAGTGAAGTTACACCAGAATGGTATCACTTATTACATTATGTCAAGGTGTGAGAATTTGATGAATCACTTTAAAGACCAAAAGAAGTTGCATAAGAAATATGCAGTCATATTATTACAAAAGGTAGGAGAAATATTGAAATCTCAACAAAACGTAGTGGAGTATGATGTTCCTAAGTAAATATTGATTTTTATATATATTTTTCTAGAGATCTTGAGTTTACTGTTTGTGGAGACACTCATGGACAATTCTTCGATCTCATAAACATATTTAAAATAAATGGAAATCCATCAGTGAAAAGACCTTACCTATTCAACGGAGACTTTGTGGACAGAGGGTCTTGGAGTGTCGAAGTCATGATGACTCTGTTTGCATGGAAGGTGTGCAATCCAGATATCATGCATTTGACAAGAGGCAACCATGAAAGCAGGAACATGAACAAGTTGTATGGATTTGAAGGGGAAGTCAAACACAAGTATGATGACAAGGTTTATGAATTGTTCTAAACTGTTTTCAACTGTTTACCATTGGCTTACACTCTATCCAAATAAGTGATGGTTGTTCATGGAGTAAGATGATCTCTTTACTATTCTAGGGATTGTTCTCCAATGATGGTGTCACTATCAGTGAATTATAGAAATTAAATCGTTTCAGAGAAATCCCTGAAGGTGGTCCCATGGCTGATATGTTGTGGAGTGATCCCATCAAGTAGAATGGAAGACATCCAAGTAAGAGGGGCATTTCGATCTCCTTTGGACCTGACATTGCTCATAAATTCTTGAATGAGAATGGATTATGTATGAGAGTTCTATTTAAAATATTAAAGCTCTCTTGGTGAGGTCGCATGAGATGAAGGATCAAGGGTATGAAGTAGAGGCTGATGGGAGAGTCATCACCATTTTCTCTGCTCCTAATTATTGTGATCAAATGAAAAATAAGGGGGCTTTTATCATATTTAAGGGAGGGGAAATGAAGCCCAAGTTCATTCAATTCGATGCTGTGGTATTTGTTATGGTCTATAAATCAATTAGGAACATCCTAAGTTACCACCCATGGCTTATGCTAGAAATTATGGAATGTTTATGTGAAAAAAACACAATATTAAATTTATGTTTTTGTGCAAAGAATAATTCGCAATATATTAGTATTATATTTAAATTCTTTTTCTTTTCTCTCGCTCTAAATAAATCCAGAAATCAGCACATTCTAAATTGCGCATATAAAGTAATAGTTTAGATTAAGATTATTCTTAGAAATTCTAATAATCACTTGATTTATCGAAATTTCTAAAAATCATATTTAATTATTTTTTATGGATAGAGCAAAAGAAGATCATAATATTAAATAAAAGGCATCGACTCCTTCTTTTTTAATTAAAACCTACGACATTTTGGAAGTAAACAAATTACGTCTACATATTAATTAGAATCCTGATTATAATGAAATTATATCATGGAATGAGGAGGGCACAGCATTCGTTGTAAAAAATGTTAATGAATTGGCTGAGAAAGTACTATCGCATAAAATAGTCTAGGTATTGCCTAACCACTTTAAGCATAATAATTATGCATCATTTGTAAGATAATTGAATATGTATGATTTTCATAAAATGAAAAATGAAGGGGGAGATAATGAATTTAGACATAAATATTTTTAGAGAGGAAATAAGTAATCATTAATTCCTATGTCACAAAGGCATTTACTGTGTGAAATCAAGAGAAAGCAGGGAGAACAGGTCGAGTAGTTTGACGAAAGAAATTAAAATTCAAGTTAGAATTGTAAATTTATATGTCATTTATAATAGCCAATAATTCAATGGAAGTAGATATGTCCAAACTAAAAAATGATTATTAATTTTTTCTCAATGAAATGCTCGGCATTAAGGGAAAGTAACACGAATTATAGAAGGCCCTGATCTTAATCATGACCCAAAACGACCATCTGATCAATGAAAATAAATTATTATGGCAAGTAAGACATCCAAACTCAATAATTTCTTAAGGAAATCAAACGAATCAGAGAGACTGACGAGAGAAAAATTGATACATTGTCTTACTTATTAGCCACCTTGATTACCAATATGAATTAATCCTAAAACCAATAAACAGTTCAGCAACTCGTAGGTGTGTAAGTGCCACCACAGACTTAGATCCCTCCACAAGAACCAAGTAAATCTTCATATTTAAAAAAGATAATCATATTGATCAGCAGTTTAATAATCTCTTGAATCTTCAACAATTGAATCAAAACAGTATGATATTTGAATAACCACTTTAGAACCTGGACAGCAAAAGGATTAAAAGCAGCTCCAAGAACATAATTCTTTTCTGGAAAAAATTATGAAAACCTAATAACAACAAGAATAACAATTGCAATCAAGTATCTATTTATCCGCTATATAATAAGTCAAACAAGACATTTCCTAATATGATAATAGTTATATGAAGAAACAATGCTAAAACCAATTTTAAAGACAACCACAACACATGGATTCAAATTTCATGGTTTAACAGAATAGTTAGGCCTTGATCTAATGTAAGTTGCAGTCTATAAAGTAGAACTCATGAGCTTGTCCTAATAATAGCAATCGCAGTAGCAATAGCCATAAGGACAATAGTTCTAGAACAATTTTTAGAATTATTTTGGGTAAAATAAGGGAAATGAAAATTTTAGAGGATTCCCATATATATGAACTATTTGATTATTATATAAAATTATTATTAAGGATTGCAAAGCTAACGATTTTAATTAGCGAATTTTAAAATTAATCAAATAGTAAAATAACAGAAAAGTTTTTCTTTTTTATAAATCAATCGCTATTTCAACAATGTTCTGATGTAGGACATGGAATCACCGTTTGATTCCAATTTTATTATACACTAATCATAGATTATGTCTAAGAGGACAAGTGGATATTTAAAACGGATAGCTAAATTAATGTAGAAAATGAACCAATTGTCGTTTTTGAGTTAATAATTTATATATAAATATTTATTACATGACTCAAGCTGCTCCAGATTAGAACATGCCATTAGACGATATAAATTCCACTTAAAAACAATCAAATGGATTAGGGATTGCTAAAAAAATAAAAAAGAAGGAGAAAGGATGCTTTTGTAGAAAATAAAAACAGAAAAAAATATATACATGTATTTCACCAGATGAATCCTCTTATGAATGTGTAGGATGGGAAGAGGAAGATTTATTTAACAGATAATCTGACTAACGACGACAAAACAAAGAAATAACAGATCTTAAATGTTTGGCTTGGAACCTTGAACTCATTATCAAAAATGCAAAATAATAACTTGAATATTTGGAGGGAACTATGCCATCAGATCATCTAAAAAATTGATTTTCACTTTTTTCTTTATTTAAATTTATCAACTATACCCACATGCTCTTAATTTCATTTCATCGTCATCATGTCTTTTAATCGCTCTTCAATTCAATTTATACTTGCGGCTAAATCTATTAAAATCCCTAAATTTCATGACGTATTAAATCACAAGTCAAACAGAAGCAATACAAAAGGTATCTAGCAATTTATAAAATAGCCTAATTTGCACGTGGAATTTTAAATTGCATTTCCTGTGTGAATTTTCGCATATTCTAATAATCAAGAAATTCTTATAGTAATTTCAACAAATAATAATCAAGAACTCACTTTGTAGACCGATATTAATAACAATCCTTACCAATCAAAGGTTATTATTAAATTTTACCACTTGCGGATAAACGTATTTAGTATAAAAAAGAATTTAAAAATTTACATTTTAACTGTAATACATTACACGAATGATTTTATTATAATTATATATATCAAGTTAAAGTCATTTTAAGCTGAATTGTTTCAAAAATTGACATACAATTTGCATGTTTAAAATTTATTTTTATATACCAATATAAATTTTTGTATATAATAAATATACTATTACTGAATGGTGTGACGTGATTATATTTTGCTAAACAAAAATTGAAAAAATAAAAATGATAAATTAAACAAAAACATAACTTTTCGAAGTTTTTAAAAAATTCGATAAGGATGGCAATGGTTATGTAGAATCAAACGAATTAATTGAGATTAGCAAGTAAATGAATGAGGAAATTACCCAAGCTGATGTTGATAGAGTATACTTCAATTATCGATTTTTAGTTGATGAAAGTTGTTGATTCTAATGGAGATGGTAAAATCTCGTTTGAAGAGTTTTGGGATTGGTGGCAATTTGGAAAGAATGAAAAACTAGAAAAACTTGTATTTATGAAATTGAAATTGATGAATATGCTAAAATCCATTAATTCTGAGTTTACAAGATTTGGAGTTTCTCTTGAATAGAAATATGAACCTAAATTAGATCATCATTATTGGGCAATTAATTATGGAGATTTCTAATCCCATTTTAAATTCGATGTCAAATTTAAATATAAAGGCTCAGGAGTTCAAGAAGATATTTAATAAGAAGTCGGTGTTCCATAATCAAAATCATTACAAATTGTCTTCATTTTCAGAGCAATCAAACCAGCCTTAGCCAAAGAAAAACTGGAATAATTATGGAATGAATATGTATAAAAGCTCAGAGAAAATTATGATAAGTTTATACTTCCAACAATCGAATCATCATTAAATATTGAATTTTAGGAGAGAAAAGACTCAGTTGCCATAGTAATCAACGTGAGTCATCCATTGATTGATATGACATTTGAATCAGCATATTTACCTTATTGTGAAAAATTAGGTAAAGACGTTGAAGTATTTATGGAGTTTCTATTTGGAATCAAGAATGGAATCACAAAATTAATGAAAAAGGATCAAATATTTATTAAGTATTTATTGGAAGGCTTTATAATGGAATTTAAGGCTGCCTTTAATAGTGACTTAGGCAAGAAACTTGCTGGTGTTATTATAGCTAGTTTTGGATAAGAAGCTGCTCGAAAGTTAGTTCAAAAAAAAGGAAGAGGAATGTAAGGAGAATTATTATGGCCTATGCTATTTAAGAGTTCAAAGTTTCATTTATAATTTAAAAATATGGAAGATGTCAATTAATTTTTGACATCATTGGGTTTATCAGATTTAGCCGACGAGTAACCAACAGCAAGATAATTAATTGATGAACTTAAAGGGGACTTATAATTGTAATAGATTAAAAATCCAAAATCAGATTGGCATTTTATTTACAGAGTATTTTTATTTCATATTCATAGTTATTTTTAATTTTAGCTGAGTATTTCATAGCTTAAGGAACAATAAATATAAATATTCCTTTTGCATATTTAAATATTTCTTTTAATTTGGAAGGTTTGAAAGAAGTATTTGATGCAGTATTTGATCATGAAAAGTAAAAGTAGTAGAAGACCAATTGATTTTATTAATTTTACATAATAATCAAATCATCAGATCTATCTATACATTTGTAAGCTTTAATTTTATTCATTTATAATTCATGAATAAAATAGATCTAAATACAATTGATTATAAATTATAATGACGTAAAATAAATCTAGAATCAATTGTTTATATAACAAAATTGATAATACTGTTTATAATAAATAATCCATTAAGACTTAAATGAATTCCAGTTACAAATAGATTCATATAAAGAATAGATAAAAATTTCATTTAAATAGAGAGTATTTTAATATTAAAAACAAACAAAATTAGAATAAAGGAATATTTGCAGCATATTTTGTATATTGTTTTTTGATATTTTGAATTTAATAAATCACTCTTTTTGTTAGGGTGTATCATCAAAATCTATAAGGTTAGGGAAGAGTTTTTACCTGCTGGGAATGATTCGTTCATGTTCCACCATGATTCGTTGTAAGGATAATCTCTGAAATAAGGCAAGTGTGGATCAAATTTTCCATCATGGACTGGTCTTTATTTATAAAAGCCCAGAGGATCAAAACTCAATTGTTTATCTGAATAAACAATATATCTGGTTGAAGTGCTTGAATATGGTCTACATTCATCGATGTATAAAAACGCATCGTAGTTAGTCTCTAACCAACTGACCCATTTATTTTCCAATTTAGAAAATTCTACTTTCTATTCTTGATTTAAATCTAATTAGTTTTGCTGATGTAGTTTACTTGCATAATTATTATTCAATTCCTATAATCTATTAAAATCTTTTTGGGCCACTTGCATCTCGTTATAGAATCTAATCTGATCGCCTTTGAAATTCTCTAATTGGGAAGTGTAATGTCTCCTGATGGTCGCTCTAAGAATATACTTTGGATTAACCTATATAATCTGGTAATTCTTTGAGTTTAAGAGAGAGTGTCAGGATGCTTCTCTCCATAGGCAAGCAAGTTAACCATCTCAGACCACTTGAAATTCTTCACAGCTAAATAAGCTTTGCTCATTAAAATCTTTATATTAAATATATTATTTAATGCAGCCGTCTTTTACAATTAACCCATCATGTTTTAGGTTGTTTGTTCGGCCTAAACCAAATGCACAAGGCAAACAGTCTGCAAAACCAGATTCGGATGACGAACTCAAAGTAATCATAGTTTTTAATCCAAAGTAACACGACGACCAATTTCATCCAAATGTTTAGAATCAATTCCTAATGAAAAACAGATCAATAACGATATGTTCAAATACATCTACATTGCCTGAGACTTTATCTACTTCCTTTCACAATCAGGAACTCAATCAATCAGGCTTAGAATAAAATAAAGAAGATATATTTTATAAAACTATGCCTACTTCATTCCAACAATTTCAGTTCAAAAATAAGAGAAGATATGAACCATAAGCCTAAATAACTCAATATCAAATTAAATTAGATTCGGTATTCGTATAAAATCTAAATAGATTCCTGGAGATGAGAGAACTACCTTAATGATAAGGAACATTCCAAATAAATACACATAGCCTATGTTATTGGAGAATTTTGATATCAATCATAAAGACAACTATGATTTTTTTTATCTGCCAATTGATTTTACAGTAAATTTTAAGATATCATAGAATAAATGTAATGTGGGGTATGCCTTTATTAATTTTTTGGATTCAAAATTCATTCCCAAATTTTTTCTAGAGTTCCAGGGACGAAAATGGAAATTATTCAATTCAGACAAAGTAAAATGTGAGTTAATTTAGATCTGTGAAATAACTTATGCGAGAATCCAGGGTGTCGAATAATTGCAAGGACACTTTCAATACTCTACCATCATGTAGGAGAAGGTAATTAATTGCATGTGATAGTAGGACAATAGACTTAAACCAATTTTCAAGAAATACCAATCAGATTAATAATTCAAAAGAAAATGATATTGATTTCAAGTAGATAATACTATCTTCATATATAATCTTATTATAATAATTTTATAATCCAATTAATTAAATACATAGTATCTCAGCATTTTATACTATTTTGTAATAGCCGCCAAAAACTAAATTCAAATAATGTGGTAATGCATGCATTTATACTAAGTTTTCAATTATAAAATTGGAGTATTTAACTTTAGAACTACAGGGTTTACTTTAATAATATAAATAAAATGAAGGCTTTTCTTCTTATAACTATCAGCTATGTAGTATAATGTTGGTGGGATGTTGGTCATATGATGACTGCATAGATAGCCAAGAATTACTTAAAAGACAATCGTCCAGATGTGTTGGCATGGGCTGATTCATTGGTTTAGGATCTGAATTCACTCACAGATGGGAAATCTAACACATTTGCAGAGGCTGCAGTGTGGATGGATGACATAAAGGAAACGGGAACAGCATTTATGAATGATTGGCATTACACAGATAGACCCATAAATCCTGATGGTCTATTGATAAAATTGGATGATCAACTCAGAAATATAAATTCTATTTATGCAATTAACCAAGCAGTTTCTGTACTCACTAACACCAAAACAGCTAAGAATAGACACACAATGTTCAAAGCTCAGATGATTAGAGTGCTTCTCCATGTTATTGGAGACATGCATCAACCATTACATGATACTACTTTCTTTAATTCAAGTTATCCAAATGGAGATTAAGGTGGAAACTTCATGAAAGTTTAGGTAAAATTGAAATAGATAAGTTTAGTTGGAGAATGGAACTCTAGTCAATTTACATTCCTTTTGGGATGCAGGTGCATTTGCCTTTAGTCCCAATAACTCTTTTTTGGTCAGACCTTTGAGTTAAAGCGATTCAGAATATTTAAATAAGTGGTCATTAGAAGTAATTTCGAAGTATTAAATTACGAAATACAATAATATCGATATGACGTATTTTATGCATTAATATTTGAATAGTAATCCAACTGTTTGGACTTATGTGGGGTACAGATAAGCTGTTTAATTTGTGTATCCAATGATTGCTTCATCAAATAACTACAACAAGGACTATACGTAATAAGCACAATAATTCTGTGAAGAGAATTTAGCTATTGGAGGATATCGTTTGGCATAGAAGTTAATCGATGTATTTGATCAGATTGTCCTAAACGAAGCCAAGTTAAAATTTGAAGATTGATTTTAAACTACTATTTTTATCTCATTCTATTTTATTTAAAATATATTTCAATTCACTCCTGTTATCTTATTTCTAATTATTTAGTATTATTATTCCACAAGGCAATGTATTCTCCATTGTCAGTCAAGCTGCCACCTCTATAATTGTCTGCGATTTTCTATTGGACTCCATATCTCCCTGTAGTTTATTGGAATAAAATGTAAATGCAATCTAGATGACGACAGAAGATGGATTACAATTACTGATTGTAGAACATGTGGAAGAAATCGAAGTAACTCATCTTCGACTTACTGAGTTCCAGTTCTTGAATCTATTCGAATGATTCAACCGACTCCATATATTGATAAAGAATAACCACTCCATTATATAACTTGGTGGCAATCAACTTATCATTGATGACACAAACCGAATGCACCCAATTTTCATAATCATTTTATATCACTTGCTTTAATCTCCATTATTACTAATCATCGAACTCATAGATGATTATGGTTTTATCATAAGAGCCAGAAACCAACATGGTGCCAGCTGAGTTTAAACTCAATGAATAAACATCTTTCTTATGATCCTGTAGAGTTTAATAGCATTTCCATTGTGGTTATTATGAAGTCAGTAAGGATTCTTGCATCCATACCTTGATTTTGTTATCATCTCTACTGGATAGGATTTGATCTTCATATTAGTTTATAATAACACAATTAATGCAAAAACTATTGCCTTCTAAAATCTATATACAGCCCCATTCACTATTACTAAACTCCTTCCATATTCTTAGAGTCTTGTCTCGACTTCCAGAGATGAACCAATTATTCTTACGACTGAAATAGAGACAGGTGACTTCTTTGTCATGTCCTTTCAATGTTTGAAACAATTCCAATTTGCCATTGTCGAAAGTCCAGACCTTAATGAGTTCTTCTGATGTGCTTATCATTATGGAATTGTCTTTGTTGAAGGCTGTGGCTAAACATTTTTCCTTCTAGACAGCCTTCCCTACGATTTCTTCATTAATAATAAGATTGGTGGTTAGTGATTCTTTGAGTATTTCCATATTGCTTTGGATAGACTTGATGTTGTTTTGATAATTGGAAAGAGTGGTTTACAATTGTTGTTCCTTCTTCATTTGAACCACAGAGTAACCAGCTTTAATTAGTGAAAACTCATTTCCTTACTAACTTAATTGTAATCCTACGTTTTGCAATCCACTTATGGTCAAATACTCGTTAATATCGAATTGCCATTGCACTGATTAGGCTTATTGAATGACTCCGACAATCTTTTCGATTCTTTCATTGATTTATTTACTAATTTCATTGAGAGATTGCGAAATGGATTCAGAAAGTTGATGAATGACCTTCTTGAATTCCAAGAAATCGTAGACCTTGTTTTTTCTATAATTTCTAATCTATTATTTTTCGTCTTCTTTCAATTTCTTGAATTTCTCCAGAGCAGTTTTCAATGGAACAGCATCATTCAAAGGTGTGCAATTCAAACACTTGGCCCTGTTATTGATAGGTGTGTCCTTCTTGGTGTCAATATAACTGATTGGTTGGTTGTGATTCGGACAGCTGACATTGCTAGCAAATGATTACAACATTTATATTGTATATATATATAAAATGATAAAGGGAAAAATTGGAAATATCATATTAATAAAATTTATATGCAGCCCCATCAAAGTTTAAAAAACCTGTTCCTGAGAACCAATGGACTGATCAAAATAAAGCCAAAAGTGAGGGTTACTGACAATTACACCCTGTCCCTTGTTTATACTCCTGGAGTTGGCCATATTTGCAAGGTGATCCAAAAAGACCCAGATTAACTGTACGAATAGACGATAGCTGGTAATTCGATTGCACTCCTTGCTGACGGATCAAGTATGCATCTCCGCAATACTCTATAGAATTCAATCTCCCCCGGTCATCCAAAATGATCCCAAATTTAGAAGCCATAAGTGCCTTGTACAAAGCATTCTATGACGTAGATGCCTATCCTATTATCTTGGACAGAACTATCATGACAGATGTATCCGATTATGTGCTGGTGATGGACAATCTGTCACCCACATACAAAGTATCTGTTTTTAGATTATTCCTAGACTATAGTTTTGATTGACATCGAAGATACGTTAGCCTCACAGATCCTCACAGCTGTGGAAAATGCTAAACTCGAATGCACTGTGATTATTTCCAACTCCCACAATCTGAGGGAGTAGCTCTATGATGCTGCTTTAGTCAAGGCTACTCTTGATGCAAGATCCACTCTTAAACCCTCTCAATGTGAGTTAATCAAAAAAGCAATCACTTCAGTTGATTTCACTAATCTACCATCTCTTTTGACAACAACTTTAAACAAAGCTTATGCTCTGGGATTACAGGAAATCTACAATCATAAATTGTATCATCACACTGTTGCAAACGTAAACCCAGAAATTTTCATTAATAAATTAAATGATCTTTATATTTATGGAGAAGTTGCTTATTACAACAAATGGTCTAATGATCATCTGTTGCAAAATAATGATTTCAATTAGAATGCCTTGGAATTGCACAAAAGATACCATGGAATGATCACTATTGAACTCAAGTTTAATCCAAGATCACTTGAAGATTTGTTCAGAATTTATGAAACCTCCTATCAAAAAGATGAGTTGGCATAACTCAGACAAATCCTCATTGATGATCCATCCAAATTAAGAGAAATCACCTTCAAAAAGAACTACGCTGCCATCATAACCAACGGTACAGCCATTCTTGGTTTGGGCAACATCGGACCTTCTGCAGGACTACCAGTTATGGAAGGCAAGTCCGTCTTATTCAATGCTTTGGGAGGCATAGATCTTATGCCAATCTGTCTTAAAGAGAAGGATCCTCATAAATTGGTCAGAATCATTAAATGGTATGTCCTATCAAATCTATCTCAGCATTGCTCCTATATTTTCAGCAATTAATCTAGAAGACTTGAGAGCCCCTGATTGTTTCCCCATAGAAGAAGAGGCAGTTCAGAGTTTACACATTCCATTAATGCATGACGATCAACATGGAACAGCCGTAGTTAGTTTGGCAGCAGTCATCAACTATCTAAAATTAACCAAAAAGAATGTGAAGGATCTAAAATTAGTTATAAATGGAGCAGGGTATATAATTAATGTATTTATTTAAAGGGCTGCTGGTGTTGCAATCGGTAAATTGTTGTATGGACATGGAATTGAAGATATTGTGATGTGTGATACTTCAGGAATCATTTATGAAGGTAGACCTTAAAATATGAACAATTTTAAAAATGATTTAGCCAAGTTCACAAATAAGGGTAAAATCTAAGGCACTCTTGCAGATGCAGTCAAAGGAAGAGATCTCTTTGTTGGAGTGTCCAGTGCTGTAAATATTATATATTCAACATTCATAGGGTGCATTAACTCAGGATATGGTCAGAGCAATGAATAAGGATCCATTCATCCTAGCCTTAGCCAATCCAGTGCCTGAAATAATGCCAGACGAAGCCATTGAAGCTGGTGCATTTATCGTTGCTACTGGAAGATCCGATTTCAACAATTAAGTCAATAATTCTTTGGCTTTCCCAGGTATTTTCAGAGGTGCCATTGACACTAGAGCCAAAGAAATTAATCTAGAAATGAAGGTACTATGAATATAATACAAAAGATTGCTGCTGCTTATGCTATTGCCAACAGTATCAAAGATTCCGAACTTAGCACAACCAAGATTTTGCCTGGAGCCTTGACAGCAGAGATTCCTGCTAATGTGGCAAGAGCTGTGGCTATTGCTGCCATGAAGACAGGAGTTGCCAAAGTTAATGTAGATCCAGAGAAAGTGTTCGATTTGGCTAGAAAATTGATTATGGAAGGAAACCTAGCAGGTATTTGAATAATTTAGAACATTACATACAGTTTAATAATTTTAATTATAAAATATAAATATGGGAAAGAAGAAACCAGATAGTTTCTTAAGTTAGATGTCTAAATTGTTTAATGGTGAGAAAATCATCAAATTAACTATCAAGAGAAGTATACATGTTACTTATCATTTTTGTTAGATTTGAAAGAGCAATATCCACAACTTCGCAAGAGATTAAGAAGAAAATAGAAGTAACAATTGTTGGGCGAAATCAAATAAGCTAACGATGTGAATGAAATCATCATTAGATCGTAGACTCAAAAACTAACAATTTCTACATCTTCAAATAAATAATAAATCAATAAATTTGCCGATTCATTATCAAACATCTATCGCTTATATTGTCATGATCAGTAGAAATAAATTAAAGTAAGTTCCTTACTATTCTAGAAAAAACCTGTTTTATTGCCCACACAACCCAATGCGAAATCGAAAACTTAGTAGAGATTAAAAGCCAAAAAATTGAGAAACAAAGAAAGACGCTAAAAAAGACACTAACTATAGAAATTGAAGAAGAAGGATTTGCAAAGGCAAAAAACATTTGCAAGCAAAAAAAGAGAAGATCAATAATAATGATATATGTATACGATTTAGTACGTGTTAAATTAATATTGTAATTCTTAGAAAAAATATTAAAAACAAGAAATTATTGATCAGAATTTAGATTTTTTTGTTATTCTCCTCATTGTGAGTCTAGATTGTCTCTGCTTTTGTTTCTATTAACTTTACAATTCAGCAGGCAAATTGTCAGGCTCATCAACCAGAATGATATATTTACTCACTAACGAGTGAAAATACTTCTCGACATCGACATGCATAAATAATTAGTTCTTCATATGCATCGCATATATGTCATTAGTTAATCTAGATATCTCACCTCTAAATGTATTAGCTTCCACAAAATCTCTACAAACCCTCAATTTCTATTTGTAATACTTAAGATCCATCTTATACTTCTTGATTAATTGCTGATCTTGCAGATGCTACCTAATTCTATCCCTCATCAATTCAAAAATAAAGCACTTCCTCATCTATTAAGCAAATTCCTTATCTTTCAACACCTAAAACCAAGTAACCAATCCCTTCTTTCTCAAAGTAGCCTACTTCCATTTTATTTCCTCGTCCTTAATCTTCTCATTCAAATTGTCCCATTTTACAATCATATCATTTTTGTATTTTGTGTAGTTCTCTTCAAATTGTAAGATGTGTTTCTTGATAATATTGAGTTTATTTCCTAACTTTAACATTTTCATTTTAATACAGTATATTATTGCTCTTTGCTGTAGAATAGGTAATAATACTTAAATTTATTTAGTTCGTATTGATCTTCTGATTATTTTAGTTTTAGCCTTGATGGAGATAAAGCAATCAACCAAAACTCGTGTTTCTAGGAATTCTCCTTTTGGACATATGATTTTCTTTTTCATTTACCTGAAGAGTGATTTAATTCTAAATGCAACTAGTCTATTCTTCTTCAAGATTTACTTTTTGTGCCAAAATGCATCAAAAATTCTGGAACTCATTTTAATGAAATAGATAATGATGGCCCATTATTATTCAAATATTCCTTTTTGACTTTTCTTGTCGTTGATAATTTTGGTTATGATTTTTTCTTGATTAGCTAGTTTCTTGGCTTTGATTTGGTATTGCTTCTATATTTTAGCTTGTGTTTTGGATTGTCTTTAAAAGTTCCTTGTTGATAACACTTTGAGGAATCGGTCTTATCTTGATATCTCATCTTAGTATCTGTTTTTTTTGATTCCTGCCTATTCCTTATTGGAATTGATAATACATTAAAAAGATTTGGAATGAGAGAATTTAACCATTTATTAGAAGTCAGTTGATGGAGTGTCTTGGAGAGTTTTGATTCTTTGACATTCTTCAAGTGGCTGATTAATTTGGAGGTTGAATTAAAGTTCTGAATCTTTCCGAGTAATGATTGATAAATAAATAAATTCACCTGTGATCACTGAAACAACAAATCCTCTATTATTGATTACTTGCTCGCAATTGTAATTGGTGGGGAAGGGATGAACTTGCGAGATCATCAATTAAAATTCACAAGTGCAGTATACTTGACAGCCAAAAGGTGCTATTAAATTCTCGCAAGAAATCCTCAAATATTAATGCTCCATTGCTTTGGTAATGTAGGTCTTCCCGGATATAATTGTATTATTCTTCTCAGCCTTGATAAATTGAGTGTTCCTTTGGATGATCTGAGTTTAAAAATGAGGTAGTCTGACTTGATTTTGAGAGGTTCTTAGATAAAGAGATTTCTTGGTTGAAGGCCTTCTGTTGTCGAAAAAGATTTGGGAGCTACAGATGTAATTTAGTGAAAAAGTGGCATCCCTTCTTAGAGTAGTGTCACTCATCTCAGTTTTAAGATTTTCTTTCATGTATAATTATATTAAATTTATATTATTTGTTATATATAATATTGGATAAAAATCACAATGTTTTTTATTTTTTATTACTTAAAGCCATCACTCCAAGGGCAGTGGAAGCCATTGCCAACAAAGACATAGACGACAAGATGGTGAATGCCTTTTGATAGATTTGCCTTGAGGATTTGGAAAAGTACATCTGGACAAGGATGCATATGACAGATCCAACCAATAAGGATTGGGTTTTGCTGGACAAACTAAAAAATAGTTGAAAAATCCATAAGTTACTTTCTCAGATTCACTTTATGATTCTCCTTATGTACGATAGGTTTATGCATTAACAATGAGATGACATGCAACAAGGTTTAAGAGTTGTTTTTTCTATTTCTCTATGTGTATTGTTCATAATCGGCATATCTATCCCAATGTTCCACTTTGACTGGCTGTTGGATGATTTATTAATGCAATTGTTTGTCCTAATTAATCTGTAGTTCATCTTCTTAGAAGTAATTTTGCACTAACTCCTTTTTAATTGGTTCTGGGAATAAGTTAATAGTTCCTTTTCTAAGGATTGCCTCTTTCAATTAAGGATTGATATCTTCAAAGGATTCGATTATTTCTTCTGGGGTTTTTTTAATTAGAAATGGACTTAAAAATACTCTTACATGTCTCTTAATTGTTTCGAAATACCATATATCGCACAAAATATCAAATAAGGATCTCTCCAATAAGATCTTTCTAAGTTTGTGAGAGACATTGTTTAGGAATCCCTTTCTCTTAATTCTGGTCCACTTGATCTTCAACAGAACAGCAAGGGAACAAAGTGTCAGAGCCAATATGATTGTAAACTGAAGCGAGACCAATGTAAACCATATATAGGTGACACAACTTAGCAAGAGTAGAGCGAATACTTTTTCTATAGCTGCAAGATCAATCTATGACATTTGCTTATTATTTATCATTAAAAATATATTGTGATGAAATGCCTAAATTTAATTATTATAATAAATGATGGTTCAGTTCACAAATTTAGCACTTCCTGCTTTGTTCTATTGGGATGCTCCTTGTCCCTATTCTGCTGGCTTCAAAATTTAAAAAGAACACATGAGCGATTCATCGACAGTCATCATGGATCCTAATTTTATTTTAATGAGAGAGAATGTTTTACCTGCATTGTCAAATTCACCACAATAATTGGGAGCTGAAAATAGTGTGACTAATTGTCTTTTACTGAAAAACTCATATCCATCTTCAACTACCTATATGTAATATAAAAAATGCATTTCTACTTGATGTGCTCTGCATATCAGATCCAACTCATGCTTTTTGAGAAAGACCTAAACGATCTCTTGACTAAAAACATATGAAACTCCTCGTTCATTGTCAGCCCATCCTTGCACATCCTTATCAGGGTCAGACCACAGTAAATCGCAGAGCAACCCAGTGTCTGGCACATCTGTTGGTCTCATGATCCTTCTGATTTGCTCCAAGTTGGATAATTCAGGTGATAATCCACCATGCATGCACAAAATCTTTTCGTCAATTAATGCAGCCACTGGTAGACAATTGAAGCAATCAGTAAAGGTCTTCCATAGTTTTATAGTATATCTCCTCTTGCCTATTATGACAATTGATCTGTTTACATTCGTCATAGAATCCATAAATTCTGTTAATGGATGCACATTCATGATTGCCTCTCAGCAGAAAGAAATTCTCAGGGTATTTTATTTTGTAGGCTAGAAGTAAACAAATCGTTTCCAATGATTACTTCCCTATCAAATAGACCATTTTAATCATACCTCTATCAACATAATCTCCGAGGAATAGATAATTACTCTCAGGAGGGTATCCTCCATACTCAAACAATCTAAGTAAATCAAAATATTAACCATGCACATCACCTACAAACCCATAACATCATAAACTAACCACAGATCTTTAATGGAGCCTCAAGTTCCAATAAAATTGGTTGAGAAATAAAAATGTCTCTAGCTTTTATACACAATCCTCTGACTTCTGCCTCCGTTAAGTTGACATTCTTCCCTGGTTTGCTCCCTCTGACACTCAACAGTCTTTCAATGATACTATCTACATCGATTTCCCCCTTATTATCCTTACTCATATATTATAATTTAAAATTTAAATCAACATAATCAGATGCAATTATAATACTAATCACTTAAGTTAATCATCACCGAATCTATGTTTTAAACACCGGAACCAATTAGCATTCATTATTAACGTATTTACAAATATTTCAACTAAACCCCCAATGACTTCATACCAAAACAGACACCTTCAATCTACTCTTTTTGTTTGAGAATACGATTTCTATCCGAATTGATAATAATGTTAAAGGAGAAAAAGTATTTTTTTGTATAACTGAAGTTCATTCTCAAGCTTTCAGAAAGGGATCGAAATCTATATGGACAAAATGGTTGTTAAAGACATATGAGGAATATGGTTAAGAGGATAGGGAATGTGCCAAGAAATCAATGGACATAAGTGAAAATAATAGAATAATCTATTGATTAAATAAGTTATAGGGAAATGCTTCACATTCTGGAAGTTCATTTTTTAGAAGTAAATCATCTAAGTCATTCCGATTAAGTGCACTTTGATCAATCAATTTTAAAGAATGAGACTTGTCTGTTCAGAAGTTTAATGAATATTTACAATTTGATATGAAATGAAGGAGATAGAGCAGTTTACAATGCAAAGAATTATTTTATCCTATTTATGGTAGATTATGAATCAGTTCTTCAATTAATTAAAATTACGATGATTTATGCGATGAGAAGATGGCACTATATATATATTTGATTGATATTGTGTAATTTAATTAATAAATTATGTATTTGATTTTGTCAGCATTAACAATTTGCTCTTACGCAATCGCTCCTCATGTGTTGACGTAAGGACCATTTACAGAAACTAAAGAGACTTTTCAATTCACATAGCTCTTGGATCACAGTGACCCAGCCAATACTCAGACATGGCAATAGAGATACCATGTGTATTCCTAATATTTTAATCCCACTAAAGGTGGAGTCATCTTATACATTTGTGGAGAATGGAATTGCCAGGGTGTGAGTGACAACTCATTCTCCTTCTAATTGGCTAAGGACCTAGGTGCAATTGTTATTGCATTGGAACACAGATTCTATGGACAATCTCAGCCATTTGGAGCTGATTCATGGAGTTTGGAGAACTTGTCTTATTTAAATGTCCATCAAGCCTTGGATGATCTCGCCTACTTTATATTGTAAATGAAGAGACTTAAGCTTCACAGTATCGATTCTACATTGCCATGGTACATAAGATATCTTTACATAGGTATGCAATTGGAGGCTCATATCCTGGGGCTTTGTCAGCTTGGTTCAGATACAAATACCCTCACTTGACTGTTGGTAATTTGGCCAGTAGCGGAGTCATCAACACAGTCCTTGACTTCTGGGAATTCGATGATCAAATCAGAAAGAGTACAAGCAAGAGTGGTGAACAGTATATATATCTCACTTAACAACAACTAGATGCCCACTCTACTTACAGTTGTTGAATAGTTTCGTCGACAAGAATCTTAAGAACTTCAACACCAAATAAGCATTCAAGGAATCCTATAGATGTGGAAAGATGACCGACAACGAATTCAGATGGTTCTGGGTTGACACCATCGTCTAAATGGTCCAATAGGGAAAGAGATCTAAGTTCTGTCAAACTCTTGAGTCATTGTCATCAGTCGAGAGAATGGCTGAATACATCAGAGAAATTGCTCTATCTCAAGGAGATAGTTACAAGCAATACGGTGCCTACTACTTAAGAAACGAAACCATCGACGAGAATTCTTAACACCGTCAATGGTATTTCCAATGCTGCACTGAGGTCGCCTACTTATAAACACCTCCATAGGTATGTACAATTCAATATTGTAGAATAAAGATTCCTTAAGATCTTATGAAATGACATTGGATTGGTGGAGAGAGTGGTGCAATGATGCATATTCTTAGGGAGAAGTAGTATGGCCAGATGTCAGAGTCACTGAAGCCTATTTCGGAGGTTTGAAATTGAACGTTGATCATTTGATTATGACCAATGGAGGAGAAGACCCTTGGCAAAGAGCCTCATTGCCTTTTGCCAGAAAGGATAATAGCAAAGTCACAACTTATTTAATTGATTGTGATGATTGCTCTCATTGTGTCGATTTGAAAGCTCCAACTGCCAATGACCCAGCTGTTCTGACATAAACCAGATTAGATATCAAGAACAAATTTAAATAATGGCATGCCTAATTTTGGAGTAAAACTCTGATTGAGTGATTAATAAATATTAAAGAAATATATATAGAATCAGTTATTATGGCTTTCGTACCATTCACAAAATTTTAACAATTAATTTGCATTCATTTGTTCAGCATAGAGCTTAATTTTAGGGAATGTAGTGTTATCAATCAATAAGGACAACTGTTTCTCACACAAGGATTTCAAATCTGGTATCAAATAATAATCAGCCAATTACAAAAATTGTCTGTAGAATTCAACTGATTATTAAAATTAATCGCATTGTAACTAGAATAATAATCACACTTACATCTCCAGCGTAAATGAAGTATAACAACTATTCAAAAATTTGGTTCGAACAATCATTGATGTAAACTTTCTACTATTGATTTTTGTATTCCCATTCAAACATCTTTTTAAACATTTCATATCGAGATAGAACTATTTTGTGAGCATACAAATGTTTGTCCTCCACAACAAAAATTATATCACTGTACTTAGGCGAATTGAAAAATGCTCTGAAATACTGGTTTAAAGAGATATTATTAAAATCAGTCACAGAAATATTTGGAGGTGGATCAGTATCAATGATGAAGTAATCCTTGAAATAATAGGATCCACAAGATCCACCGAATATATAAATTAGATTACCTATAGCAGTCATACTATGACCTGCTCTGGCCTTATCAAATTATTCATCATCCTGTAACTCAATAGTGGTCCAGGCATTTTTAATAGGATCATAACATTGCAAATCTCCAAAACAAGTAGTTTATGGTCCACTGCCACCAAACAAATAGATCTTATTCTCAATAGTCGTCATGCACATTCCTGCCCTGGCACTCGGAGATTGGATTGGCTTTAATTCACACCACTTATTGGTTGTCACATCATAACAATGCAAATCATTCAGTCTTTTGGATCCATCCCAACCTCCAAAGATCAACAGTTTATTTTGCCACACTGCAGAACTGTGATTGGCTCTTGGTGGAGGTCTCTAATTCTCTGCTGTCTATACTAATTTCCACATGTTGGTTTTGGTATTGAAACTGTGCAGATCATTCAAATAATCCTTCCCATCTCCTCCTCGGAAGATAAATATCAACTAACCAATCTAATCAGCACTATGCATATTGCATGGACCTGGAACCTTAACTTTATTTTGTAATCATACTTCCCCCATTGTATTTACTAGTGTCCAATTCAAACAATCCAGATCTAATACATATACATCCCTACTGGCATAGATTCCACTTCCCAGCCAACCACCAATCACATACATCTTATTATCTACAACAGTAGCCGTGTGTCCATTCCTACTCTCCGGTATTTTCCCATTGGCTTTACACTTAGTCCAATTCCCATCCTTATAAATATGGATGTCATTGTGATTCTTTTTAGAATCGTATCCTCCAAATATAAATATCTAATTCTTGTAATGCACAGATGTGTGATTTTTTATTGCTGGGCATTGGTTTGTATTATTGCGAATTACCTTCACTGCCTGCCTTTCCGATGAACACCAATTCGGCGATTACCCATTACCATCATTCTAAAACATTTATTATTAATACAATATATATATTATAAACAAAAAAAGTCATTAGTTTATTATTTATTTCCACTCACTTTTTATATCTCCGCTTGACATAACCCCATATTTCCTATTTTCATATTCTCTATACTTTTTGACTCCTCTCTCTTTTAAGTTCTTTAAAAAATGTGCTTTTCTTATCAAAATTTATCGTTCTCCGTTTCTTACCTTATCGATGTTGATTTTGTATAAACTTAGTCTCACCCCTGCTCTCCAATTTAGTAGTTTCTACAGTTCTCTTCTTCTTTATCACTTATCTATATTTACCCATTCCCTTTTATAGCCATTTTCTTCTCTATAGACCATATTATTATCCAATATCTGCGCTTTTGCTTATTCGCATATTCTCTTGTTTCAAATTCAAGTTTATTAAAGAATCCAATTTCTAAAGCCTGTTTAATTTATCTTTCACACAATTCTGGCAATCCAAAATTAGACTACTTAATTAATTTCTTTTTTTTCTTCATCATTTATTAATCATTTGATTAAAAGCATCACATAAAATTATTCTTAAGATCAATCTTTTTTACTAACTTTGGCAAAAAATCACATAAGAAAAAAAGCGAATTAAGTTTTATATTTGCAATGATAAACTAATTTAATTATTGAAATACTTTTAATAATTCTCCTAATAAGTCAAATTTAGTATTAATTTGAATTATTTATTAATTAATTTAATAAACATGAATATTATTGACCTTATCCACTGGCTTTCAAAGGATTAAGATTGGTTTGAGATCATGAATAAAGAGGAAATAATAACTTAAATATTTGAATCCATATCTATCAATCTTCCTCAACTATAAAATATTACTTATGTAAGAAGTTAACTTGGAAGTTAAATTTTTATACACATCGTAACATTGTAATCTATCATATCAATAATCTTGATTTTATGCTCAATATCGTTATATTTCTTGTAATAGAACCTAAATTACGAGTAATTGATAAGATATAAATTGTTTATTATGTAAAGACTGATCTATTTATAAGTAATATAAAATTTGAGATACTTAAAAATTTCAATGGTATTAATTAAATAGGAAATGTAAAAATGAGATAATAAATTATGAGAATAAAATTGCAATTTTATAATTTTGTCATAGTCTTTTTCTTCCGCAAGAGCCACAGTACTTATGATTATTAGCGAGTTTGCTTCCACAATTAGTACAGAATACACTTCTCTGAAATTTATTGCCACTGCTCATTCGAAAGCATAGTTAAATATGCTTATCAGCTGCCTTTTATTCAAATGTTTTCTGGCAGGAAGGGCACTTAACGATAGGCACGGAGCGAGATAACAAGTTTTCAGGACGCTATTTGATTTTAGGCAAAAAGGTAGGTTGACTTGAGGAGAGTTCCTAGAGTAATGTTTCATCTGCTTCTTCTTCTTCATTTATAGATGCAATGACTTTATATTTGTCTAACGCTTTTGGTCTAGCAAGACATTTTAGAGCATGAATTTGATGATTCCTCAATTTCTTATGGCAATAAGGACAAGGCTGAATAACTGGTTGAGTTAAAGGTAATTGAGTTTTTTGTTTATTAGATTTTTTGAGAAAAGGGTGATCCGCAGTACAACTACGTAAGTGTAGAGCTAACTTTCCTTAAAAGAATTGTCGCTTACAAAATCTACACTATTCCTTTGGTATAGAGTCAACTTGAGCATCCAAAGGTGTGAATGGTCTTTCAATCTATTCATCTAATTGTTCCTTATCAAAGGAATTGTTTAGTGCCTAGATGGTGGATTTTGAAATAGCATCCTCATTAAAGAACTCATTGTCTATGGTATCTGTAGGCAATGATAATTTGTTCATATAATTTATAAATATATAAATATGCTTATAAGGTGTTTAAGCAATCCTTTGTTAAAATTCAGATTTTCCAAAAAAAACTACATATTCTTACAGAATGAGGAATCCATGTAGGTTGACTTAAGCCAATCGCTTGATGTTGAATCTAATATTGTTCCCTTATAATGGTTCTGAATTAGTATTTTATTTTGGCAGAGAAGGCAGTCAGATTGTCAAACTTGATGAAAGGCCATTTTGAAAAGTAAAATACCTACAAAATATTAACTAGGATGAGGAAGGAATACTGTTGAAGCGAAGGTGTAGAATAAGGAAGAGGAGTTGAATGCAGAAGGATGAGATCTTTTAGGAAATTTAAGAAAAGAGGAATTATGATTATCTTCATATTAATGAGAGTGAAATGTTGATGGTCAATTAGTAGATAATTTATCATTAATGATGCTGATTTAGATTTTGAGATGAGAAATAATATAATATGAAATTCAATTTCAAATTTACCCGTTGTTTGATCGGTTTACAATTGTTTACAAATCTTGCTAAAGAGTTCTACATAAGAAGTAGAAATGTATAAAATAAAATTATCATTTCTAAAATTTGCAAAGGCAACTAATGAGAAGTTGTACTTGTTTTGCAAATGGATGAAGAAAAAACGAAAATATTTAGAACTAGTGCCTGCAAAAAGATGTAGTTTTGTATGATGTAGTAAATAAAAATTATTAATATTTGTTTCAAAGGAAAGTAATACCTTATAATAAAATAAATGGTGAATGATATTGAATAATAAATATGATCCTATATTTTTAATGGAAGAGAAATGGAATTAATGATCACACGCAAAGATTTAAATAGCAATATTTTTAGAAATCCAAAATGAAGGCGATATCATTTAAATTAAGAGAGGAGATTGTTAGATTAGATCACCTACAATAGATAAGTAGCCACATTCAAGGTTGAAATGATATTAAAGGAATGCTTCCTCCTAATTGATAATTTGCGTATATTATCTTAGCAATTACCATACTAATAAATAAATCATTCATTTCCTATTGTAGCCAACATCTCAATGATTTCATTGATAGAAACCTCGTTTAACATTTACAATTTAATTTTCTTGCTTTTTATTTCAATAGCATTTTCATAGGGAGTGCTACCCCAACGATCTCTTTCACTAAAGTCGAATTTAGCTTTAAATCTCAAGAATTTTATGATTTTTGAGTTCATGGACATGACAGCCATATGAGCGATGTTACGGTTATCAACATTGACAAACTCATTCAGGTTTTTGATTCCTCCATGAAATATGAGTTCTAGCATTTACAAATCTCCATTCAAGCCAGAACTTAAGATTAAATCCACCATCACATGATGAGGTGCTGAGATGATGCCTCCATTTTACTAGAAGAATAATAGTAATTCCTTATCTCTGCTGATTAACACCTCATACATGGGGGAATATCCTAAGTAATCGATTGGATTTATTTCTGCATGAACTTCTTCAATTAAGTACTTTATGATTTCAATTTATTTATTAGCAGCAGCCAAATGAAGTACAGTTCTCCCATCGAAATCAGGGATATTGAGATTGCCTTCATTCCTTCTTAGATCCTTGATCAACTCTAACTACCCTGTTGTGGCAAGAAAGCATCCCAGATTTGGAATGATGTATTTATTCATGATGTCCATATTCTGACTAATTTACTCATCCCCTGATGTCTTCTGTAGAGTCTCCAATATAGTTTAGATGAAATGCTGCTTTTATCCCTCGAATTTCTCGAATTGTCTAACTGATTCAGTTTCTCCTTACAAATTCTATGGGAATTTTCTAAGGATCTCTTATTAACTATATCCCTTGCCTAATAGGTATGCTATTTTGGCTTGGGCACTTTCTGGAGTGATGTCGTATTAGACAATGATGCCATTAACTACCTTCTTGAAGTTTATGATTGGTTGTCCTTTAGTGCATTGTGATATTTGAATCAATATAATACCCAATTGTTGTTGGGCATACAACAATACATTATACAACTCCTGATTGTGGGGCATTTCTCCAAAGTGATAGCATTCTAATATACAACATCTCAATTTTGGGGTATTCAAAATATGTCGAATGTGTTCAACACTTGTGTATGGTGTGATCTTTATGATAATGATGTCTGTCACAAAGGGAGGGGCTAATTCTAAGGTACTTTCGTCATTGGTGAACATTTGTTCTCCTCTTCTTAACACCAATTACCATTTAATTTCGATATTAATTCCAAATTCTACCAAAGGAGGAAAATTTGGACTCTCAATACAATCTAAGGAATCGCATTTCAATTGTCTACACCTATTGGCCCTGTAGGCTTTGTGATCCATTACTATAACAACTTCTGGGATCAAGAAATGGCCAGCTAAAATTAAGGAATCTAAGATATTTTAAAATGCGTCATTTCTCATGAATGACAGAGGTATTAGAGAACCAGTTATTACTACAGTTTTTTGCAGGTTCTCTAACATGAAGGAGAGGTTAGTGCCAAGATAAGTGATAGTTGCAATCCCACTCAAAATGACGAAGGCACTATATTTTTCATAATTCTCTTTGATGATTTCTGCAATGTGTCTGATATCAACATAAGACTAGATATTAGAAATATCAATACCGTTTGTCTAGAATTGGTTATTTGTTCCAATTCCATAACTTTGTAGACTGTTCTTCTTCCAAATTCAGATATTGGAGTTGTAAGACATCCCTCTTGATTGTGGTACTTTCGAGATATGGTTTATTAAATACTTAAGTGTATTCAAGATCACAGAGAAAGGAAATATTTTTCAATCTTTGTTCTAGTCTTCCTTTTAAGACAGTCATGTGAGATTCACTGACTTCGCCTTCTGCAGCAGTGGCTCCTGATGCATAGATCATTAAGACTTTGCGGTCGTTCAAAACTTATAGGTTTTGTTGAGCTCCTCCTATGTTGGCTAAGGAGGAGTTAGTTGTGTCATGTCTGGATCCTTAACTCTTCAATTTAGGTGTTTCTCCACCCGAACTCATTTCTCAATTAAACTAAAAATAAATGTAAAAAAAACACATACAACGAAAAAGACTACAATATGAAGAAGCCCTCAAAGTGGCAGCCAAAGAAGATGTATAAAGCAATGAGATGTTTAGGTGTCTTTTTTCGGACAATGCACCAAATTCAGAGAGCGATCCACAGAACCTGCACCAATAGATCGTGCAATTCAATTTCTATTCCTCAAAGAAAATGTATTTTATTTGAATACAAGAATGTTGATAGAAAATTAGCCTTGTAATTTGGAAGTAGGAGACTATGCAAGATAGACAGTACACGTTAATACGATGGGCCTGCCAACTTCAGAGTTATGAAAACATCCAAGCAGTTATTAGGTTCAATCAATGGTTGGCAAAATGGAACTGCTGATGTCAGATTCAATTTGGGTTCTGGTTTTACAAATATGCAAGACAGACATGAGAATAGTTTCACATTAAAGTGTCATACTGATTAAAGGGTCATGACTTCGGAGAGGGATAGAATTTCAATGTAAAAATATGAGTTCTCCAAGTTCAATTCTTAGAGATTGACGTAAGAATTATGTAAATTAAAAGCGGAGAACACTTTCAAAAATATACAATATTAGTAAATTGCTGATTTAACCAAACAATCATTATTTCAACCTTTTGAAAAACAATCCACTCCAATTCAATTCTATGAGGATTCAGTGAATGAACATGATCCCAAAACACTTGATGACTCAAGCACTCAAAGAACAAGAGCTGTGACTAATTTTCATGAGAAGAAATAAGCATTGATCAGTCAAAAGACAATCTCCGAACATAGGATTGGTCAAAACAAACAAGCCTATCTCAAACTCTTTAAACAACTCAAATCAGACACCCAATTGATTAAACGCAAGCTAAATGCAAAGAAAAGCTTGTAAAATGAAAGCAAGTCCAGAAGAATCTCTCAACTCTCCTTCTTCTTCAATCTTACTAATAAACAACGATTAAATTCCAACACCTCTATCAGCAATTCACAATGGAACTACAATTAGCAATAAAGTTGTAGACAGGAAGAGACCTTTGAGCAAAAACTAGAAAATTTTGTCAAACAAAGGATGCTTCTTCAAAACAAACAAGCTCAATGCTCCACCGTTGATTATTCTAATTTACATCAGAAATTAAATGTATTCAGTTTTAACATATATTAGCAATATGAATAAATTAAACAGCAGGAATTTAAAAGAATTTAAAAAGTGCGATTGATTTCTTAGAGATGAATTATATATCATTAATTAACTTTGAATTTGATAGGCAATAGTTTAGGCGATGGTTCTGTATTCGATTCATTTAAGGATGGTTAGGTGGGATGTCTGTAATTCGATTATTTACGAAGAACTGAATATTCATTTTATCGTGACTTTATTATATCGTCTTAAAGCATACTTGATTACTAGGCTCTTTTCGAACTTCCAACGATTGTCCCTCTATCCTACGTAATTTCTATCTCAATCGTGACACTTCCATCTCCTTTGTAGAATTCGTGATTTGACAAGCCCTCACCATATCTCTCAACAGCGCATTCTCCTATAATAACTTCTAGTTATCATTCTTCATCTTGAAGTACTACTAAAACTGCACATTGGACACAATCTCCTAAGTCCTTCTAATTTCATCCTAAAGAACTGCAATCTATCAAACGTGAGCATCCTTACCTCTTTCTAATGATCAGACCGAATTTATTTCAGTGCGCGCTCGTGGTTCTATCTCGCTTGCTCAATTTGCAATTTGAGCGAATCAATTTGCCCTTGCATTTCTTAACGAGTAACACTTCTGAGGTACATTCTTTTGTTTAAATACTTATTAATATCATCACAATCATCATCATCCAAATCAAGAAATTGAGCAAACTCTCTATTAAACCATTCATCTCTAACTGATGCCGCATACACAATGGAAAAAGAGACTTTGTAATACTATTTAAAACTCTTGTTTATTTCGGTTCTTTTATCCATACGTTATGAATCTTGACACTCATCTAATCACTTCGTAATTTAAATTTCAGCTACAATAACTTTCTTATCAATAATCTAGCATTTATTAACGATATTTGTCATCCTATCTTAAATACTTTCTATTCAATTTTTCTTAAGTTTGACATCTCTAGCTACAATGTATATCTCATTTTTTAAAATAAATTCTATGTATCCAATATGATTCCAATTCTAATTGTATTTATCCTTGCGTCATGGATAATAATAATGATCATTCTTTTTAGATTTAGTTTTCAATAATGAGAATTTGATTGATTTTGATTAACTATTTGGTTTTATAGGATAGTTTTAATTAATATTCTCATCTGATTTGATTGTTTACAACATTATATTTGTTAAAAATGCAAAGGTAAGTGTTACCATGCAAGTACTAGTTAATAGTAATCCTTTTTTGTGATTCATATTAAGATAAAGGAAAATAGTGTCTTGTTTAGAAGTCTTTACTTCATATATATAGAGAAAAAAACATGAAAAACTGTTGGAATTGAATTCGATATTAATAAAGAATATCAATCTCTCTGATTAGATATCATTTCATATGCATGTTAAGAGACATTCCAGTCTCTTTGAAATTCCAAATAAATTGTCCTTTTAGTTTTAGAAAAGTTTAATAAAATGGATCTATTATTATTATTAGTCAATAGAGTTATAGAATTCTTTTTGTTGAGTAGTTTATATATAAACATAGAATTGTAATATCAACTCTTAGGCATGAAGTTTTTATAAAAATTGATCAATTTTTGCTTTTAAATGATTGCTGTTGATTCTGGAGTTTCTGCTATGTAGACTGCTGGTCTTCCTCCAAATACACTATTGGCAGGCACAACAGTATCAGGTGGCAATATGGAATCGTCAAGAATGATCGAATTTTCTCCAATTACGCATCTGTGAGACTACAAAAATATTCATTGCAACTTACAATGTAACAATTTTTCCCAATTGATGTGCATGTACCAATCTTTGTTGCTTATATTATTGAACTTGACTCAATTTCAACATAATCACTTATCATCAAAGGAAGAAATTTAATAACTTTTTTAGTAGGTGATTCTTTTGTGTAACCGTATGTGTAAGACGGTTTAAGAGTGACTTTTTCATGGACGACCAAATATTTGCCTATTGATACTTTGGCAAGATCTCCTCTCAAAATGACATCATTGAAAAATATGCATCTTCCACTTACATTAATCTGTTCAGTTCCCTTGATAATTGATTTTTTAGATATTTTAATGCCAGATGATGTTTCGTGAAACTCAGACTTATCATATTGGATAATTGCATCCATTATGAGTATATATAAATTATTATAAAAAATTGAATACCTATTCACAAAGTCAACCCTGATATGAAAACATGTCTTCATCAATTAATGATTAATATCTGAGAGTAGATTATCTTCAAATAAAGAGAGGAGTATATACTCGACAAGTGAGAATTATGAAATTTTCAATTTAATCTATCTGATTTCTACATCCAAGGGAAATAAGTTTACTTTTATTAAACAACAGAATAACAATAAAATACTATCCGATTGAGATTGGTATTTTACAAATTAAATGGAATACTAAGTCTCCTACTGAAACCTTATCCATTTCCAACTGTATAATTTAATCATTCAATTTCCTATGGATGTATTAAATTCTAATAGTAAATTAAATCAAAAATGTAAATGAGTGTATATTATTACACTAAAATAGACATGGTGTAAAATTTAGAATAATAAATATTATTACTAGGTACATATTTTATTTATTGTTCACTAAATTATTGCGCAATTGGTGACTTAATGCAAACCAATAAATGTGAGAATAATTTAATTTAATTAATTCATAATATGGATTTCGATCTAGGGTTTTTTAATTATATTTAATAATGCTTTTGTTTCTCTCATTCTATATTGTCTCTTCTATGTACCCTATTTCATATAAAGACGGGCAGCCACATTTGAGTTTAGACTCAGACCTTAAAGTTCAACTAAAATTAGATGAGGATTTGTCTGAATTTTTGCATAGACATTCATAGAATGATCGATGTCCAGAATATGAATATAATGAGTGTTATGCTGAAGTCTATCAAAATGGAGAAAGAAAAAAAGTTAAACTGGAGAAAGAGATCTTCTATATTTATGATATTCAATCTGATGAAGACAACTCTCAGACAATCATTTACTCTGATTAATCATTATAAGAAACTAAGATTCAGGAGAGTTTCCTTGCTCTGGCCCCATTTTAGAATCATCAAAACACCTTTTATTCGAACGGATTTAGTTTGTGTCTCTCAGAAACCGAAGGATATATTATTACAGATTTTAATTCAATATCTCAGAATACTGAGTAATTAAATAGCGAAGGAGTATTCAATAAGTTAAAAGAAGAAAAGTATGTAACGTATAGTCTACATCTTCAATATATGGAGATTGCTTTCAAGGTTTATGATACTACATCTTATTCAATCTACATAGTGTCTGATGATTTGATTTCAATTCCCAAAGAAATATTTCCCCAAAAGTATTTTTATTCCAGAGGTTTTGTCTTTGATTCAACTGGTTTCTATTATCGAGATCATAGAGATCATTCGGATGATGATTTGGAGCCTCTATTGTTTTATAATAATGCCAATCAAGACAATCCGTTGATAGTAGATCCTGCTAACTATGTCTTCCATGATGAAGAGAGTGGATAAGACATACTAAAGATCTACTCAGAAGAACAATATGGGAATGCTATCATATTAGGATTGCCATTCTTGAAGAACAAGAAGTTTAATGTTCAAACTTAAGAAAATTATGTATATATCGAGTAACTCAGAAACGGTCTATGTATTCAGGATGAAAGTCAATCCATTGGAGTTTGGGAAATAATATTTATAGTACTCCAACTGATTTTACTACCATTCTTAGTATATTTTACGTTCAAAAAGTTAAGATAACATGAGCAATAGAAGCAATAGCAAAGATAAACTTAATAATTCATAACTGAATTACAATGATAATAAATTTATTTTTATTAATCTATAAAGTAATTTAGTCATAAAATATTATTTTCTTCAATTTAATGAGTTTTCAATATAGATACCAAACATATAGATAATGAATTCATTTAGGTTATTTAAATAACAAGCCATGGAGAGAATCGAAATCTTGAGCTTCTAATTACAGGAGAGCTGTTTTGGTAGAGTCAAAAATAAAACCTGGTTTGGTACACTTAATCTCTGCAGTTAAAGGCACTCGTGTCTTTTGTACAATTTATGAGGAATCACATAAAAATTTGCCTTTAAACTCATTGGTTTCTTTAAGGTAAATAAGAACATTGTTATCAATTGTAGCTATAATTTGGCAGGGCTTCCATGTTTTCAAAACATTTCCACAATCTATTTACGCATTTTTGATTCTTAACTTCACTAAGGAATGGTTTTCTTGCACACTTCCCAATTTAATGTAGGCATCAGGATAATTGCAGAGGAAATCTTACAGTTATGGAAGTGTCAACAACTATTTTCCAAGCATTTTCTACACTATCCTCGCAACATCTTGGCTTAAGAAATTCGATACTTCAAATGATTGAACTACTTGTTCAGGTTCTAATTAATTAATTAGCTAGACTATATAAAAATGAAAATGCTACTCCATAAATCAGTTCCTCTTATGCTGAAATCTACTATTGTTTGCTTTGACTCAATTGCACATGTTTATCAAGGTACATTCTTAATGAAGTGACGACAATTTGATATCTATGGACTTCTTGTTTTTTTACTTCATCAAATAGTCTCGTGACTGCTTGTCCCATAGTCTTCTGTAATTTGGCCATCTCAAGGAAGGAGTCGATCAATTTACGTTCAGTATGATAGAGATCCTTTCCTTTGTTCTCTCCTTGCATTTGTCTCTGATATAACCCTTAATGTTTTCTGCGGTACTTGGTGAGTTTTGAGGAACTGGAAGCAAAGTTGCTAAAGGCTTTTCGATACTGATCCCTATGGATTGAGATTCCAGTTTCAAACATCTCTATATTGAAATCCAGCTTCTCTTTGATAAATTTGTCAATTCCATCTAGGAGATTGAGGATTTTGATGGCATTACCTTGATCATAATTACAAATTTCTTTGATAGTTTCATCTAATTTAGGATAGTACAAAGTTTATCCATCTTGAAATAGTTTATTGATATCCTTGTTCTTAGTTCTTAAGTACTCTACGTTTTATTTTTCATGTTACACAAAAGTCTTAATGAAATGAATGAGATTTTGAATGCTTCTATTTGAAATTGCAATTCTCTTATCTAAAATGCGATAAACATCCTTAATAATTTGTCTGTGTTGCTGCATGTCAATTCCAACTTGTTCCATCCAGGCTTGTAATTGATTATACGATTGATGCCTATGGAACTTGACTGAAGTGGGGTCATCCTGATGATTTGTTGGTCTTTGAGCAGCCGATTGTCGGATAGATTCTCTTAGGCGATCTTCCACCAGTTGTTCTGGATTATAACTAGGCATATTGGCAAACTTGAATGAATTGATCCTCTGCCTAAACGTATTCCGATTTGACCACTTCCTCTTAGAAATCACTTTGCATATTAAATATTTTTAAAATTAACTCAATCAGATATCATTGCTTTAACTTTTCCAACTCTGTCAATTTACTTTCGATCCTTTTCAAGATGGAATCTAAATGATCAACTGATGATTCCATCCCTTCGATTGAATTCTGTATCTAATTGATTTTCTGAATATTCTCATCCAATTTATTTTCTACAGTCTTGATAGAAGATTGGATAACTTACAAATGCTTTTGGTTTCTTCGAATTCCGATCGGATTTAATTGATTTTGTCCAAGTTTTTTTAGTAATGCACAATAGTCACCTCGTTCAATTTTTAAATGGTCGAAGTTTTCAATTAAATAACTTTAGACAATAGGACATAGACATACTCTTTTGTTAATTGTCCACATAATTCACAATGGATGAAGCATATTAATCAATGACATCAACTTGCTCTTTGCCAATCATAGATTATATTAAATTTTAATATAATATCAAATTTCTTTCTTCGAATTTCTGAATTGTTTGATACTGTTTTCAATCTGGGTCTGACAAGCCTTGTGAATTTGGGGCTTGTAACCCAAAAAGAACAATACTTCCAAGAACACGAAGTCTGGGGCCACAAAGATCTACAGAATGTTGTCCAAAAGAGCAGGTGCACGTTCTAGGAAAATTAGAAAATAGTGGGGTAGAATTACTTTCGAAAACTCCATGTCCAATAAACTACAAAATCCAACAAGCGACTTGGAAGGTAGTGGCCAAAAACAAGTGATTACTCCATTGAGCCTCATCGCTATTGGCGAAGCGTTAATTGAGGAATAGCGTGACTGCGATATAAAATGATGAAGCAAGAATCTTTGGTGTATGATATATAAAACTTACTCCACTGACCAGGTCCACAGTCATGTAGACTAGAGCAAGAACGAACAGCATTATTAAACCAAAGTTTAATTGACAACAGCCTGTGTCAATGGTGAATGAGTAATGGTTCGTAATTTAAACAGCTGATAGCAAAATGAGTGGAATACACACCAAATGTATGGCCTTGTTCCTGCATTCTGATATTTATATAAATTTACACTATATTGCTGTGATAACTACCATAGCTGCTGTAGAAGTTGACAATGTCTATTCCCATATTAATAAATTTAATGACTGATAAAGATATCAAAATCAAATCTCTAGAATCAGAACTAGAAAGTAGACAAACCCAGGTTTTGAAGCTAGAAAAATAGGTTGCTGCTCTTGAGACTCGAATCAATCAGAATGCAGATGTATTTCAACAATTTTAAATTCTAGGTCTTAGAATTATAGGAAAAGATCAAAATGCTGGAGACCTAGAATATAAAACTTGTAGAAAAAAACCAGAGTGATGTAGTGGAGTGGAAAACTAAAGAGAGAGAATTTAAGGTAGAAGTTACATCTATAATTAAGCAATTACTCAAGCAACACCAAGATGAGCTTGCTTCTATTAGGAATGAATTGGACCTAGCCAATCAACAGTTGGCCAATCAGCAACCTCAAGATGGGAATGCTCCTGGATTGGAATAAACTATTAGAGATTTATAGTTAGACCGTAATGATTTGAAATAAATCAATGAGAAGTTAATACATAATGAAAATTTACTCAATTTGGAGAAGGAAAAACTAAAGAATCAAGTAACAGACTTGGAACAAGATAAGAAATAGATGTAGAACACTCTATAAGATTTAAAAAATAAACACAATAAGGAATTAGAAACTTTGAGAGAACAAATTCACCAATATCAGAATGAAATATTCCAGAGGGAGAAGATGCATGAGGAATAAATGAGAAATCTAGCGAGATTGGAATAGCAAATGGAAAACAAGGCAAAAAACAATGAGGAGGAAATTGATCAAGTCAAAAGAAAAAAGGATTAATTGCAATGTGAAAATGACAGTCTCAAAAAAGTGAATGAAAAATAAATACAAGAAATGCAGTATTTGGATCAATAAATTAATTGCTACGCTAAACAAGTCTCTGAAAAAGATAAATAGTTTTAAGAGTTACAAAATAAAGTAGACGAAGAGCATACCAAAGTGGTTAATTTGCAAAAGAATAATGGAGTGCTTTAAGACAAATTGAAGGATTTAGAGTTGACTTACGAGGTACAACTAAAAGATAAGGAGGCATAGATTCAAAAGGGAAAGAAATAATACGAAGACAGGATTTCATAAATTTAGAAGTATTTCATTTCCAAATTATTTCATAGAGAAAATGCTACCATTTTAGAGTAATTACAGTTGGTAAATGATTAGAATAGAGAGTTATTGGCAAAGCAAAAAGAATAGGAAATTCTATATAAAGAGAGTTCAAGTAAGCAGCTTGAGAAAGATAAGAAATTGGTGGATGCATTTGAGAGGATGAGAAAATTGGATTAAGAAGTATAGAGTGCTCTTTTCTGTAGGTAAAAGCCTTGATGAAATAAAATCAATAGTTCAGGGAATAGGTACTAATCCTTGAGGGAGATCTCAGCAAAAGTAAAGAGTAAGTGAGGATGCTCTAAAGAGATAAGTCTGAATTGAAGTAGTAGTTAGATTTTTTGATTTCCCAATAGAATAAAAAAGGCAGATTGAGTGAAATTGACTTGTTGAAGAAGTAGGTCTAAGAATTGCAAACAGAATTAACATTATTGAGGGAATCGCACAAAGCAGCTTAGAGTTCATTGAAATCTACAATGGAATCAACAGGTTACTTAAAGGGGAGATTGAAAAAGTTAGATATTGAGAATCAAGCATTACTGGATTCCAAATCCAGGTTGGAGACATTGTTTTAAGAGTTGTTGGAATCGACGAAATCGAAAAGGATGCAAAGGAATTAATCTGAAGTGTAGCTGAATGGATATAAGGGGAAAATGATAACAGAGAGTAGTTCAACTTATTTAGAACCAATGACGGAGAGATTGACAGCTAAGACTAATAATAATAAGTAGTAGAAGAATGGAGATATTCGTTCCATTTTTAAACGACCAATCTAAGTTGTCAGGATTAGATCATCAGGATAGTAGAAGGAAATACAGGGTAAACAAGAGAACAAAAGTAATAAGGTGGAGTAGGAGTAGTTTGTAGATCAAGTGAAGAAGGAGGAGTCTGAAATTTTAGAGGAGGAGTCCTAAATGAATCAAGGGGAGAATAAATAGAATGATGATGAATTTGAATAGATTGACTCTTCCTTTCTTTAATCTGATTCATGAGATGATGAATTGTTATGATTATATATATATATATTATAAATTATAATAATTATAATTGATATCGAATTCATCACACATTTAAATTATCAATTTCCATAATTCTCCATTCATATTGTTTACCTATAAAATGGTTTCGGAGGTATTTCATTCTCTTCTTTGAATTCAACAACAAGACCTTAATTAAATCTGGATTTGACTTGGCAGCCTGTGTTAGTTTCAATTCAAACATCACCTAGGAGGTTTAGATTCATGAATACTCTGTGATAAATGGATTCGAAATGGGCCTCGGGAGTTGGATGTAGCATGAACTAGGATAGTATGTAGCATTCAACTCGAAATGTAACACTAAATATAATTTGTATATACTTTTAAATTTCGGATCGTTCACTATCATTGCCATAGATATCTAAATTCACACAGTCGAAAACCGACATCTTTACGCACTATTATGATGTGTCACCAATTGATAATCTATTAATATTTAAAATAAGTGATACGTTAAATCAGAGTAGACAATATCTTTAGTTCCATTCTGGAGGTTCAATAATTGAAAATTATATTTCTCTAGAGATCTTTCTAGATTTGCATTAGCTATAGTTGAAATGAACTTGTAATCTTTCTCACTGAGTGCCTAAATGAAGTTTCTAAACAATTTAAATGAACAATTACTCATAAGCCATATGAAATCCTTCATCGATTCTGTTGTCCCAAATTTCAGAGAGTAAAGATCGCAATCTATAACTTCTGGAAGTGTCGATGTCATCGTATTTATACCCTGTAAAAGGGAGGGCAGCATGTAATGCAACTGTCGAGAACTTCCCTGCTATTGATTTGAGTAGAGTATTCATGCATATATATAATAATAACTATTTTTATTTATTATCTCCACACTTATTAATTCCAAGCTATTTATATCCTTAATCTTGCCAAAACGAATCACACACACATAAGTACATCAAAATATCTTTGATTTAAAATTAAGTAAGACCTTCACTATCACATAGATGTCTCTTGGAATTTCAAGCATGTGAGAAGGATATCATAATTTTGTGTTGAAATATAAATTGAAATCCTGATTCTTCAATAGAAAACAGAAAATATCAAAAAATTTATATTGCCAAACATTTAATTAAATATAAATTAATGAAAATTTTATTAATTAATCAAAATAAATAATTATTATATTAATCATAGTATTCAGTCTGATTTCATTTTAGTATTAAGAGTTCCTATATACATATTTTCTGTTGTAATCTGGCTTTTTTTAACTAAGTAATCTGCTATGTTTAAAGATTAATATCTTACCTTCTTCTTCATGTTCTTCACTGGCTCTTCTGGATGTTTTTCGTTTCTCTATTATTCTATCACTCTTTGATTTCTATGTTATTTGTTGATTCTGCATCTGCTTCTTCTTTATTATATTTTTGAAGCTGTTGAATTGCTTCTTCTATTTAATGGACTACTGAGTTATCAATCGCTTCTCTCCCAAATGCTGATATCTTCGTAACAATAAGAATTCATTGATATCAAACCATTTCACAACTGGAGGTCTCGACACTAGGGCCCAATAGGCATTGCAGAGACCCTTGATAATATTGCGTATCATTCCAATGACTTGAAATATTATTGTGACTGTGATTACTGTTTAGTAGCCCATTTTCAAAAACATCAGTTAGTAGTTATTAAAGAAGAATAGATATATGAAGAAGGTGGGTAACTCAATTACAAATAATTAAGTCAGCTAATAAATCTGTTTCAAATTAAATAGACTATTTCTTATTTTAATTCCCGATTGTGGACAGAAATTGCTGATCACATTCTCGACGAGAATATTGGTATCATAGATATTCTTGATCCACATATTTGACAAGAGAAATGAAGCATCCTTATTTGGATGTTTAAAAAATTGGATAGTGCATTTCACATCCTGATAACAAAAAATGGTGAATTTAACGCATATCATTACAGTCATCATGTAAGCAGTTGCTAAGAAATTAGTTTTAATTTATTAGAAGGAATTGTCTTCATATTTCTCAATGTAACTTGACATGTTGTAACTGGATGATATGATTAGAGTGTCGAAAATGTACTTGCATTACAGTAGTATCTAGAGCATCAATAGTAGCAACTCTTTTTTTATTGGGAATTTCCTTTTTAATTCCTTCTTTTATTCGTAAGTCAAAATGTAGAAGTCTGGCTCTGAATTAATCCTTAGCTTGATTGCTATAATCATGTTAGTTACACTGCACATCACAATTACGAGAATATCCACTATGAACAAAGTCAAAGTGAGAATTTACACGTCGTTAATAAAGCAATATTGATTTCGACAATTTCTATGGTCTTACAAGTCCTCTAAAGACAAAGGAGTCTACAACATGAATGCTGTAAGAAGTGCCAAAATTATAAATACTGGCTCTACCAAACAACCCAATATGTAGTAAATTTTCATGCTGTTCATTTTTCTCCTCAGGTGTTTCTATAGTTAACTACTCATCCTGAATTCTGTTAGAGATCCCTAAAACAGATATAACAGTTTGTTTATTATGTGAATTATGAATTTCCCAATGAACCCCCATTTTATGGTTTCGATATTTTGATCATTGATGCCATAACTGCTTTACATGATGGTGTAATTTTGAAATCGAAATTTCTATTTCAGCAGATGGAACCTAATCAATCCGTCATCGAACATAGTCAGGGTTTGTTGTTCGACTTCATCAAACTTAACTTGAAGCAAATTGTAATTGACTTGATTGTTTATCATATTAATATACATGTGCATCTTTCCCATGCTTGTACAGAACCTTGTATTGCTTGAGAAATCTATGTATTACAAATAGGGCAATTGAAAATAGTTGTAACCAAACCAAATTAAAAAGTCATCTGAGAAATCAGTCTCCTTTATAATCAATTATTGTATGTAGTTATGCTAACCATATTTTAGGTTGTACAATTAAGTGAACTGAATGTAAGACTAAATTACTAAGTAAGCCAATTAGTCATTAATGTTCAGCCAATGGTTAAAGATATAGAGTTTGGGATTTTGGGATAAGAGTTTTATAAATCCTTTGCAACCCTTGCCATAACAGAAATTACCATCAAGAGACAACAGTTCTAGAGAATCGATTCTCATATTTAGTTCCTTGTATTCGAGTTAGCAAAAGTATTCTTCATTGATTTTGTTTTTTGACAAATTTAAGGCTTTGAGTTTGGAATTTCCCTCTAAGATAGGGTCAAACAGGTCTTTAAATCCAACAAAGGTGATTTGGTTTTGACTAAGATGCAACTCCTTCAAATTGGTTACGATTAATTTGCTTAAAGCTTTACAATGATGATCGTTGAGATGACACTATTCCAAATTAAGGAAGAAGAGATTTTAGAAGATATTATTAGGTTAGCAACACTGGACTAATTTAACGATACTTCTATTTTTTTACTTATTTTTGGAGATGTCAAGATAGAATAAATTGGGTAGACTCTAACTGTTAACAAGATTATTGGGGATCTCATCAATCATCAATTAACAACATAGTTTTTGTAATAACGAAGGATTTTGGCTGAAGTTTTTTTTAAATCTTAGGAAGCTTAGTTTTGTGAGATTGCATTCACTGATATCTAGTTGAATCAATGAGGTATTCAAAGGTAGAGTGTCTATGAATATCTGCATTACTTCATCATCTAATTAGCATTTCGATAGATTAAGATTCTTGAGAGTTTAAGTAATTTGAATCCCCTATGAAAGTAGTTCAATACCTTGTTTGGGGATGATGCATTTGTGTTCATAATCGTTGCTTTGATTGCTACTAAGATCCAGTTCTTCCAAGTTCTTAGAATGCGATAATAGTTGATAGAGGAATTCAAAAAATTCAACAGAGAGAGTTGACTTTCGAATCGATAAGGTTTTCAATTTCTTAAACGATCGAAACAATTCTTTCAAGGAATCAATCACTTCTTTGTTATCGAAATATTAATTGTCCATTATTAGTGCCTTCAGAGAATGCATCTATTTTAATTGCTCTAACAATTTCTTCAATTGATAATTTTTTAATAAAGTGTTTGATATTTCTATGATTCTCATCCATTTTTGATTTTAAACCAATATCTAAAAGAGATTTTCAAAAATATCTCTTCTCAACTTCAATCTGTTTATGGACAGAGACTCAACCTTATTATTGTCTCCATACACCAGCACATTATTCAAATAATCAATGGACTGATTGCCAAACAATTCCAATTTTCTAATTGAGTAAGATTCGCGTATGATTTCACTGATGCTAACAAGGTCATCTGCTGTTAATTTTAATTAGCTCAAATTCATCTAGGGGAATTACTTATACTATCTTAATAGTATTTTTTTCATATTCTAAAAAGTGGCACTATGAATAGAATTCAATGATAAATCAATGTATTGCAAACTTGGATTCTTGAAAATTTCAGGCAATTTAATTATTACCTCATAATCTTCTTCAATCTGATTATTGCTTATGTTCAAATAGCGTAAAGAACCACAGTTTTTTAATCCATTTACCAAAAACACAATTTTAGATTTTAACTTGTTATTTGATAAATCAAGGGAGAGCAACGTAAAATTATTAGCAAAGCAGCCTTCCAATTGCTTCAACTCATTTTCATTTAAATAATGCAAATTGTTATTCGCTAAACACAAAGTTTAAAGTGTATAGGTCTTTGATAATAGATTATAAATGCATTCTAATACTTGGTTATTTTGTTACTATGAGTTTTTTTGATCTGTTTGATCTATGAAAATTGGTTCATCGAAAATCAAAAATTTAGCCTCACTTGATTTCTTCAAATCTATTGTCAAAGTGTCTGATTTCCTCACATGAGCATCATATGGTTTCTTTATATCTAATGTTTAGGTATCTGATTTCTTAAATAGAGATTCTCTTTCTGGTTTCTTAATCAATTGACAATTGTTTAGATTTAAGTATTCTAGACGATTATACTGTTTAGATAGACTTTTAAGAATGGGCATGATTATCTATGGATTACAGGAAAAATCAATTTCTCTAAGATTAGCACATTTAATTTCAAATAATTCGTTTTTGCCACTATGAATTTCATTTTCATCTTGTCTCAATTATGATAGCACCAAAGTTTTTAATTTACATTCTTTCATCATAGATATCAAAGCATAGACCAAATCATACCTTAAGTAATTATGAGATAGATCTAAGTATTAAAGATTCAATTGTTCGTGATTAAAGATATAAACAAGGATTCCTTCGCCATTAATTTTATTATTTGCTACCGATAGATTGGTTAAAGATTTATTCTCAATTAAGGCGTAGATTAGAGAAATGAAGCCTCTTGTTTTAATGCAATTATTGTTAATGTTGAGATCCACCCATTGAACCTTCTTATAGGATAGTACTTAAGAAATTTAATAGGCTCCTTGAGTATTGATCTGATTGTTTGATAAATTAATTGATAATACGTTCAAAAAGAAGTTATTGGGGATTTCTTCAAAAATGTTGCTTGATAGATCCACCCTCAATAATTACTTATTGAGGACTTATTAGTTCTAAAATTCTTAGATCTTATTTCTTGATAAATTCAATTCTTCAATGTTTAATTTTAGGAGGATCTGTTCCAAATGAACCACTCCATCCTAACTGATGTGGTTGCCGGATAAATTGATGGATTTAATATTAATAGAGGTTATTACTGATAAATAGAGAGATTTATTAAGTAATTCAAGCCCATGATTCTTTATCTAGCAAAATGATAGATCAAGATAGTCTAAGAATCTTTTACCTGTGTAATGTAGCATCGCTGAGGAAAGTGCTAGCAGTGACTCGGAACTCAAGCTCATTAAGCCCATCTTTAATCTCTTAAGTGATTTGAGATTTTTCAAATTTGGTAGTATCATAGATAATTAAGCATTTTCGATGTTGCAATGACTTATATTGATTTCAATCAAAGGATTCTTGCCTTTAAGAACATACTTAATGAAGTCTTGTACAACAGTTGGAGTAAAGGATTGATTATTAAATAAATTCAATTGAGCCAATCCGGTATGATCGATCATCTACGGTGTTGATCAATAGATTATTACCGCTTTAAAGATGCAGCTTAGTGAGAATGAATTCAACTTGCAACTTGCTAATTGCAATACTTCAATATTAGTATTCTTCTATACTAGATTGGCCAACTCAATTGCAAAGTATACGTTGATGTTGCAACCTGAGAGATTGACTTCACTAAGTTATATACTTGTAGTACATTATGCGATTATTACATGATAAAGATTGACATAATTCGCTAAAGCAGGCCAAAGCGCCTTAGTTGACTGTAAAATATGATTGCTCATTAATTTTTTGTTTGCCAAGAAATCTTTTAACGAAGCGATGCTTTATAAGTATCCTCAGGAACTTGATTTTGACACTGTCAATATTTTACATAAATTTATATTAATTTATTTAATCAAAAGTGTTTTAATTAGATATTCTTCATGGACTTATTTTGAATGGCACCCATTGGCATTTGGATGCTCTCTGGAATGTAATCCACATCATTTTCATTGAAACTCTCTCTCTGAATCACGATGCTTCGATCGCTCCTGGTTTTAATGAAGGCTCCCATCTTGAAATCAACGCTGCTCTTCTTACTAATTAATTGTGAAGAAGATATCCTTAACTTCTTGATAGAGATTTTGGGATACTTTTACACAATCTAAAGTGAATTGCCCATCTTCTGATACCTTCTTATCAGCAATGCTTCATTCAGATCAGACACTTTCAATTAAGGAGGCCTCGAAATAAGAGCACAATAGAAATGCTTGACTATTTTAATGGAGGACTTGCATAGAAAAATCAAAATAATTATGTCAGTAGTAGTGTACAACTCTTCAAATTTAAATATCAGAAAGAATTGTCTCCTGAGTTTGGTAAGTACCGCTATGCAAATCAACAGCCCCAAATCCAAAAGGCCTTGGATAGGTTCAAAAAGCTGTTTGTAATTCCACAATTTCCCCTTGATGTATATGCCATTTTGAGGACAGTAATTCTTGAGAACACTCTCAATATTTAGCATATGATCCGCCTACACTTTGATGAAGCAAGCCTGAAACAATTTTGCTTGATCTGCCACAGGAGCATAGAGGAAGATCAATAAAGATTTTATTGTGATGTATAACTAGAAGACAGCCTTGAATAAGATGAGTGAAATGATAAAACTGAGCATCAAAATTAGGTCGAATTTCAGAGCTCCGAAATCTCTTGATGGATTTGTGTTGATGGATGAGAGCATTTCAAAAATAGTCCCTATTATTTTGCATTCTAACAAATAATTGTATGATATGATGAGTTGCAGGACATATAACCAGACTTCAGATTTGTGAGCCAATTTAAAGTGCTGATATCGAATCATATCAGAAGTCTGGATGCAGTAATCAGGAGTGGCATGCAATCGGATTTAAATTGAAAACCAAAGGCCAAAGCAAGATTGAAACAAGACCAACACTATTATGATGATGGCTTCTCCGTAGAATGCAGCACCTACATCGTTTCCAAAACAATGAGTCAAGCTTCTACACTCCTGGAGAACTACATCCAATTGGCTAGGCATCAAAATGGCACCTATTCCCAAAGAGATCTTTATGATTTCAGTTATGGTGCCTGCTATCATGCTGATTCGTATTCTTGTCAATTGTTTGCGTGTGTAGCTGTGCAATGAACTGCTAAATCTGAAATCGTAACTTTGGGTCTAGATCAAGTTGAGGGTTGTGTTGATGATATGAACAATCCATTTGCCTATTTTACCCCATCTCACTTACTCTATGTCATTTACTATCACTCCCATCTTTTGCAATGAGATGTGATTCTTATTTTGTAAGAAATCCTTTAAATTTTGCAGCCAATACTTAAACAATCCATCGTCAAAATGATTAGGTCTATTAGATAATAATGCTCTTACTCGTTGTCTTAGTTCTGATCGAAACAAACCTCAATCAGATTGTAATTCACAAAATTCTCATTAACTATGTCTATATACATATGCATCTTGCTCAAACTCGTCATCTATTCAGAACTCCCTCTAAAATCTATATACTCCAAATAAGGTAATCGAAAGAATTGGGATCCAAACCAAATATAAAATTGATCACTCAACTTAGTGTCCCTAATGATAAGAGACGTCAAATATTTTGGTATTCCTTTGGAGATATTATAATCATTAACAAATATCACATACTGTTCAACTATTTGTTTGGCAAAGCCTTCAGTCACATTGATCCAATTATTATAAATATACAACTTAGGATTCTTCTATAATAACGGAATCAGACCTGAATTCCTGAATCCCTGAAACAAATTCCCGTCCATTATCAATATTCTGAAATGCTTCAGAGGAATAATCTAAGCCGATGTCAACTCATTGAAATATTGATCCTTGATAAAGTTTCTTAAATTTATAAAACTTCTTTTACTTCGAAACATTTAATTGCTGTAAAAAACTACTGTTCCTTAGAATGGGATCGAAAATAGTCTTAAATCCTCTACTGGTCACTCTATTGCCAATCAAAGAAACCTCCTGAATTATCGCATTATCCTCTATCAAATTAGCCAAGATCTTGCATTAATCATCCATAATCCCACAATTATTCACACTCAACACCTGCACATTCTAAAGAATCTTGGTCTATATGAATCCATCCAATATCTAAATGAAATTCTCATTTTATTTATAATTCATTGAAATGTCGATGTTGTTTAAATTATGAAAGAGATTACTGAATTTATTGGTAGAGGGAACCTATTCGATGTCCCAATAAGTTTAAATATTCTATATCTTTAGGTTTTGCACTGAGCATCTCTGTCCTCCCAATATTTACTCCATCTATTGCAGAAACCCCAAAGTAATCTCATTCTGAGAGACGTCCACGTTCTTAATTTGAGAAAGAGAATGCAGACAGGGCACTAATGATAAGCAGGATTCATCTGTAAGCTTGCAATTTCGAAAATTCAAAGCTAATTACTATATCATATATACTTGTCACACTTTTATTGACGAACAATCCATCACACAAGATCTGAAAGTCATTCGCATTCAGCACATTACCACTTAAGTCTAGTTCTAGTAACTTTTGAGATTTTCGCAGCAGTTCAGAAACGAAAACGTAGAATGGCATACTCAATGTGGATTTTCTGACACTGAAGTGTTTTAGGTTGCGGAAACAATGCAAACAAGAGTAGAGGGCTTCAAGTACTTGTTCGTCATTTTCTTTGAATGATTGATAGTCCAATATTATGACAACCAAATTTTTGATCAACCTTATTGAGGACAACAATTATATGAGTTGTTCTTGGAATAGCAAAGTATTGGAGATTTCCAAGAATCTTATGTGTCTGAAATTCAACTCGATAGTGTAGAGCAAATTCAAGAAGCTGTCCTGTCGAAACAGGATTTTGTTTATTGATAGGGATTCCACCTTGACATTCTCTCCGTATGTCATCACATTGTTCATGTAGTCAAGAGAATCATTATCTGATAATTCTAACTTCTTGATTGATTGACACTCTGAAATAATTTGGGTGATTATGTGTAAGTCATCGGCAGTGAATTGTTGTTTTGATAAGTTCATTTGAGGGAAGGGACGATAATATTTAAAGAGTGTTTCTCTAGTGTGCAATAAGGTTTGACTTCCTATTAAATTCTTAGATATATCTATTGATTAGAGATTTGGATTTAGAAATAATTTTGGGAAATCATGAATTAGGTTTCTTGTTTCATAAATTAAATTATTACTAATATTTAAAGATTTTAAATATCGACAATTAGCCAAACCATATATGAGATTAAGGATTTTAATTTTGAGTTTGTTTGTAGATAAATCCAAATGAGTAAGAGATTGATTACTTGAGAGTCCATCATTAAAGATCTTAAAACTTTATTCATCCAAACTCCCCAAATTATTTCGAGCTAATAATAACGTTTAAAGACTCAGTGTTCTCTTTAAAAAGCAAGACAAGGATTCAATCAAAGCTCTCTTGTTTATTTAGCAACCGTTTAGATTTAGGTACTCGACCCTATTGTATTGCAGAGACAAGGAATTTAGCAGAGATGAGATCATACAACTATTCTCAGAAAGATCAAGCATCCTTAGATTAGTGCATTTGATCTCAAATAGTTCATCTCTCCCACTGCAAATATCATTTTCATCCTATCTCAATTTAGAGAGCACTAAAGTCTTTAGTTAACATTCTTTCATCATTGAAATTAAGGCGTACACTAGATCGTACCTGAGATTATTGCAGGAGAGATCTAAGTGTTACAGATTCAATTATTCGTGATTGAAGACATAGACCAGGATTCCTTCACCACTTATATTGTTGTTGGCAACTGATAGGCTGACCAATCTTTGATTTTCTTTGAGTGCATAGATGAGAGACACAAATCCTTAGGTTGAGATCTCATTGTTATTTAAATTCAATTCCATCCACATCACCTTCTTGGAACTCACAACCTAAGAAATCTGATAAGCTCCTTGGGTCTTAATGGAATTGTTTGAGAGATTTAACGAAAGGACATTCAGGAAGAAATTACTTGGAATTTCCTCGAATCTGTTGTGTGAAAGGTCTATTCTTGTCATTTTTTTGTTCAAGAGTTGTTGATTTTGAAATTCTGAAATTTTATTTTTTGACAAATTGATTTCCTCGATATTCAATTTCAAGAGGATTGCTTCCAATGATTCGATACAATCTTGGGTCAATTGATTGTATTCTAAATTTAAAGATCTAATGTTGATCTGTCGAACTGACATGAACAAAGCCACTCTCAGTAGTTCCAATCCGTGATTCTAAATGCGATCCCACGATAGATCTAAATAATCAAGTGACTTGTTCCCCGTGTAATTGAGCATTGCACTACTTAATGCTAAGATGCTTTCAGAAGAGTTGAATTTGACTAAGGAAATGATAAAACGCCTTAAAATTAAGTGTAGTTTACTTCAGAGACCTCAAATATTTGAGATTGGGGAGGATCAGAGACAAGGAAACATTGTCAAGATTGCAAAAACTCAAATTGATTTCAATTAGAGGGTTTTTCCCTTTAAGCACGTATTTGCAGAAGTCCTCGGCTGAAGAAAAGGTGAAGCCCTTGTTGTTTGATAGGTTCAGACGTGTAAGGCCTGTGTGATCTATCATCTACTTATAAGGCAAAAGTTACTGATTTGAAAATACAGCTCAAAGAGAAGGAATTGAGATTGCACCCAGCCAATTCTAAGACCTAAATGTTGGTATTCTTCTGAACCAGATTGGCCAACTCAATCGCATAGTAAATGTTGATGTTGCATCTCGATAGATTGACTTCCCTAATTGTGAAAGTAAACCACTTACTTAATTTAGTTGTTGCAAGCCAATTCTGTGCAGAGCTCAGCAAAACACGATAGAGCCCCTCGGTTGATGTTTTGCGAGAACTCACTCACGTTGCTTTCACTCCACTTGTCCTTTTTCTCTTTCTTCCTAGACATTTTGTTGACTATTTGCCACAACGTATTCACCAAGTTCTTCTTCTTCATATCTTTCACAGTATTATAGCAGAGTTGTTGACTTGATTAACACTCAATAGAAAAGCCATTATAATCCATTATTATTTATTATTAATTAAACTTTAATCTTACAACTTTATTTCTCCACACTCAAAACAAGACTCAAAACATAACCATACTCCCTTTAATCAAAATCAAAAATTCTATTATTTATTATTAATACCCAAAAAAAGAATTAATTATATTTTTTTAACTGCTAGTTAATTAATGGGAAATCAGCAGTTTGAAGCTAATGAGTCTCAAACCAACATCACACAATATTACCAAAAAATGCTCAATTAAAACAAAGAAAACATCCCTCACCAAAATCAGAGCACTCCGAAATTGCTGAGTGCAGAAAGTCGAAACAAATTGAGACCCACCTCTAAAATCAATCTGGATATGAAATTGTGTTCCAAATCTTCAGAAAAATCGCTTCCTGGTGTATCATAAGTATGGTTTCATGATTTAAATTAGAAAATGTTTTAAGAAACACCAGTGGTGAGAAATCCCCTAGAGAAATTACATAGGAAGAGAAGCAGTACAAAAATTGTTTAAGAGAATGATGAATCTCATATACAATTATTGGATCTTCTAAAGAACATGGTCAGACATCAGGATTCAACAATGCAGAGTAGTCAAGTCAAAGTTACAGAATAATCCTGCTAAGAATATGATAAAAAGAAACTAATAATTGATTCAGATTAATTTTATAAACCATAAATAGAAGATAGACCGTTATAGTTTAACAATAGAAGAAGATCTAAAACATTTGAGGAATCCTTTAGAACATTAATATCAAATGAAGACAGATGTTAACCTTTGAAATTATATAGAAGAGAAAGCAAAGAAGAAGAAGCTCTATAGTTTATTTTATAGAATTGCACTTAAACTCAATCAAGAATTGATCAATAAATTTCAAATAGTATAACTTTTGAATCTTTGGAAAGTGATTGGTAGGCGTTAACTAAAAAGAATTCCAAATAGTTAGAGACTCCTGGAACTGCTTAATTTCAAGGGTTAAATAAAGATGATAAAATGTTCGAACTCTCCACTTCCAATTTTATTGAATAAAATAATGATGACATATAAGGTTCCAGGAGACCATCTTGCATAGAATCCACTTTTCTCATCCCTATGGTGTTACATTCACAAAATAGTTTGGATTTCGATGATTCCAAAGAAGTGTATCAAAATTCCAAACCTGCTCAACCCTATGAATATAAGAAAAGTTAGATTCCAAAGATGAATGGATTGCTATCACAATAATAGTCTCTTCATTAATTGAATAAATTGGATTGCAAAATCAATTCAACCAGTAGAAATGTGGCTTAACCTATGAAAAAGATACTCTAAACATTAGCCTCTGGATTACCTAACAAAGCCCCATTCAAACAGAAATCACTTCATTAACAATCTGATCATTCTCTCTCATTGCCTTTATAGATGATCAATTCCAAAATGGGTTATAGATCGAATTTGAGTTTTGTCCAGAATGTCCCTCAATCTTCATTGTCCTCCAAAAATGGAAGAAATCAATTCGATTCAAAAACATTTAAGACGAAACCCCCAGTGATCCATCCTGAAGAATAATGGTTAGCCAATTCGAAATTGGAATATAAGAAAATCATGCTTATTTTAGATGAATAACAACAATAATAATAATAGATCTAGAATTTCAGCATTTAAAATAAAAGTGAAATGATCTCAAACACTTTCAACAGTTCAGACATTAATTGTTCATAGAGATTCTAGTTAGATGATATTAATTTCAAACTTAAACCTCATCTTGAAGATAAGAACACTTAAACTCAATTAAAAGATTTGTAGTAGAATTTCATAAACCGATTATCCTAACCTAAAAGTAGATGCAGTTCGAGAACAGCAGAAAGCAACCCTTATTGGAAATTGAGAGAAGTAGATCAATCAAAGAGATCCAAAAGGAAATGAATTGATTAATTATTTTATTTCTGTTATTATTTTATAAACTTGTCTCACAACTTGACCTATCCTTCTTCCCAATTTTCGTATTATCTTAATGTAGCAACCAACTCTGGGTTGGAATCTTCTGGAGAATTTTCTTTCTGTAGATATGCACTATTGTATGGTAGATATTCGTAATCGTGCTCTCTGGCTATAGCAAATTGATTGCCAATCACATATGATAATTAATTCAAGTCTTTCTATGTTTTAATATCAAATATAATAGTACATCTTCTATATCTCTTACATATTAAGCTGGATTGCCTGCCCACAATTAATTACTTGGAATGAGTCTTCCAGGTGGTACTACTGTTCCTGGTGCTAAAACTGCCCCATCTTCTAATTTGGCTCCTTCAAGGATGATGGATCTGTAGCCAATGAAACAATTTTCTCCAATAGTGCAAGAGTAGAGAGTGCAATCATTTTGGACCATGACATTATTTCCAATGCTTAATACAGCTGGCATGCCATTTGGCAATGATGCTGCAGTGTGCAACACTGATCTTTCTCCAATGATAACTCGATTCAGGATTCTAGGTTAATTGGATTCAATACCTGATTCCATTGAGATCCCCTCTTAAGACTGCACCATACCAAACCACGCATTGAGATGCCAATTCTACATCACCAATTACTGTGGCCGTAGAGGCAATGAAGTGTTGACTCCCTATTTCAGGGGTCAAATCATATAATGCCATGATATTTCTGTGCTTTGAAATGATGAATGGTTGTGTTCCCACAAATGGCACAGCTAATCAAAATCAATTAATCATCATTACGTTAAGCTGCCTATTAAAATGATCTCTGAATCAAACCAATCAGTGGTCTTATTATTTTTTTCATTTTTATTAATCAATATATTTATTTATATATTTATATCTCCACTTATATGGATCAATATCGATATCAATATCTCATTCTATTCAAGTAAACTAAATTAATTTAACTAATTGTCTGAGCATTCATTGGAATAATCATCTCTGTAATAGTCTCAACTATTGGTAATGCTAGAGTAGTAACGTCCTTTTCTCAACTGTAACTATTCTTCCTATTTTCAAGTAATGTGCTTCTGAGTTAGTTGAATCATATTGCTTATGAAAGTAAACAATTTATCTGAAAGTAGTAAACTCAAAAAAAGTAAGAAACTCTTATAACCAGTTGAATCATTGTACCCTCATTTGGATGCTTAGATTTGATCATAAAATTGATAAGTGCTATAAAATTACAAACCTCAAGAACGAAATCACAGGGAATATACCGAAATTCTTATATATATATTACTTAAGTGTCTCACTAAACTTTATATTAATATTTAATTTAGTAGACATCTTTAAATTTATAATTGAATTCTTAAATAAGCATGGCAAAAGGTATTGTTGATATACCAAGTTAAATAGTCAATACTATTTTTATAATCCCACTCATCATCTCGAACTGTTTCTTTAAGTGCCATAAATATTCAATATTTAATTTGAGATCCATTTAGAACATTAGAAACTTTAATAAATTGATTTTCAAATAAAAATTGTATAGGAATATTGGGTTTAATAGGAAGTGTAGCGAATGAACATCTAAGAATCAGAGAAGATAATAACAAACATTATACTTTAAACCTTTTAAAGATCTTCTTAAAGTAATTTGATGCTGATACCCTTTCTTTAGTAGTAATATAGGTAATATTTAATATTATATATATTAAAAAGTCAGTTGATTCAAAGTTAATTTTATGTAAATAAATATATTTATTATTTTACAAGAAGGTCTGTGTCCTTAATAGATGTGCTTATGAACTCCAATTCTTCAAGATTCCTTAAACTCTGTATTTAATAGGTTAGGATAAATAATTTTATTTTAATTGGGTGTCAATTAATTTAATCAAAAAAACTCAAATTAGCATTATAGTTAGGAGAATGGGGGCCATTTATAATTCAATTAAGAATTTTGGAGAATTATTGATATTATATGATTTAATTTAGCTTCTGCTTATTTTTTAAATAATGGAGCATAAAACATAGATATAATGTTTTGGAAGTTTGATTTATCCCAACTAAATTTGAGCAGGAAATATATACTAACAATTTATTAACTTAATAATTAATAATTAATTTTTATCATTATATATTTAAATTTGTGGTTTTTAAAATGAACAAATGTTATTTCAAATCCAAGGTTGTCAACTAAAGTATGCTGATTTATATTAACAAAAAAAATTATGTTTTGATTGGTAAATTCTATCATTTGTATTAAATTCTCCACTTTTTATTATTTGTTTTATGGGATATTATTTATAAATAAATATATATATGTAAGAATCACTTTAACAATCTTTTTCATAAGAGTATGGTAAATTTAAATTTGTAAAGTGAATATAAATAATTGTTTTGATCAGAAATTATCTGTTATTAAGCATTTAATTGAGTGAGTCTCAGTAATTTCTTTGCTTCATTTTTTAAATAAGTTATACATTGTATCTAAATTAGAAGATTTAAGAATTCAGCTTCACTTTAATTCACAATTTATTAATATTGATTGATAAGCCTATATGAAAAATATCGATAATATTTATTTATAAATCGAATGATTGCCTTATCTATCGAATTGTTCTGTATTCAACTTGGATATTTTGACTGCCAATTAAAAATCACTTAGCTTCCAGGATTTTATGCATTAGGACGATTATTTTCATTATTATTAGTTATATACCCAAGTTCATACGATGTAAGTAGTGACTTTAAAGCTTTAAGTTCTGAGGTAGTTGAAAATCGATTTTATTCTTTATTGCAATTACTAATAGATCTAATCAATTAGATATTCACCAATACTTCGCTTCAAAATTACCTACAATTTGCGTTTAATTTGGTAATTTTTTTGGGAATTGGTTTTGTTATAATTGCCAACTATAATACAAAAGATACTATTGAAAAAAATATTAGGAAGTAAAATTTTTAAAATATCCTTTTAAAAATGATAACTTTCTTCTTTATTTGCATTTCTGTAGTGTTTTCAATACCTTTTTTAATAATAGCTCTCCATAATTTACAAAGGTCAAGTAGAGAATATAGTTATGGTTGGTTTATCAATGACGTAGTTTATTTGGCAGTCATCCATTTTATCTCCCTATTTTATTTTATTCTCCTTGAGGGAACATTGATAGTGAAAGATAGAATATGCAAAAAATTATAGGTCAATTTTCAAGACTATTTAATATTTCTCTTACAAATGATTCAACCATACATATTTATACTTAGTTCTAAAGAGGTGGCAAATTATGGTCAATCTATAATATTTCTACTGATCACATTCCTAGAAATCATTTCCATATATATTTATAAGGAATACTCTAATAATTGTTAAATACTGCTCTTAATATTCATTCATTCCTGCGGGGGTATAATAGCTCTATGTTCCATCACTCAGATTAATCAACCCATGATATTTTTGATCCTTTTGTCGCCCCTTCTAATTTTAATTGGCACCTATGTACATAATTGGTTGTAATTTTTAATGCTTACTTCAAATCATTAAATACTAAATTTATTTGAAGTCAATAATCTAATATGTTCATCATTATCCAGCTAATAAAAACAATCATTCCAGTAAACTTGTATTCTCAACTCTATTTATTAATATAAGCATTCTTAGTAATGTCAAAATGCCAAATGTTAGTGTAAAATATAAGAGCTAAGCTCAAGTAACCCTAATAAGATGGTTGTACTCTCGGATATCGTAGAATAAGAACTATATTATCGATTGGTAGAGAGGATGAAAAAATTAATCTAAAGTTAAGAACCCAAGGATTGCTTTTATTTTCTTATTCATTTCTTATTTGCTCAATAATATCATGGAGAAGTCTATGAAATATACAGTAAAGTAGAGAATAAGTAAATACTAAATAATCTATCTTATATATAGAGAATTAAATGGAAATTCTTCATTATGATGATCAAATAGAATTTATACATCAGTTTGAATGCAAAATTAGATGTAAATCATTCTGACAAAACCAAACTCTCCATGAAAATCAATTAGTTTGTTCAATCTGAGGGTTTCAATTAAAGTATCAAAGATGGTTTGATTGACATAATTCAATAGAAATTGCAATTGCAGTAGTTATTAGTGAAATAGCAGAACAAGATTGACTTCACATATTAATATTACAATTTATTGGAGAGTGTTGAAAAGTAGGAAAAGATACTGAAAACTATATATGATTAATTTCCAAGCCAAAGAAATTAATCCTAGTTAATGTTTTTTTATGCAGAAATCAAATACGATTGGAAAAAGGCTTTCGATTAATTATAAATAAATGCTATTGATAATTCATTATTAAGCATCGTAACTGATGTTGATTTTAATAGATTAGCCAACAAAATGGCATATTTAATTTATTCTTATGATGATAGAAAACTTAAAATCATTTCATATTCTAAGAAGGCCCCGGTAGTCTTTGGTTTTTAATAAAAATAATTTGATTTGATAGTCACTCCAGATCCATTGATACCAGCAGTAGTTAGAGATGTACATGATTAATACATAGCAGATTTTTTGTAAAATGGGAAAGGAGCTTACTTTAGACAAGTAGGCTAGAACTTTTGTTAATTAAAATCAGGATATTTATAGAACATAGAATTCTTTTTTGATCTCTATTTTGATAATAATCAATCATTTCGTTTTATCACTTTTATAAGTTGTTAAGAATAGGGAGATCCAGTGATCTTGGTTGATCAAACAAATAAAATTTAGGGAGTAAATAAAGAGTTATTCAAAAAGTTGAATTTCAATCCAAAAATCATCGATTAGTTATCTATAGAAAAATCACTTTATAATTTAACAACAGATTTATTCTTAAACAATGATATATTGAATGGAGCCTAATGTTAATATTCATTTTAGTTTTATTTTCCTAAAGATTCATTTTTTGCATAGGAATTTACTACAACTACATAGAAGATTACAAGTCTAAGAAATTAATAGAAATTATCTTAATATGAAGTGAGTTGTGAAGTTCTGAGACGGAGTAATTATAAAATCATAAGGCTAAAGAAGATCTAAGAAAATAAAAAAATGAACCTAACATAATCGATAGAATTGCAATTGAATATGGAAATTAATTTACCAATTAATAAAGAGGAATCTATTATTCTTCCTTATGAAAATTCCCTATTAAATGAACCGTCTTCAAACATGATCATTCAAACTCAAAGGAAAACTGATGTCAGATTTTTGAGTGAATTAGAAGAGAAGAATCTAGAATAAATTGATGAAGAGAAAGTAAAAGTATATCATTATAGTGAATCCAATATTATTGAATATGATAATAAGACTGTTAAGGTATTGGGGAATGTATATGACAATGACATAAGGAATTAGGAGAACTTTGCTTTGGAAGGTTCTTAAGCATCTTCAATGGCTGGATTGAGAAAATCAGTGTATTATAGAAAATACACTCTTGTAAATCAACTTAACGAGTAAACTCCAGTTATACCCTTATTAAGCAAACTATTTGGATATCTGATTTTTGCTCTAATCAATTAAGTCATATTCCTATCGATTGTAATTAATTTGATATATTTTAGAATATTTCATTCTCAAAAACAGACTTTTACTCACTAAATTATTACTACGAATCAATCTAAATCAATCATTATTTCATAGAGCCGATGCAGAAGTTCTTTTTGACACGTTATATGCTTCAAGATTACCAAATTTTAAACCTATATTAAAGCATAACTAAAGAGAAACTTGCTTATTATTTACAATTTATTAACCCTCTATTGATAGGGTCATATGATGAATTCAAAGATAACTTTCAGGATCATTTCTAGGACGATACATTATCTTAATTCATCAAAGACGAATACGTTATTATCTAATAGTAAATAACTCACTATGCTCCACTCAAATTACAAGAATACAATGTTACTTTATTTAACGCGTTTAGTATCCTGCTTGATGCCTTTTACAAACAAGAGTAAATTTATATCAAACCTTAAACTACAAGAGGCACAAATCCTCATAACACATATTAATATAAGAATTATATCTTATTTGTAACTATCTTTGATAAAATATCTGATCTAATGTATGAAGAATCTATCGAAAAAATCGAATTGGTTGTACAGAGATGGATAATAATGGTCATTCCAATATCAATTGCAGTTCTAATATCTGTATTATTACTTGGGTATTACTACAACTATTACAATCGATTCATTGAGAAGTTTTTTGATCTGAACAAACACATAGAACAGGTTGAACTTGATACTGATCAAAGTAGGCAATAGTTTATACTTCAAAGTTTAAAATAAGGATCAGAATTGATCCACTTGTATAAATTTAACTTGATCGGAAAGGAGGAAGTATTATCAAGAAATAAAATCAAGGAATCTAAGAACGAGATCAAAAATGTTGTCAATGAGCCAAAAGTTGTTAGGCAATTTATTAAAATTTCAAAATCCCCACTTATTTTTTCTGCCCTAGCGTTGCTACTACAATATTTGATGATAGCTGGCCCTTTAACATATGTTGGCAGCGATTACATGAATAAATTCTACACAACTATTCACTTTTTTAAATCCCTTTCTGATATAGGTGTTTATGTGCCTGCCTCCTTCTCATAAAAAGAAATCTTGTATTTCTTCTTTTATTTCACTTACTATACTACTGATGATAGAGTATTCTTTGTTAATCAAATCTAGAAAGCAGTTAACAAAATAGATACCTTCTTAAACTTGCATATTGAGAGTTCGAAATTACAATTTTCATAATAATTTTTAGATGATTATGAATACTTGGAGTAAAACAATCTATGTCAATTGTTGAATAGTTCAAAATATTATGATTTGGATTATTTTTGTTAGAATTCTCAAAATGGAATATTGAAATTGGGTTTGAGAGCATCCCTGACCAATTTCAATAATATACTGAAGACAGAATTAGATATCGACTTTCCTACCACTCGTAAGTACCCTCCAAAAGAGGAATTGGAAGCTGTTTATTTAGGTTCGGACATAATTTCTGAAATTACGATTAAAATGGAAAAAGATATTAGTTCACAAACTTTAAAGATCGAGGAATTATATAATGTATATAAATTTAATTAAATATTTTTTAGATCATAAATGCTTTAAGTCTGACTTATACTATCATGCTGATTATGGTTATTTAGTTTTCAGTGTTCAAAATGTTTAGATAGAAACTTAATAGAACCAAAATGATCTCATTAATTTTTCCACTAGAAACAATCTACTTAAATGACCATTTTGAAAGAGAACTAAGAAGAATGGTTACAAGTGAAAAATTGATTTGATAAAAGTTTGATCTGATTTGATTAATCATAATTTTACAATAATATTAAGTTTCGAAATGAAATTGGAGATGCTTGAGTCTTTATTGATTCAGTTGAATTTCTAGGAGAGCTAACTAAAATGGAAAAACACTCTCTTTTATGTGATCTTGAGTCAAATATTGAGTATTTTTTTTTTGATCTACCCATTTGTCTCGAATAGAGTTAAGCATAATCAATTTTAATCAATTATGGAAATACCAAAAGTAATCCTCCTTGAATTTTTGGAACAAGTGAATGTAGCTGAATATTCTGTTTTGATTCTTAATGTTTGGATAATAATATTGCTAATTAGTTTGTGCTTTGAAAATTAGAAATAAAAAATAAATCAGATGAAAACATTTGAAAAGAAACAATTAAAATCAATCCCAATCTATTATCTGATGCTTACATCAAAAGTCATTAATTATATGTTACTGCAACCTTTACTTTGTTTAGGTTTGTTTAATTTGAGCATCAATTTCAATTCTAACCTTTATTTTGTGATCTAAAATTTACTGTTTCTCTTGTTTGTTCATATATTTTCGATAAGCTATTATATTTTGAATAATACTACCTTACTATTAACAGATAAAATGGATAAGAAAATAGAAGATGACTATTTAGATTTTATCATCTATCTTCTTAGAATACTCTAATCCTATGTGTTTATTTTGTTGGACAGTCCTATCACAGACAAGCTTTAGAGTTGTATTTATTTGCTCATTAGCTTGATTCGAATATATACAATTTTGATTCAAATGAAGTACTGTGATCTCAAGCATTGCTTTATCCTAATATTCTTTGCCTCTTCAGGATTGATTATATCCATCTGCATATTTTCAGAATAGCATTTGAACATAGGATATTTGATGCTGTTGAATCCCTTACTAGTATATTGCATTTGGAAATCCCTATGCTATTACATAGAATACATCATCCTGAATGACCCCTAAAAATTATCGATAGACAGGCTGCACTTTTTAGTTTGTTTTATATTTGCAGACAATCAATTTTCATAATAAAAAAATTGCATCCTCAATGGAATCAAATTTAGTCAGCATCTTAAAAGCTGTGAAACAGTTGGTTGCTCTTGTCAAAACAAATACAAAACAATCGATCCTTTGGAATTGAACCTAATTCAATTAGATATATCCTAATAATTCTAAAATTCAATAGTTCAATAGTTTAGACAACTAAATTTGCATAAGAAAGGGAAGCATTTCTATAAGATGTGTCATCTTCTGTCTGCCTTACATCAATTGGGATATCATTAGGAAATTTATTATAGAATAGAAGATTAAAAATATAAGCATTTATTAACCTTTGTCTAATAAATCAATTGGATTGTGTTCACCTTTATTATAAAAAAAATGATGTACAATAAATTTGCCCAGTAATTAGAAACCAATAATAAGGAATGTCTAGAGTTGTCAGCAAGAATAACTGCTTTTCTACATTCCGAATCATTTCATTTGTAAATTAGAAATAATTTGATCTCAATTATCAAATTGAAGATCCAAATTCTATCCTCTCTATTGATGTTAGATAATGAACCACTATATGAGCATATCTAAACTTTTGCTTTAGAGAGTGCGAAGAGAGAAAATCAATTGAGACAAATATTTTTTAAGTTCCCAAGTTCCAAAAATTAGTCAATCCTAATGTTTTTCATGGGAGAAGTTGTAAATGATTGGTATAAAGCCTATGAATTCTGCAACTTTAGCTCGCATGATAATAATGCATACTAATAATTTATTGCAAATGACATCAATAGTATCTCAAATAAAATGACATATCTGGTGTTTGTATATGAAAATAAGAAGTTGTATTTGCAAAGTATTTCCAAAAAGGCTTGTGAAATATTTGGCTGGGATTAAATGCAATTCTCTTAATTGAAAGATGCTAATGTACTTCTTCCCTATTGTATAAGGGAGACTCATGATTTAGAAATTGATAAATTCTTATAAACAGGAAAGGGATTGTACTTTAGAACAAAGGGTATAAATTTTTGTTAATGTAAGAGTGGTTATTTATAACCTATTCACTTTTTTTATGATATTCAATTCGATTAATAATCATTTTTTCAATTTATCTCCTTTATTTAAAAGTTAGAAACTCCTTTAGCAATTTTGGTTGTAGATGAAAATGCAAAAATCTCAGGCGTTAATAAAGATTTCTTTAAGATGATGAACTTTTCGTAATTGGTTACTGATTCCTTTTAAATAGAAAAACTACTCTATGGTTTACCTTCCTCTTTGTTTTTTTAATTAACCCAATTTACTACAGAATCTACCACTAAATCAATCATCACTTTCCCTAATGAAGAATAATGTTTCGTAATGCAGAACCAAAGTTTAAACTAAAAAATAAATTTGTGTAAACAGAGGCAATCATTAAACCTTTTTGAAGTCCAAGGGGATATTCAAATAAGAAAGACTTACAGTATTATTCGAATCTACAGAATGATGGAATGCGAATCTTCAATTTAAACGCAAAAATAAATAGAATATTATAATTCTGGTGAATTACCCTCTCTAATTAATGATGAGGATGCAGTTATCAGTCCTTACGATGAATTTTTCTAGTTCTTTTCTCCTTTGAATGAAAATAATTAAAACTAATCAAATCAATACTTTTTAAGATCAACTTAGAAGCAAAGTACCAAGAAAATCTAACTGATTGAATCTAACATTTAGAATAGTATATCATAATTAGTTGAAAATGAATAGTAGACAATTAAAATGCTCGGAAACATTTATTAAAACCAATAAGAAGATGACACAGTTTCATTTTAATAAGAAGCATAATCCAATGCCTCCTATGAAGAATTAAGAAGATCTCGCTTCTATAAGAAGTACTGTCTGTATCATACTGTAATTAATTCCAATGGCATTCAACCCCATATTGTCAAGTCAACAATCCACTTATTTATGGTTGTAATTATCATCTTGATATTTATTATATTGGTAATAATGCTCAAGTATATTTTAGTTTTCAATTTTAAAGGCGTACGATCTTAAAAAAGTTACTTTATATTATGATTAAATCCAAATCAATCATTTTTTCATTGAGCCTATTCACAAGTTTTTCTTAGCTAGATTCACTGTCTAAGATTATTTCTACCTCAGATATTTGAATTAGATCACCGAGGCACAGAATCAATTCTATTAATCCTTCTCCTTAGCGAATATTATCAGAGAATATTCAGTAATGCGTGTAAACTTTTAGGAACATTTTTAAGAATAGAAATTTCAAGAATTCTTATTTAATCAATATATGGTTGTGAAACAACAAACAATCCATTACAATCCCATTAATACTACAGACTATAACATGACTGTATAATCAGCTTTTTCTTTATTATTAGATGCATTTTATAAATAAGAACTAATTTATTTGAAATAATTTAATGTCAACATTTTAGGTGTTGCACCACATTAAACATTTTAATACCTTAATTATATAGAATTTATAACTATATTTGATAATATTTCCCATGAGATTTATCATCAATTCTTAAACTAAATGAATACTACATTAAACTTGTTTGCATTCCTTTGTTTTCCAACACAGATAATTTCCACTATTTTTCTTATTGGATCTTTTCTTTATCTCAGATACTTTAAAAGGATTATTGATAAATTTATTAATCTAAGATCATATACTGATTTGTCAAGTGTAAGTAAAGATCTAAAGAGACTATCCTTTTTGATCAATCACCTTAAATCCGATTCAGATATGATCTATAAATATAGATTCAATTTAAATGCCAAAGAATTAATGATTATGGAAAAAATGAGAGGAAAAAACAATTTTAAGGATGAAAAATTCTACGATAAATCATCACCTATATTGAAACTAATATTCATCTATTTCCTACTATTCATTTTATGTGCCGGTGTTATATTGACCTTAACTCTCATCATTACATCATTCTATTAGCTATTCCCTAAGACTTTAAATTATTTTAAACTCTTTTCTGACGTTGGAGTCTATGTACCAGCTGCATTTTCATAAAAAGAACTTTTATACTTTTGGAATAGATTTCAATTTTTCTCTTCATAAGATAGAGTGTAATTCATGGATTAGGTTTCCATAGGTATTGGTAAAATTAACGAATTCATATCCACAGATATTAATATGGATGAGTTTCAATTTTCTAATGATTTTTTAGAGTATTTCCAGAAGATTGGAGAAACCAATCTATGTCCATTATTAAATGAAGTATTATCTTTTTGTATATTATAGAGCAAATATGTTGAATTTGATTACTTTTGTGAAAATTCAAAAAATGGGATTTTGAAGAGAGGTCTGTTACCAACTTTGAGTGATTTTAATTATTAATTGAAATATGAATTGGATGCTGGACTGACCAATAGAACTCTGATTCCAATAGAGGAATTAGAAGCAGTGTATCTGTGCTCAGAAGTAATAAGTTCATTGTGTGATTAAATGCAGTAGGACATTGTGAACCAGATAACTAAATTAGATACTATTTTAGATGTAATTTTGGATATAATTTCTTAGTGGTTATTGTTGTGCGCTTTAATAATTCTAGTTTTAGGGTCCTTCTTAGTTTATTTTAAGTTTTATCCTAAAATGAGAAATAAATTAAATTACGTGAAAAAAATTACACAAATTTTTCCATAAGATTCGATGTTTTTGAATGATCATTTGGAAAGAGATCTCAGAAAAATATTATTAATAGACTAAATAACTTGAATAGTTTAATTAATTATTTATTATTTATATACATTAGTGTTTAATTGACATAGGCACCAAATTTTATAATACAAAATCATGAGATATTCTTATACTAAGCTATATTTAATAAATATTCTTAATATTATAATGCTATATTGATGAAAACTTAAAACTATATATCATTATGAGTAAATTTAAGTAAACTTTAAGTGATTTGTTTCAATTTTAATTCTTTTAAGTTTGAATAACACTCATTTACATGATTCTTCTCATTTTGTAATTAGAATGAAAATTGCTCATTCTAAAAAATAATTTTTAATTATTCTTTAATTTATATTGAAACCTATGTGTTTAATACAAAATGTAATCATATTTCAAACATATTATACGTTAGTTTAAAATGATTATTGAAATTGGGAGACATAAACTATACTTTATTTAATTCATCCACACTTCGTATTCACTTGGAAAAGATTGATATAGAAAAATAATTGTTGTTAAATTCATTCTTTTGAGAATTCGATAAATTAATACTTTAATCATAAATGCTTCATTAATTGAAATTTATATGTTATATATTAGTCATTAACAGCTAAATTTTTGAATAGATGAGTTAATCAGAATTTATGCTATTTCTAAATAAATTAAATTAGTTATATCATTTATTAATATATAAATTAGGGAGCATAATTACTACTTTGAGAGTATTAAACTATAATTTAAGAAAAGGTCTTAGCTTTTTTTGTTTAAAATTTTGTAGGATAAATCTTGATTTTGTTTGAAACTTTCAATTTATGTAAGAGGATAAGTGTATTCCTTTTACTATTTGAAAGCAGATTTGCAATTGGATAGTAATAATACTTAATAATAACCTAAAAGTTTTAATTATATTATTTTTAATATTATGGATGCTTAAATTGATCAATAAATGAAAATAAAGAAGGCTCATTTCATAAATTCAAGCATAAAAAGTAAACATAAAGTTGCACATTGATAGCAAATATAAAGAAGGATTATAAATTCATTAAGGAGATAGGTGCAGGTGGTTTTGGTGTAGTTTTTGAAACTGAGTAGAAATCCACAGGTATAAAATGAATGCTCATGAGGTATTAAAAGAGCAATTAAAGCAATTGCAAAAGATCGTGTTGTAGATAAGGAGAGTTTTAAGAATGAATTGTTGATCCTTAGAAAGATTGTAATATTTAAATTTGAGTAGAGGATCATCCAAATATTTTGAAGATGTATGAGGTGTATGAAACTGAGAAGACAGTGTATTTGGTAACAGAGTAAGTTAATTGAGTATGATAGGATGTGTGAAGGAGGGGAACTATTTTATTACATAACCAAAACTCAACATTTGACTGAGATGCAAGCAGCCAAAATAATGAGACAAATATTCACAGCAGTAGCATATCTACACGAACATAAAATAGTTCATAGAGATTTAAAGCCAGAGAACTTCTTATTGAAAAATAAGGAAGATGAGTCTTCAATTAAAATGATTGATTTTGGATTGGCTAGATTCTTCAGAGAGGACGAAGTAATGACGTAGCCTAATGGGAGTCTGTTTTACATTGCACCAGAAATTATTAAAGGATAATACTCATATGAAGTCGATTATTGGTCATTAGGAGTGATTTTATATGTGATGATGTGTGGATAGCCACCATTTCCAGGTAGGAATCCCTAAGAGACGATAAAGAATATATAGAAAGGAATATTTACATTTTCGAAAGCTGGATTCAAAGGGGCCAAGTGAGGAGGTAATTGTATAAATTGAGGAGAGGTTAGGGATTTGATATAGAAGTTGTTAGTGATGGAGCCTAAGAGAAGATTTACTGCTAAATAAGCTTATAATCATCCTTGGGTGTAATAGCAGGTTAGTCATGAATTGATGAATTTAAGGTTGCATGATGATGCAATAAAGGGATTAGAAAAGATGATTAATGCTTAATAAATGAAGAAGACAATGTTATTATATTTAGCAACATTTATACCTGAAAATGAAGTAACATCATTAAGATAATTATTTGTTTCTTTGGATAAGGATGGGAATGGGATGATTTCATTAGATGAGATGATAGAAGGATTAACTGGCTTTAAAAATATGAAACACAAAAACATGGATAGAAACTTTGTTACTCAATTATTCAAAGCTATGGATATTGATTAGAGTGGATAGGTCGATTACAGTGAGTTCATAGCAGCATTTTTGGTGTGTCCATAATTTTAGAATGAGAGATTTATAGAGGAACAATTCAAAAGAATAGATTAAGATAATAGTGGAAGAATATCTAAAAATGAATTGATGGATATTTTTCATACTGATACTATATCAATAAAAGATCTGGATATTGAAGAGCTAATTAAATAGGCGGATCTAAACAAAGATGGGGAGGTATTACTTTGAGATTATAAAAGATTGATTATCAAGAGTTCATGATCCTTTTAAGGGATAGATTTGCTGATTAGATAAAGCATTGACTATTTGATAAAGTTATTAATAATTATTATGAATCATTAGTTTTAGCAAGGCTGTCCATTTTCAGGTCGGCAATACGATTTCTTGACAGAATCGGATAATCATTTGGACAAGAAAAGAGTCAAGCCCATCTAATCATTCGCTGATTATGTTAATACTCTTCCTGAGCAAAGACAAGCTAAGATTCACAGGCAGCATACTGAAATAATCAAAAAATCTCCAACACTTCCCAAGCTTGAACCTGTGATTCCAGAACTTCAAAAGATGAAGGAACATTTCGTTTTGAGCATGACCAAAAATATTGTTCCTCAATCATGTCCAGGGAATCACCCTATGAGTCCTAGATGCAAGGTTCATATGCCTTTGTCAATAACACGAAAGTCATCGAATAGCCAAAAGTAAATAAAATTGTCTCCGATCACATCCAAGAGTGCTTTTTGTATAAGATTACCGTAAGAGGAGGATGATGGTATCTTTTTGACCAAGATAGGGGGTGAAGAGACAATAAGGGGAATAGCAAGACTGTTTCATCAGTATTCCCAAAGCCATCCAATAATTCAAAGTAATCAGTCAAATAATGTATTAAGAAATTGATGATCCTTAAATGTATGAATTGAAATTTGCTACATTCCTAGAGTATATAATGGGCAAACCTGTGTTCTTTAACATCGAAACTCTAAAATAGAAGCATATTCCCTTGCATATCACGAACGAATAATACAACCAGTTTAAGAGTTATTTGATAGTAATTAATAAATTTAAATTTTAAGAGCAGTTTCATTAAATGCAACAAGGGTCCACCTGAGTTGATATTTGAATTCAGTGCCCTAATAGAATAATACAAGTATTGTATAATCACTACTGAACAAACTTTTGCCCAAATATTCAACAAGAAAACTGAGAACAACACTGAAGAGACTCCAGAATCCATAGTAAACTTGGCAGATTAGACATATCAGAAGATCCAGGAAGACCAGACTCTTTGTGAATACTTCATTGGGATCCGAATGGACGAACAAGCCAAGAAATTAGGGAAGATAGTTCATCAAATGATGGGATGGGATTGCAGTGTAGATTACGTATTGAATTATTTGAGGAAATCCCATTAGAAGATGAATTTAACCAATGTGCATTTCACATTATTCAAATCATACCTGGTGGAATCGATGAAAGACATAGGATTGAAAGAAGATCAAATAGAATTGATCACTCAAAGAATGGATGGCTATAGAAGTTGTATAGTGAATTAGGATTGTTTACTGGACTTCTACTTTCAATCTTCCACTCTCTTCAAAGTTCAAGTTAAGAAATATGAAGTGCTTCTACAAAAGGATCCCAGATTTCGCAATTTCCCCAATCTCCCTGCTTTGTTAAGACATGCTCATTTCCTACTGAAATATGTCACCCATCAACATCAACCGTTGTTAACCAAGACTGATCTCAAGACCTTGCACAAACACTGTGTTATTTAACATGAATGGATCGATGCCTTCAGAGACAACTTCTTTCATCTCATCAAAAACTACACTCTGGATAGACTCATTCTGTAGGATTATGCAGACACCTGGTTCCAATTGAGATACACCATCATGAATCAATGTACCATAGAGAGTGTGGTTGGATAGAGTGTCATCGATTCAGTGCAATTCAAAATACAAATCAATCTGCAAGACAACGAGATTTACAGTGATCATTTCAGAAATGCCGATTATCAGATCAAGTCTCACATTAAGAAAATCATTGCCTTCATTTTCAAGAACTCTTAAATCTATAAATCTAATGACTTGAGGGTTATCCATTATCCACTCAAAATCAGCGAACAAACCTTTAATTTATTTGTTTAATTAATCAAATAAGTTATGCAAGAAGAAAAGGTGCCTGCTCAACTGATCCTTCTTGCAGAACAGATTTGTCAATATTATAGAAATAGCATTTGCAATCTGTGAATATAATCTATTAATGTACTATATATTCATAAATCATATATTGCTCATTATGTGAATGGTAATACTCCTCTTTGTCTAAGAATAGCCTCCAAAGCTGAAGCACTCTATCCCTTTTATCTCAAATATCCAGCCAAGATCACTGTGTTGTTCTTTTTATTGTAAACACCATTCTCATCAACCTTTTTTGTTATTAACAATCAATACTTATCCAACATTGATTTACACACTTGAGTAATCACTGCTATTCAGAATCATATTTGTATATTGGCACTTTCTTGGAACATAAATATCAACGACTTATTTTTCATCATTGATCATTCCTGCATTTTCTTGAATTCTGTGAGCCATATTATTAAAAAAGATTTAAATTTTTTTATATATTTAATTAATTCACAAAAGCTTAATCTGCACAGACAGAAGGATCAATGGATCCTGAGTTTCAAAGTATAAATATTCAACTAACTCCTCATTCCTTAAAATCGGACAATGAAACACTGATCCCAATTATAAATCTAACTTCTAAATTGGTATCAAATGTAAAACAGGTAAGTCACTCTAAAATTCTAAATGTCCCAAAGCTTTCATCTTTTATGTCACATCATTGTATTTGGCCCCCTGAACCTTCAAACCTTAAATGTAGACTCCAGCATCTGGCCTATACAGTATTTCCAAATGATGTTCTTTCAAAAATATCTACTTGAACACCACCTCATCTAAACCACAATTGAATTTCAATGCAAACTCCAATTTAATTAAATTCAAAAAGTGCTTTGGGTTCTTAAAATAATTCAAATTGTAATATTTCTGACTATTCCATTTAGAAAAGAACTGTCCTTTCTCAAATATCTTATTGAGCCAAAGATTGAATTATTTAATCTTAACTTCCCCCAATCTAAACCACTCTTCCGGTACCTCATCTAATTGCAGCCTTTATATAATCTCCTCAAGTCTTGGAGTCAACGATTCCCCTCTAATGTATTCAGACACTGCCTTGACATCCTCCGTTATCCTACTTATGAGTTAATTAAACTAATCTTTTTCAACTTAGTAATACAAATCAACAATCGATTCACTTTTGATATCAGACAACTTAAGAGGAGTGTATCTCTCCAACTTCTCTAATTATTCTAACAGAATCTGATTATTCTGAACAGTCCCTTGCATCAATTGAATATTCTGCTGCACTCTCTTCATCATATCGATCTGAATTAGTATTTGAATGTTCGAATTCAACCCAATACAATTGAAATCATTGACTTACCCCAAATCTTTCAGATACTATAAGTAGCCTTGCTTGTTGGATTTGATCATCTTCAGTTCACCCCCCATGTAAATGAAACCTTCTCTCAAGGATTGCTGACAGACAGTCTTATTGTAGAGAGTATTAAATAGATCCATTTCATTCTCATTTAATTGGCTTTGGAAGATGAGTTCTTTGGAAAAGTGCAATTGATCTGACAAAGCCAATTTTAAGTCACTTTCATGATATTGGTGTGTGGAGTATCCATAGGAGTGTCTTAAATTGTTAATGGCTTAAAAGAGATTCAAACTAAAGAAATGAGGATGATCCAATTTATCTTCTGATTCTATCTAATCAGCTAGTAATGATACGATATTATTAGTCTGTGTATAGCCCACTTTGACTGTTCGATTGAGCCACGAAATAGGAAATGATTTACAATTTTTGGCTTACAATATCAATTTAAAATTGGGATGTGCTTGATTTTCTTCAAGAATTTGTTCAACTACACTCAGGAATGGAGTGGCGAATTGGCAATTCAGGAATTCCAGTGTGTGACCATGTTCCAAGGAATCTCTTAATATCTTTTCAGCTTTGGAGTATTGTCCTTCCCCTAAAGTGACACTCAATTTACTATAAGATTTGCTATCATTGAAGATGAAAAGAGGGGTTTTGGAATCGAATTGGATCTCATTGATGCTTGTCTTGATGGTGTTGTACTTCAACTGTAATTGCTGTTCTATAATATTAATCATCATGGGGATGACTTTATCTGGTCTGAAGGCAAGAGTCAATAACAACTTTTGAAAAGACGTCAGTTTTTGTTATTCAGTTGAGAAGGTTTAATGTAAGTACACTTACTTAAATTAATTGGGGTAGTCTTCAATAGTTTCTAATATGTTATGGAATGGCTAGAGTTTATTCAGGTGGTATAATTTGGTTTTGATTGATGGCCATTCACTATCATCAATGAAGATACAAGGGTTGCAACCGATTTTGAATTGTGGAGGCAATTATGGATTCTGGCATCCCAAAAAGGCATCTAATTCTTCTTGAGTTATTAAGCCCTTTGTACTTAAAATATCAAGAGAAATAGAAAAACAGAATATTAGTCGATCCTCTTCATTAAGCAATAGACTAACTTCATTGATAATTCCTTTGTAGAATTATGCCTTGATTAATTAGATATTCAAAGCAATATCATTTTGTCTCTAAATTTTACTGCTCTGTTGCATAAGTTGTTTAAGGAACCATTCCAAACTGTATTGATATATTGGATTCATTCTTTGTAGATTTGAAATATTAATGAAGATTAAGGATATTTATTAGGCTAACATCCTATATTAATCTCTGCTTAGATCGATATCTTCATTGAGTCTTTTGGCCATGTCGATTCTTTTTGTTGTTTCCTCATACAACTATTTAGAATTGTGCAATTGGTTGATCATAACCTCATTATTGAGCAATTCATCAATAGACTTCTGATTCTGGAGAGTGTTCAATATCTGATTTTCAATTTATATGAGTTACTTCTTCTCTTGGTTACACAGATCAAGGTTATGTTATTTCTTTAATTCTAGTGTTGGATTTTCAACTTCAATCAAACATTTAAGCAATTTCTCAACTAGAGCTTCTTGTGTGATTGTATAATTGATGATCTAATAATTGATGTAAATTTGATCCTGAAACTTTGCATTCTATTCATGAGTAAAGTGAATCATCTTTGGATCGTGATGAAGCAGTTCAATATTATCAGTGATGTCAATATAAAAGGGTTATTTCAATTGTAAATGATTCTAGATTTTCTTGGGATCATTCAATACTTTATAATGATATTTCTCTGTTAGATATTATTTCCCTAAATTCTGAGGATCAATCAAAATCACAGGCTTGTATTAAAAGTTAAGAATGTTGGCATTTTCAGATATAAAATTATCACTCTCTTCATTAAAATAACTATTTAAATTACTCTTCTCTGAATATTTAACTTCAGCATCTCTCAACACCTTATACAAGTAAATATACATTTAATTTCTATGTTCTTTCACCAATGGTCCACCATAAGTAATCAAAGTTGTAGCTATAATACTGTCTCCTTCATTGCGAGTCTGTTCGCCCTTTAATTAATAGATGATATTAGTCCATCTCTTCTACTCCTCCTTGAATCCCTCAATCAATTTCAAAGATCTCTTTATTTTAGTTTAACATTCCTCTATTTACTACTCCAATTGCACCTTGACATTTTGTTTCTCCTTAACCTAAAACTCACACTCCTCCAATTTCATATTAATTTCTTAGACTTCCTTCTTCTTCTACTCTAAATTAACAGTCTTCTCCTTCAGACTTCGATAACTCTCCTCCAACTCATCTCTTATAGGCTAGGTCTCCATGACAACCTTGTGGTAATCATAAATGGCCCTAACCCAACTGTATAGGTATTTGACTGCCAAACTACATTACTTGGCTCTTTCCAATGTAAAATCAGCATCATTAATAATCCTTGATTCCAACTATTGAATCATAATTGATTTGATTGCATCCTTATTATAATTCTTCAATATATCCAATAAATCCTTTACATCATTCAATAGATATTTCTTTGCTATTTCAAAATAATCATCCTGGTTTCCAGTATACTTGATATGATCTGACAATAATATTACAGCTCCTCCAAGAATCACTTTAACAGCTCTGGTGGGTTGCACTAAAGACTTGATTTCCACCAAATGTTCCTTTTTCAACTTTTGGACTTCTTGAAGAGTCTACTCTAATTCCACATTAACTTTTGACACTCTCTGTTTGCATGTTTCTTGCAATTGAGAAGCCTTTTACTATTCCTATTCAGCAACCTATTCATCCTCCAAAACTTGATCCCTGATTACCTATGACTTATGTTACTCTTCTTAAAGCACTCTCACAAAATCCTAAGCATCTTTTACTGCCTATTCTAAAATAGGTCTGATTTGATTCAATTTGTTATTCATCAAGTTTATTTATTACTATGCGGAATACAACAATTACAATCCATTAGATAGTTGATTAATTCTCAACTTCAACTTCTCATCCTTCTCTTTATACAATTTCTCTTATAATTCATTGTATTTCACAAAGGACTGAGGTGAAATAGTGTAATGATTCTATTGCTTCATGTACTTATAAATGATATTTCCAATCTCATTACTTGAGAAGGCATCATCAGGCCAATCACCAAAGTGTAAAAACTAAAATTTATACATGAAATTCCCCTTGCTAATACACTTCTCTAAATGTTCAGTGGTCATTATTAGGATTACATTAATGCTCTAATTAACCAATTAACTAATCTCCTTGAAATTTGGATTATCCAAAATTAGAACTGAATTTTAACTGTGATCACTGTTCACATCAGTGACATACTCTAATTTTGTGATCCTGCAAGCCAATTTGCAAATAGTCTTCTTGCCAACTCCCAAGGGACCATACAAGATGAGTTTGTTATTGGATGGAAAATTACTCATCAATTTTATTAAATATTTAAGGATATCGTTATTGGCTTAAAATTAAATTAATCCATCCATAGATAATTGGTTATGATTTTCATTATCCTCACTTTTGAACAGCTTCTATTGACTGACCCAAGTTATTTTTAAATCGTCATCATCTATCCTATTAAAAAGAGACTACATCAAAAATTAACTGGGGTCATTTCGATTGTTTGAAATTGATCTCCAAATATCCCAACAAGTCACTTGTAATCGTCTAGAGTGTTTAATAAAGAATTATTGTGCATTCTAATAAATAGACATCAAGTCTTCAACATTTTAAATCTAATTTTTTTATAGTATTGAGAATATTGTCTAGTGGGAATGGGATTCACAAAAATATATGACAAAATATTTGAGATACCTATGATCACTAATATGTTGGGATGTCAATATCAATTATAAGTCAATTAATTTTACATTCTAGTACCCTTGATTATCAGTCAATTCTCTTAGAAATTCAATTGAATTAGCATTTAATAGGTGGATATCATCGATATACACCTTGCCTATTGAATAAACTCCATTCCTTTTCTTAATTAATTTACTTTATAAAAAGCTTTGGAGATCAGAACTTTTAGTATTCAAGTTCACTCTCAAAGGATTCTGCAAGTAATGACTCTTTCCAGATCCAGAATTACCATATAATATTATATTAGGAATAAATTCTAATAGCTTAGTGATTTGAGTTCCCTTCTCATTCGGAACCAGTTGGCCATCCTCAAGGATGTATTCAAAGAGATTGTCGTATGTTAAAGGATCCACGCTCTTATTCTCTTCTTATTACCAAATTTCTTTGATATGTCTATTGAGTAACATACGCAACTCTTCGGTCAAAGCAGATCCGAATGCCCAAGTTGCTGCAAATACAGTTTCAAATTCAGGAGTGCTTTATCCTTTGATCTTTTTTAATATCTATTGATAAATATGCAGTTGTTATTTATTGCTGATAGGATTTTTATACATGCCAGCAAGACAACAGAAATTCTGAGCATATTTTGGAATTTCAATGGCATTTCCACTCAAATACAAGCTAGATATTTTAGTGATCACATTTGGTGACAGATTGGAGATGGTTGGAGTTTCAAAAATGATTTGATTGTTTAATTGCAGAGATTTTCCATTTGGGAATCTGATTTGTTGGAATAAAATTAATGGAAGGAACAATTCAATTAACTTATCATCTAATTCACAATCGATTACAAGGATATTATTTCCAATCTTGTTTAGTATCTAAGAAATGACACCCTCAGATTCAAAGGATCCAAAGAAATGACTCAACGGATAAGAGGACAAGTAAATCTTATGATAATTGGACAATTGACTGATTTATAAGGACTTGCCTGTTAAGGATTCTCCAAATAACAATACATAGCAATTATTTAGTAGGAGATCTTTCAATTAGGGTTTGATTTCCTCTTTTTTTGGCCAAATAGAATGAATGATTTCTTAGAACTCTGGTTCTTGGAAATTGATCTAGATGGCATTGTACATTCCATGGGTAATGGCTTATTGAACAATCTACTTTATTTTGAACATGGAAATGTCACTCCTCTTTATTGATTGGTAAAGATAAACGAATTATTTTAGCTGTGTTATGGAATCATACAACTCATATTCTTAACTTATAAAGTCTATGAAGATAGCTAGGTCTATTTTCTGGAAGTAGATGGGTCGAAAATAATATCTTATTTCAGAGTTGATTGTATTTTTAGTACCACCAATCAAAAAGAAGGAGAAGGTTGGTTCAACTTTAATTGTGGAACCTTCCAATTCAATTTGATGAAGTGAATTACGAATGGCAAAGTATAATACTTTGACTAGCTGAACAAATATGGATAATAGATCTAATCTCATCTAATTTACTAATTTAAACATACTTCAGAACATTTGGTCAAAGCAAAGAAGGACCCTGTTGCACTCACTCCCTTACAAAGATGAGTAAGAATTTGATAGTTGCTTATTTCTGCATTCATCACAATGAAGTACTTTCCTAAGCAATTACTAAATTGTTTAATTGTCTCTATTTTACCACTGTTACCATACAGAAACGATCCAAATTGAGAACTTATGGCAAATGCCAAATTGGCAAAGCATCGATCAGTTTGAGGAGTTTCAATGAACAAATCGCTTTCCTAAAGGAATTCGTAATCATAAGAGAAGTTATAATTGAGGAATTGGATAATGATCTCTTTGTTTTCATTTAAATAATATTTCAATTGAATTTGATATTCAAAACTATCAGGGGAAATCTATGACAAATGTTTATATTTGTAATTTGGTTTATCCTGGTAATTTTTAAATTAATCATCCAAGTGTTGTGTCCACTCTATCTTGTCCATAAGAATTTTAATCTGTTTGCTTTGGGAAGATTTTAATATCTAATTTTTCAAGGTCTTTCTCATCACTAGAATTAAGTCATGTAGCCAATCTTCCACATTCTTGGAATAGATCTTAATAGTCTCGATGTTCAATCTTTCAGTGACTTTACCAAGTTTGTCCTGTATTTGCAATTGAGTGATTCCATCTTCATCCATCTCTACTTTATTGAATAGGAATATCTAATCAATGAAGTCATTGGGTTTAGTGGCTTTGCTTTGTATGAGCAAGATTTGCTGATTGGATAGAAAGTGAAATCTCTGAAATATCTCTCTCTTCTTATCGATATAATTGCTTAATGATTTCTCAATCATCTACAATTTGTGAATTTACTCTTCAATTTAATTAGATTTATACTTATGGATCTATTATCCTGAGAATTCATTGGTTGACATCTTCCAAAACTTCTCCACACCCTTGAATCTAGAAACTTCAATAGGCAATTATTTTTATAAATCATTCTACAAAAACACCGGATGGATGTATTAAAACAATTATTGCATCTAATCAAATTATTACACTATAGTTTAAGTGTATATCATTTGACTTTCCAATTAGGCCAACTCTTGTTTCCAAGGATCATGATACTTCGATTGCAATATTATACTGAGAGAGCATAAGGAATCATCCAATTTTTAGAATAATTAATCCAAATTCACCAACTTATTGAATTAGAAATTCTGTAACTAAATCCTAGGTTTAATAATCTAAGCAGTCAAATTGTGAAAGTCATGACACAATTGCAAATATGTCTACTCAACAATCAATTCTTATTTTGCGATAAAACTAATTTCGATGACTTATTTTCGAATATCCTAATGAAAAAGGTTTAATAGTTCTTATAGAGATTTGCTAGCATAATCCACTTATTGAGCAATCAATTTATTTAATTGATCCCAATGTCTTTGTCTCATCCCTGGTTCTGTCAATGCTAATATTAATGGCAAATGTGGACTGAATTCCTTGATTTCTAATAATAAACTCTATGATAATTGTGTAATTGATGTCATCCTCTTCTCATTTGAAAATACCAATATTTCTTATAATTCAATTAAACTATTCTCTGTGAACTCCTAAATTTGTTTAGTATTCAACTCACTTATCTTCATCTACATCCAAGTATTGTTCTTCCATTGTTTCATCAACCTCTACAAATTCTCCAGAGGCTAAAGTTGTTGAATAATGAAATCTATTTTCCCAAAATTACTCTATTACAAATTAAACACTGTTTCATATTGATTCATTAAAACTGCCTATTGTTTCAGATCCAATAATTCCTTCATAAAGGTCTGGTCATTCGTCTGGTTCACACTGAAATTTTTAACAAAATTATTGATTTTACGTTCTGAATCATCAATTGTGTACTTGAAATGCAATAATTCTTACTGGAAATCGTACTTCTATTGAATTCTCTTCTCCATCAAATCCTCTAAACTCTCAGTTATCTATTATTTACACATATTAACATATGATAACAGATTCCATCTCTCTTTCATCTACTCAGAAGAACTTATATACGACAACTCATCCAATATTTCATAAACCTTAAGAGTTTCCTTAATATTTATTTCTAATTGATGAATGTTCTCAGCAACTCCATGATTCAAGAAATTTCTGTGATTCTCCAATCCAATGATATCATTGTTCTATTTCTTAATCATCAACATGAGCTTCTGAAATTGTAGAGTAGTCTCCTTTATTTGATTATTGGCTAAACCTGAAATGTACTCCATCATTTAGAAGATGTTCTTCTCCAATAATTGGTTGATTTAAAACAATAGATGTGTATTGTCAATGATGAAAATAGACACCCAATCAGTCGGAGCTATTTCCTTAGTCAATTATATCTGCAAGGATTGTAGTTTCAATATCTGTTGCTTAAATAATTAGAGATCAAAAACATCCTCAGGAGTTGTGCAATCTTTCACAAAATCCTCTAATTTCCATTCAAATATGTATTGATACTTCATGTACTTTTTCAGGTGATCTATTAACTTACTATTAATCCTTTATACTGCAATTGTTAATTCTTCCACAAAGTCTTAAATTAATTAATCTTTTTATGAAATGCATTATAAATACATAAGATCTGATATATTCATAATGCATTCAGGATCTCTAATCTTACTCAATTCCAATAACTAATTGGCAAGACTGTTGCAATAAATGTTAGTAATCTCTAATACATCAAAGGAATATTAAAAACCACCAAAATACCCAACTGATATTTAAAACACACTCTATTTCTTTTTAAGGAAATTTAATCTAAAATTAGTCACATTGTCGACAATTAACTTTGACAATGACTCTAATTGTTTTATCCTAATAACTGAAATTATCCTTTTTAATCGATGCTCCTATAGAATCACTCCCTTCTATTCCAATTCTTATAAACCATCCTTCATTATTCCTTTGATTCTTTCACTCCATTTGGAGATGACCTTGAACTAACGACTCACTAATTGATCCTACTTTTCTTTCAATTGCAGGATGGAGTAAGGTTTCTTATCCCAATAAAGTAATTCAAGGGAACATATGTAATTATTTAGTTCGTTTATGTAGAAGAAGGATTTGATCAGCTCAGGTAAAACAAAGAGGGATATCTCTTGAAATTGTTTCTTAACCATTTCGAATGAAGTTGGTTGATAGTCTACAAAATCTCTATGAACAATCATCATCTCTTTGAATTTTAATTAAATCTTCCCGAACTCAGGGATAACAGGTTTAGTCCCTTTGATGGCCAATTAGAAGTTTAAGACATCTTTATTGTGTTTTAAGTATGAATTTAATTGCATCTCATTTTGTACTCTCTTGTAATGGGTATTAATTTAAATTGCATGTCCTTACTCAACTTTCCCTATCAATTTTTGAATCCTCTAAATCTTATCGACTGACAATTCAGGAATGTCTTGAGTCTGCATATTATCAATGTAGTAATTATATCTCAATACATTATCCATTGCCTCTCGATCATTCAAAGCCTTCTCGAATTTCTGTACATACAGTTTAACATTTTCAAAATCACATAGAAAATAAAGTCTTGAAATTTCTCCAAATTAATCGTTACTCTGATAATTGAATAATTAGGTCTGATGATTGTAATCAACGATCTTCCCCTCCACAAATTCATTCTGATTATTGAGAACGAATGCAGTGATTGGACCAGATCTTTATATTTTCAAAAATAAATCCTGATTAGAAAATCTGTCAAAAGAACTATCTTCAAATAAATGCAATGGCAAATATGCAAATTTCTTAATTCTATTGCCCAGCTGCTAAATGTGAATTGCGGGTTTCAACTACTTTTTTGCAGGAATACATTCATTGATCATAGAGGAACTCAGATCAAATGTGAAATGTTTAAGCTTCCTCTAAAAATATACCTCTTTACTAAATCTTTATGGAGTTCTTTGAGGAGTTTGATATCGAGTTGTCAAAGATCCAGGTCTTTATCGAGAACTAGGTCTCATTAATTAAAATATTTATATATCAAAAAATGAATCCATATTCTTTCGTATTATTTTTTATCATCTCAACCTTGAAGAATTCATCCTTCGATTTTCTTCATTGACAAGTAACACAATATTAAAATAAATGACAACTATTTTAAAAATTAAAATAACAAAAAAATAATTATGAGACCGAACACAAACTCAAAAGCATTTAATAATGGATTCCGATAGAATTCAAGCAATAGTAATGTTGGGCTTATGATTGATCAATAAAATTCTTTGAATTATTCTCATCGATTGGCTGAGGAAAGCTTGCAAATCGGGGAAGACGTCTTGGAATCCTTCAAAAGGCAAAATGACTCTCTCAAAGTACTTCTTATTATCAAAATAGAGAATATAAAATAAAGTGAATTATACAATCGGCGATTTGGGACTATCATAAGGAATCATCAAGCTTATTGGATCAAGAGATTAATAAGATAGACGCATTATCATCTTTTTAACCATTTTATTGTTTGCCTTTATAGGAACACTTTACTACGTGTTCAAATGAAAATTAATGTGTTATAATTCTTTAAATAATAATTATATTTAAATAACGTACACAAAGAAGTGAACCTCCTTAAAATAAACCTCAATTAAATATCATTTTACTCACTTAATTCAAAAAAACAAATAAACCAATTGAAATCCAATAAAATCATCTTTAATCATCATTATAAATACAGAAGTTTTGAGAAAAATATTTTTATTATACTATATACTATATGAAAAAAACTGAAGTGCAACTATGAGTTTCGCTAAGGTTAATAGAAAAACTTCTAAATTTTCTGATGTTTTTATAATTTTTTTATTATCGTATTATTATCCTTAATGAAACTCATTAATTTATAAGTGTTCTTCAAATTTTTGATAAAGAAGAATCAAAAATTCATCTCAAATCTACTGTTGAAATTAAATAGTAGAGCTTTTCGATTAAATCAGTATGTCTTTCACTTTATTTTGATGCTTTTCTAATATTAAGTTTCTTAAAATAAATAAAGAATTAAGAAATTTAAAATTAATCCTATTTTTCAATGAGACTATTTCATTATTCTTTTATTAAAGGGTTAAATCCAAGTGAGTCAATTTTATTTTAAAGTGACATGATAATGGTTGAGGTAATTGAAGAAATTACCTCAAATATATCCTAAACAATCTAAATGAGTAATTTGCAATAATAAATTTGAAAAGTGATATTTTTTTATAAGTAACATTACTATTTTTGTAAAAAATTCTATTTATTTCTCAATAAATAATTAAAAATGTGATAGATTTAATGCATAATAGGTGGAACCTAACATTGGAATAATTTAATGGATAAATTTACAATAAAGCGGATGGTTCTAATCCTAAATACTGTAAATTCCATTATTTAAATCAGTGAATTAAGAATATTTAAGGATTCAAAGTGATTTCAATTAACAGTGTCATTTCTGTAAACAATATAGTTTGAGGATTTGCAATTGGCAATAATTGTATTTTTCTTATCTAAGATAAATGATTTTATAACAAACAAAACTACAAATATTTAACTCATAAAAGAATTTAAAATTTATATATTTATTTTTAAGTTAATAAATCATTCTTATTTTTTTAAAATAAGACTATATGGAACTACTGAGAAAACTAAATTTGCCATAGCCTCTTCGGGTGTTAAATTTTTCTTTATTACAAGATGGTAAAATGCTCCCAGCGTTACTTCGCTATATTCTTAGAAAATTTTATGTCTTGGAAAATCTTAGTAAATTTCATATGTAAATAAGCCATCATTTATCAATAACATGTTAAACATCAATTCATTGAATTCTCCATAGCTTTCTAGAGTAAATATCTAGCTAAATTTAATGATTATACCTTTAGAAAATTAGTTTTTGCTACTTTTTATAGATGAACATAAAGACTATACTTTTATTATTATTCTTAAATTACAATATCTATAGAGAAAAAGGCTTATTTTATAACCTTATTTTACAAGAAGTCGTCATAAATCTCTTATATTTGCTAAAATATAATGTATAATTTTTACTAATGATGAATTTTCAAGTCCTTCTTTTGAGTAATACTCTTCTATTGCTTTAATTATTACAGTATTATTATTCTTTTGTGCCTATTCTATCATTTCAATAAAGGTATTTCTAACATCTTCCTCATTCTCTTGCAATGCTGTGTATAATTCCATATATTAATTTAAAGCCCAAAATGCTCTTTCAATTGTGTCATCATTTATAATTATGTCTCGCTAAATATTTTATTGCTCATAAATAATTGTAAAAACTGTCATCATATACTTTATATAGTTTCCATCAGCTCCAAAGGAATCAAGCTTTATTTTTGATTAAGGTGGAAGAATCACTTGAGAAATTTCAAACTCTTCACATTAGAAAATCTATTGGAACATCTGCAAAAATTGATCGAATTCTTCCCCCATTTCATCTTCATTTGGCTATTCATCGAAATAGAATATTAATTAATTTGAATCAGGATCCTTTTCAACTAAATAAAACAAAAATCGATTATCTTGAAATGGGAAAAAGTTTTTTTATTCACCAAAGTTTTTTCTTCCAGTACTTTTCTGATATGTCATCTTTATATAAGAATCTAATCTTTCAACATCATCTTCAACTTCTTCTTAAGAAATTAATTTATCAAAAATGGCCAATAGCTCTAGTGCTACATCAAAATCTAAAAAGTAAGCCTTATCTTATAAATTAAAATCTTCAAACAATTAAATTACATATTCAATAGAATTAAATTCTTTCATTGTAATTAGAATTTTTTTTCCATACTTTGTTCCTTTAGTATACTTATTTATTGAGGGCAAAATTTCTGGGGTTATAAGAATAAAATCAATCTCCCATACTTCATTTTCAGACTATCTTATTTCATTTAAATTTTCAGAATCCTTTTCTAAAATAGATTCGCTACCAGATTATATCTAAGACTAGAAGGATTAATTAAGTTCTATAATATTTTTCTGATTTAATTCTATTGGATTTGAAGCTTCTGGCTATTTTATATGGATATCTTTAAAAGGATATATATTAGTTGAAAGTTGTTGTTGTTGAGGATAAGTCTTAGTCGATGGTTCCTTTTAAGGAGGATCCACCTCAGTTGATGGTGCTTTTTATTGAGGATCTATAGGAGGATCTGGGTTTTTTGTTTGTTTTTGTATTTGGGTATCTATTAATGGATCTGGCTTTATTGGTGGCTCCTGTTAAATTATTAGTTTTGGATCTGGTTTTGTTGTTTGTTGGTTATTTTTCTCTAAATATTCTTTTCTAAATTATTCAGAGTCTGATGGTTATCCCACATTTTTAAGGACATGTTATTTTGATATGGAAGCGACATCGACATTTTTACTCAAACTCGAACTATTTTCAGACTTGTTTTTATTTATCCATTATTCATATTTACCTTCTTACTCAGGTTTTTGATTGTTTTCAATTTATCTTCCATAATAATGTTCATTTGCTATAGAACTACCTTCCATGATTACAATTTTATTTAAAGGCTAAGTTGGTTTTGTTGATGCATTTTCTTTAGATAGATCTTGCTAATACTATGATCTTATCACGAAATCAACTAATTCATATCTGCTTTTCATTTCATTTTCGTGTTCTTTTTATATATGATCTCTAACCTGTTACTTTTGAAGTTCTTTTTATACTTATTATAAATAAGGATTCTGTTTGTTTTTAGCAAGTTATTGTTCAACAGACTTATCAGTTTATGACATTTATCCTTAAAACTTAGAGATATCTGAGTTTAATAAGTTGGTTAATTCACTATAAAGACTATCTACGTATTATTTAATTTAATTTGAGGATGGCGTTCTACCAGGTGTCATCTTTGTATAATATTATTTTGCCTTATCCAAAGCCTCTTGGAGTTTGGTTTCAATATAGACTTTTGATTCATCTTTGTGATCCAAGATCTCCTTAAGCAAAGTTACTGCATCAGATTATAGTTTGGAAGATTTGTTTGCGAAGGCACTTAAATTTTACAATTATTGTAACTATCTTTCACTTGTCAAGGGAACCTTTCTTAAAACCTCTTCATTAATTCTATCCTCTAAAATTAGATAGTAAATTTCATCTTCCTTTAAAGATTCCCAATCGCTTTAAGTTTTTATTAATTTTTTATGAAGTTCTTCTCTTTTCTTTTAATATTCGCTCTTTTCTGTTGTTGCAAATTAGAAATATTCAGGAGCAATTTCTTTAAGTTCCTTATTAATTTAATCATAAAATTCGTTGTAAATGATTCTTCTATCTCTCATACACACAGTTTTACTTATATAATACAAATCATTAATGGATATTTAGGGATCTGATCTATCATTGATAATTGAATGAAATCTTTATGATAAAATAATAGAATTACCTAGACAACACAGCATCCTTATTAAAAACAAAGAGTGGGCTTGTATTTTCATGTTCAGTAGCATCCTTAACTTATTTCATTGAAATAATAAACATGGATTCAATCAGTTCATCTATTTTTTAAAATTAGGTGGGTTCATTATTGCAAGCCCTTTCCAATACATCTTCTAGATTGAATTTTGTGATATTTATGATAAAATGCCATCCATGATCATATTTCTGTAATTCATAGATTCTTAAAATTTGATCAATTATTTTTATAACTTCTCTATCATATGCTTGTGGATTTGTTCTGGAAGCAAATTTAGTCACAAAATCGTTTGACATATCTATTAATTTTTATCTAATATGTTTTCGAGTGTCCCCAATTCTGTAGTCACCTGGTATCAATTCCTATGCTTATTTTACTTTCAATTTGATTAAGTGCTAATCAAGATCATCAAAGAGCCTTTGCAATCTTTTATCCAAAACGAAATAGAATTATTTTAAGAAATCATCAATGTGGTAACCTAATCTATTTAAATATAGATTACCATTTATAACAATCTATCCAAATATTTAATTTAACTTTCTCATCTAATCTTCAAATTAAAAAATGTTTCTCCTTATCAAAGGAAAATGATTTTGCAAATATCTCACAAGTTATTAAGGATCAAATGTTTTGATGGCTTTATAATTTGGTTTCATTGTAAAGTCAGGCTCAAACACTTGCTGATGCAAAGATATTGGATATTCTTTGTGATATCCAACACAATAGGAAGCTAAATAAGGAGCCACACTTATTAACTAAGGTTATTAGTATATTTATTGCATTTGTAAACAATTCATAATCTAAATATTAATAAATTCTAAAAGATAAAGAAACTAATAGTTTATAATATAGTTCCTTAGTTTTGAAGCTATATGAAAGATATCAACACTAATAACATTTTAACTTCAATAATAGATTCCGATATAAGAATTATTTATTACAAATAATTATTAAGTTGCTAATCAATAAAAAGCAACTCATGTATAGAATAATTAACTTCGAGTCTCATTTGATTTAGAGTTGAGACAGATTTCTTTTAGTTAAAATAAATGAAATATATAATTATTAATTCAGATTTACAGAATTTTTTTATCCTAAACCTTCAAAGCTAATCGAGAATTATAAATTAAAAATCTTGGATGAATAAAATTTGCATGTCCTAAGAGATGTACCTGAATATATCAAAATCGTATAAGAGGCTGACCACCATCCAATTAATAGATTAGTAGGAAGTTCTTGTTTTTATACATTTATATTTGTTGTTTAGAATAATTTAGAATTTCTTTTCCAAGAAAATGCCTTTAATTGTTATTTTCTTCACTGAGACATGTATTTGATCTTTTACTCAGAAGATCAAGAAATCAATTTCATTTTATTATTAGATTTAGCAATTTCCTTCTCAAAATTTTCTTTTCTAAGGGAATTGCTAAATATTATTAAATTTCATTTTTTTATAATTGGTGATTAACGGTTTACTTTTGCAAATTGTAATGAACTAAATTGTTATTTTTAGATATTTTTTTCTGTTAAAAATATAATTTATAAAAGCAAAAAAATTAATTTCCAAAATTTCTCGAATCATAAATAAAAGAGCAGAATTCTATTAAAAAATAACTTTTATTCTATAATTCTATTAAATTGCCATTTTCAATTAATATACTTAAAACACTTAATATTTCTTGCAGATATTTATAATATGAATTAAATATTAGTTTTAAATAATGAGGCTTAAAATGGACATCAATATAATAAAAAATTTGTTAACAACCAACCCAACAATAAATATAGACATTAAAATAAGAAATAATAAACTTAGATAATAATGAGGAACTTACAAATAATCAAAAATAATACTATAAACATTAATATTAATAATTATTATTTACAAAATTAAACGAGGCGAAATAAATTCCTCATGTAAATTAAAATATTGAGGCTTCAAATCCTGAATTAGCATTTTATGTTTTAAAAGAATCTTTATTAAGAGATTAAAATAGAGACTTATTACTTAATAGTTAATAGTAATTTAATGGATTTGATACAATTTTAGGAGCATATGGTTCTGATTAATCTTGTCTTAAAGTTAGAAACACTAATCTTGATTATGATTCCATTGTGAATGATACTCAATTATTAGAATAGCATTTATTAGAATTTAAATAAAAACTATCAAATTCACTTAATATTTCAATTGATTAAATTGAAATTTTGGGAGTATCAAAGGGAAGTTTTGAAATTAATTTTTAAATTACAGGAAAAAGTATCAATGACATCCAATAATAGATTAACAATAAACCAGAAGCATTAAAATTTTTGAAGGAATATTGTAATGGCAAAATTGAATAGATAGCATATTTTGATTAAGTAAGTGCTAATGGAATCAGACTTTCATCTGATGATTTTAATCCTTCTTACAATAAGAGTTGGGATATTTACCCTGAGAAATAACAGAGAGGTCCTCCTTATCACAAATATGATTATTATTTTCCAATAGGATGTTATGGATTTGGATTAAATGTAGCAAAATATGGATATAATTAAGATTGGATATAAAAGAATGGTAACCAGAATGAATGGAGGATTATGTATCATGGTACAAAACAACACTTTGTTAGTTCAATTGTGAAAACTAATTTAAAACCTGGTAGCAATAATAGTTATTGTGATTAACTATGTTTTGATGAATTCAACAACCAAGTGAAGGTAGGGAATGGAATTTATTTCTCAGATAAGATTGAAGTTTGTTTTGGATATACTAACTACACTTAAATTGGTAATAAACAATTCGCTGTGATCTTTATGTCAAGAGTCAACCCAAGAGAAATTAGACAAAGCAAAGAAATGATTGCTTAAAGATTTTTCGTAATCAATAATTCAGAAGATGTTAGGCCATATAGAATTTTATTACATTAAAAAGAATGATCTATTATGTATTATTATTATTTATTATTTATAGACTTGCAAATGATTTTGACCTCTATTATCTACTATATATGCGATTTAACAATCATAATTTTTTCATTTGTTAATATTTTAGAATAGGTTGTTAAATTATAATTCAATTTAAAGATGAGAATTTTGAGGTCTTAAATTTTGATTATGAAGGGATGAATGATGAGATGTTCTAAACAATTTGTGATGGTTCTCAATTGT